CCGTAGGACCCCTCCCCCCGTCATTTCCCCGTGGTCCCACCTCATCCTCCCGCCTGTGGCCCAGCCTCAGACTTCTTCCCCTGCATACGACCCTGACCCTCATTCCTCCTGCTAGCGGGGCAGAGGGGATGAGGAGGAGCCTGGAATGTCCCCTCAAGTCCCTGCCTTCCCCAGTCACATTTCATCTGCAGAGGCTGAGGACAGGCCCCAGCAGGAGGAGTACAGTGTGCTCGTGGCCAGTATGGTGGAGCCAGCTGTGGTGTACCGGTGAGGAGCTGGGGCTAAGTTGGTGGCTGTTCACTGAGGTTAACCTTGTCGTTCTGGGCAGGAAATCCCTTGGGGTGTGGTTGGTCCAAGGTAGGCTGGTAAAGATGTTTGTGACTCTGGGAAGGAGCCTGTAAGTCTGAATTTTGGCAGGAAGGTTGAGAGCAGAGGTAGCCACGCCTCTAGAGAAGGCAGACCCCACGTGCCAGCAGTGCCCCATGTGGGAAGAGCCCTGGCTTAGAGCGTTCAATTCCTATGGTATAAATGCTCCCACCATAGACACGATGCTAGAGTAGCCAGCAGAAAATGTCCCACTGGGGACATCCAAGCTGGGGCTGGGCTCTCTGTGATCCCCAGAGGGTGTCTGTTCAGGCTGAAGACAGGGGGTCCCCAGAAAGTACAGTGTACCTTCTGTTTGGGAGAGAGGTGGCCCAGCCTCCAGCGGGTGGTACAGGCACCCAGACTGGGGACCAGGACCCTGGATACCCCCAGGGGGACAGTGTGGCATCATGAGGATATCCGCACTGGAGAGAAGGGAGCCCAGGCTCTAGGAGGAACAAAGCATTTAGACCTGAGAAGGGCGACAGGTCGGGTCCCAGCTCACGTTGCCCTACAGGCTGACCCAGTCTCTCCATGGTGCTGGGAACCCTTAGGGACCTACTCAATCAAGGCCTTGAGAACCAGCTTCTCCTGCCCGGCAGTGACCAATTTGACAGCATCCTCTGTGGCCTGGTCACTGATGTGGACTTGGATGGACAGCCAGAAGTCCTGGTGGCCACCTACGGCCAGGTGCGCTGTGAGGGATGCGGCCGCCATTCTCGCCCATGTCCCCTCACCGCTCCCATTAGCCTGTGTGACCGTGACCCTCCACTCCTGCAGGAGCTGCTCTGCTATAAGTACTGCAGCCTAGAGCCAGGACGCCCTGAGGCCGAGCATGGCTTCCGCCTCCTGTGGCAGCGCAGCTTCTCGAGTCCCCTGCTGGCCATGGCGCATGTGGATCTGACCGGGGATGGGCTGCAGGAGCTGGCTGTGGTCTCCCTGAAGGGGGTGCACATCCTGCAGGTAACTGGGGATCCCAGGCAGTGCCAGGGGGATCCCTGTGCCAGCCGCTCCAGTGGGATCACGGGGGAAGGAAAGGAGTTAGGCCGAGAGGGCAGAGGGGTCCCGGTGCAGGCCACTCTACCAGCCAGGGTGAGTGGGGCACCAACCTGGTGAAGGAAATCTAGATGCCCACCCCTGATTCCCTCTCAGCCTCCTAAATTCCACTTGTCATTCTGGTCTCAGACTTGCAATCCTCCTGCCTCAGCCTCCCAAGTAGCTGAGGTACAGATGCACAGTCCTGTGCTGGGCTTACAGCATGCTTCTCACCTTTCCCTCCAGGTCTAAGCACCGGCTCGTTCTCCTCAGCCAGTTTGCAACTGTCCACTACTCGACCTCTGACCTTCCACTTTGTTCTGACCTCTGACATTAGGTTATTAAGGTCAAACCTTTCACTCTGCTTTGACTTCAGTGCCTCCCTAGCAGGCCGAGGGCCTCACACGCTGCGGGTCTGCAGTCTGACCTCTGACCCCTCCCCACCCCCACAGCCCCACTCACTCCTACTTGCCCCCTCCTCCCCCTGACCTGACTCCAGGACCCTTTCTGGTGCAGTCTAACCTCGGGTTTTTGCTGGGTCTTCGCCTGTGCTGCCGCCCCCTAGTCTTTGCTTGAATCTTTCCCTCCACTCTGATCACCAGAGACGGGTCTTGATTAGGCCTTAGGAAAAGAGAAAAGTAAGACTGCAGAGGAGCAGCATGAGCTTAGGCCCAGTGCAGAGGTCTAGGTGAGACCCTAACTCAAAGGAGGCGGGATAAACCCTAGCAGGGGGGTCTGAGGCGAGACCCCATTACTGAGCATTCAGGTTAAACCCCCTTGGGAAAGACAGAGGTCTGACTGGGAGAAAGGACTCTGCGCACCATTGTCTGACTCTCCCATCGCCATTTCTCTGTCATCTCCTTTCTGTCTTAACCTCAGCGAGGTCTTAACCTCAGACCCTCCAGCTAAGGTCTCATCTGTCTCTTGGGCTTTGATCTGTCCCTTCTCTGCCCTGTTGACCTGTGCTTTGCAGCTGGGGGCCCACTTTAGTCCCCACCCCACCCCTGGGTCTGCCGTACCTTCTCCAGTGGGAGCCTCAGTTTCTCCCCTTTCACTCACATCTGTCCGAGCCTTCATCCGGGGCCCGGTCTTCACCCTCACAGGCTCTGCCCTGCTCTCTGCCCTCCAACCTCGGCTGAGCTCTTGGCTTGGGGTGCCCCACTCCAGAGCCCCCTGCTTAGGTCTAACCTGCACCCCTCTCTGTCTCACCTGCCCCTCCTCCTTTGTTCCCCACAGCACAGCCTGATCCAGGCCTCTGAGTTGGTCCTGACCCGGCTTCAGCGCCAAGTGGAACGGAAGAAACGGCAGCCACAGGGACCTGGGGACAGGGCGGGTCCAAGGCCTGCTGAGACCACAGCCTCCTGAGCATTTGCCCACCCGGTCTTGGCAGGCCTGGGACAGTCGTTGGGGGCTTAGCTCTTTTGATGGGGATCAGTGTCCCCAAGAAGGAGATGCTTCCCCCAGGTCCCTACTGCAACCCTGCCAACTCACTCCTCTCTACCTCTGTACCCCATTTTCAAATGGGGTTATCCCACCCAACCCCCTCCATCCCAGCAAATATCAGCCAGTTGACAATTCTCTGTGTCCACAGAACAAAGCATTCCCAGCTATTCCATTCTTTCGTTTGCAAGCATTTATTGAGTACCTGCTATGTGCCAGGTTCTGGGTTGGACACTAGATTCACCCAGAATTGAGGTGGTAAGGAGGGTTTGAGGGAATCCAGGGTTAGAGTTTAGACCCGGAGATAGGACAGAGTGAGATCCCACAGAAGACCCCGGAGGGAAGAAATGAGGTGAGGCCTTAGGATGGCAAAACTCAGGTGCCCTGAAGCACCCATAGTGTGAGGCAAAGATCTTGCGTGAGGCTCCAGCCAGTAAGTTGATCCTGGAGAAGGGAGCTTGGGTGGAGAAGCTCTCTCTCAGACTCCTTCAGGGGCCACTGGGGCTGGATCCTAGGGGAGGAGTTTGAAGCTTGATTCTAAATTGAGAACTAGCAGGGTGGGCTGAGGTTGGATCCCAGTGGGAAAGGGTGGAAATGGAGTCTCAGAGGAAAGGACCGATGGGAAAGGCCATGGTCAGGTTGTGGCGGGGTCTGAACTTGGCTCCCTGTGAATAATACTGAGGCTGGACCTCCAGCAGAGATGACTGTTGTTAGCCAGGCGTGGTGGTGCACCCCTGTAATCCCAGCACTTGGGGAGGCTGAGGCAGGAGGATCACCATGAGTTGGAAACCAGCTTGAGCCTCATAGCAAGACTCAAAAAGTAAACAAGAAAAATTACTGTGGTTAGACACAACTGATTTCCCCCGGTGGCCACAGGAGCTGCCTGCTACGCTGGTCCCTTCTCTGGAACCAGAGAGAATCAGAGGCCTGCACCTCAGGGACCAGCAGAAGCTGGGAGTGACAGAGAATCTTGTCCTCCCCCGCCACAGGCTGGGAATAGAATCCGGGTCAGCAGGGTTGGGGAGTGGATGCTGAGGAGGAGCCAGGCTGGGGCCAGGGCTTGGGTGGGACACCTGTTTCCTGGGTGGTTAGGGGGAGGGCACCCAGGGTCACCTGGCCACATGTCTGCCTCTCGCTGTGGAAGTCTGACTGCCCACACTGATGTGAAGATACAGCCTCCAGTTCTTGGCCCAAGATTTTGGAGAGCCAGGAGCCTACCGGTTCTTGGCCAGGCCCAGGCGTGGGAAGTGGCAGGAGCTGGAACCTGTCCCTCCTGGCAGCAGGCCCCAGGGTGCCCAGCCAGGGATGGCAGTGGGCATGGGCTGCTGGCATGAGCAGGAGCTGCCCCCAATAGCCACCTGCTCTGGATCATCTCCAAGTTCCCTCACCTGTCGTGGGTGGGTGGCCTCATGGGGGATCTGGGTGTGTCCTGATGGCTAGGTCCAGGAGCCCCCCCACCCCCCTCTCCGTGCATCTGCGTGGGCACGTCCAGGCTCGATTTGGGTATTCTGGCGCCCCTTCCACCTGCCGGGGCCGCTACAGTTTGCTTCATGACTTCTGGCCCTGTCGCCGCCTGAAGCCCTGTGGTGGCTAACACACACATCACCCTGTGCCTCAGTTTCCCCACCTGTAAAACAGTAGCCCAGGGCTGGTGTGAGGGCTGATTATGTCAACACGTGTCAGGGGCATGCTAAAGCTGTCTGTCCCTGGTGTCTGGCCCGCGGAGAGGGCTGTGTGGCCGGCAGCTGTCTCTCCCGGGTGTCCGCGGGAGCAACACCGTGTGTGAACTTGGATCTGACTCCAGCCCTGCATTCTTACCCTCCCCGCAAGCCCTTGGAGCCTGAACTATTTGTAGCGGTGTCTGCCTCTTACGGCCCTTGTATGGGTTGGAGACTCGGCCCGGGTGTGTCCGGAGGGAGGGCCGGGGATTACTGTGCACACACGCCCTGGCACACGCATACGCGCGGGCGCCTCCGCTGCTGTCCCCGGCCCTGGTGCTGAACCCGAGCCCCGGTCGGAGGCGCGAACTCCCCCCTCCCCCGCCTCGCTGCGCGCCAGGCCCCGCCCCGCGCCCGCACCGCCCCCTCCCCCGCCCCGGCTCCGCCCCCTCCTCCCGCCTGGCCCCCTCCCCGCGTTCCTCCCCCGGCTCCTCCTCCCCGCCCCCTCCCTCCCCCCTCCCGGCTCTCGCTCGCGCTCTCAGCTCCGCGGCTCTCTGCCTCGCTCCCTCTCCTCGGGCGGAGTCGCCCACCGCTGCCAGCCCCGTGCTGGGGGGACCCGTCCCAGGCCACCACCGCAGGTAAGAGACCCCCAGGGTGCGGGGTGGGTTTCAGCACCAGGTGTCGATCAGGGTGCGCTGGAGAAGCGGGTTGCTTCCCTGGCTGGCGCTCGGTGATGGGCTCGGACGCGGGGTGGGGGTGTCTACGGGGAGGGGGTGCCCCCTGAGGCTGCATGGCGGGGTGCAAGACGGGACACCCCTACCCGAGAACCCGGGGACCCCCACGTCTCGCCGCCCCCCTCTCGCGTCTGAGTCTCATCCCCGCCTCTGCACCTCTCTGGGGTTCGGGCTGGCGGTCCGGCCGCCTCTCCGGGTTCCTCTGCCTGCTCGGGTGGCTCTGTGGCTTTCCGGGCTCTGACCCCAAGCCCCCCGGTTCTCTCTGCCTGCCCCTTGCGCCATCTCTGCTATCTCTATCTCTGCCCCACTGTCTAGCCCTTCCTAAGGTTCTGTCCGTCTGTCCCTCTCTATGTCCGTCTCTCTGTCTTCCTCTGTGTCTCCTTCCTTCTCCTCCCCACCTCTCCTGGTCTCTGGGCAGCTCCCGCCCGGCTCCCCTGGCCTCTCCCTTTCCCCCAGCCGCTTAACTCTCCCACACACACCTTTGGCTCCGCCCCTGGCTCAGGGAGACCTGGCCGAGGGTCCCCACAGAGGGAGTCCCCGGAGTGCCCCAAGGGCCCCTGCTTTGCCCTCACAGCATCGCGCCCTTTTCCCAGCACAGAGCCCCTCCCTGTCGCATTGCCGGCCCTCCGCTGGCCATCTAACCTGTAGCCTTTGCCATAGAGCTTGGCTTTCCCCTTTCTCCAGTGTAACCTCTCCGTTCAACGTGGACCAGTCCTCCCCACAGTCTGACTTCCGTATCTCAGGCTGCCTGTCTGGTTCCTAACTCATTTTATCTTTGGACAACTATTGAGCCACGTTCCTGGTCTGGGCACAGCGCTAGGTCCCAAGTCAGGCCGGGCCAGTCCTGCCTACAGCCTCTCTTCCACCCCTTGAGGCCTGACAGCCTCAGACCTGTTTCCTGGGGGCAGATCACAGAGGGGTCCCCACATTCTCCGGGACTCTTGAGAACCCTCTGAGGTCCAGAGGGTAGCAGCTGCCTCCTGTGCCTCCCTGGAGGAGGTGGGCGGTGGATGGCCCAGCAGGTGGAAGCCTGGGCCTGGGCTGGAGCTGCATGGGGCTGTGTGTGTGTGTGTGTGTGTGTGTGTGTGTGTGTGTGTGTGTGTCTGTGTCTGTGTGAGTGTGCACGAGTGTGTGTGTGCCTGTGTGTCCACCACCTCCCTGGCCTTGAGCCCTGTGTGACAGATCATATTGCCCAGTACTCCAGATGGCTTAAAAGGTCACCAGGTTAGGAGTCCATCACCTTGAGTCCCCATCTCTGCCCTGCCCCAACTCAAAGCTATGTGACTTGGCCAAGTGCCTCCCAGTCTGGGCCTCAGTTTACCCATCAGTGCATGGCAGCCCCAAACACGGACGCTCTCAGCTGTGATCCCCAGGCTGGCACAGTGCAGGCTGGTATGAGAGCCTCCCCTGTGCAAGTGCAGGATTCTACTCTGCATCCCCCCATCTCCTTGGGGTCCCACACACCTGCCCATAGCAACCTGCTCTGGGCAGCATCCTGAAGAGAGCCCCAGGCCAGCCCCACCCCAAGCCTGCAGCCACCAAAGCCCAGAGAAGAAGAACTGGCGTACCCCCCCACAACCCACCCTGCCAGCCAGGCCCTGGGCAGGTCGGCTGTCTGCCCACCTGCTCCCTCTCCCGCTCAACCCCATCCTTCTGCCCCTGCTTTTGAGGCCCAGATTAGCTTCCAAGGCTGCTGGGGAGGCAGAGGCAGAGGCAGAAGCCCAGGACAGAGTGCGCTGGCTGTCCATGGTAGAAGCGGATGGTGTGCCCAGGTTTACAAATATTTATCCAGGGCCTTTCCTCCCGACCCCTCCTCCCGCCAGGCCCCAGTGAGAGGAAGCCCAGTTTTGCAGGAAAAGGCCTTGAGCCAGGCTGCTTTCTCCAGCCCCTGGGGAGGTGGCCAGCCAGCCGGAAAGCACTGCCCCCGCACAGGGACAGGTGGTTGGACTGCGGGGGGACCTCTCCTCACATGAATTCAGGCCCCTGCATTTGAGCGCCAAGGAGGAGGTTGGGAGAAGGGAGCACTTGAGGCTTTGCTTTGCTTCCTGGTGGATTTGTAATTACACCTAAGTCGTTGCTAATTAGGGGGCTGCTAATTAGATGTATCATTAGGGGCCTTGCTGAGGGGACTAATTGTGCTGTGGCCCTTTAAGAGTCACCCCTCTCCCCACCCCTGCCCCCCCCCACTCACACTCACACAAACTCCCTCCTTTTGGAGAAGTTCCTGCCAACATTCTGCCTCCCTCCCCCAGAGGAGCCTGCTCCCAGCCGTGGGCGGGCCAGACTTGGGGTAGGCTGAGGGTTAGACTCCTGGAGCAACTTTGCAGGCAGCAGTGAAGTTACTGGAAGACCCAGCAACCTTGGTGGCTCAGGGGTCCGGGAGGGAGGAGGCTTGGAAGATGACACCTGCCTCCCCATCCCTGGTCCTTTTTATAGGTGACAGAGTTACCATGACAACAGGAGGGAGGTGGGACCAGGAGCTCCTACCTAGGCCCCCTCCTGGAGAACCCAGGAGGACAGAGTTGGTGCTGGGTGACTGTGGGAGTTACTTGGGGAGGAAGGAGTGTCCACTTCAAAGGTAGGGGGACAGAGTATGACCTTGGGGACCAGGGGGTGACTCAAGCCCAGAGACAGCCAGGGAGGGCTCTGGGCAGATCCCATTTGTAAGGAGACCTAGGTGAAGAAACTGCCCGCTCAAGCCCAGGAGCAGAAGTGGGCGGAGAAACAGTAGGGGCCACCCCATGGGTGGACAGAAGCCTTGTATCCCTGCTTGTGGGGAATGGGGAAAGCCCAGATCAGACAACTAGGAAGACTGGAGTGACCCGCAGCTGCTGCCACCACAGGGAGGGGTACAGATGAGATCCTCCTGTGACCCCTGCTTAGCCCTACCCTTCACAGACAGACAGACAGAGAGACTCCCAGCACATACTGCCAATCAGATCCCAAGCAGGAGATCACTGAGGGCCAAGCTGAGACCATCAGAATTACCTAACACACTGGGGGCTCTGCTCCCCCTGCCACCCACACTTTTCTTGTGCGCCTGACTTCATTTTGTGCCTGGTTTCATTCTCCCTTCTGCTGTTGTGTCCATGAGCTTCCCTGTGTGGTCACACACTCCCCCAAAACTCCCCCCTCTTTAGTGCTGCATAATATTCCAGTGGAAGCCATTTTCACGCTGTGCCTCTTGATTTTGAGGCTGATCTCCATCAGGGCCCTGTTAAAGTCGGCACTGTTAATAAAGGAAGCTGACGAGATGGGTCCCATGGGTGTTTTCCATACCTGCCGGAGGAAGTAAGCCTAGTTCTTCTGGGTCTGTTCCTAGGAATGGAATTGCTGAATAACAGGATGTGTGACCCTGCCAGGACTTCCCAACTTATGTTCCTACCTGCTTCACACTAGAGGACAGCCCTTCTGTTCCTTGCTGTCCCGTGTCCCTTTCTCTGGGACTGTGAGTCTTCTTTAGCCTCCTGTGTTGGTCCTTAGCTCCACCCACTCCCTGTCGCCCAGAGGGCTAGGACTTGGTGTGATGGGGCAGGGCAGGCTCCTATTACCCTCCCCTCTCCTTCTCCTCCCTAGGACCCCGTCACCTCCCATGGCTGCCTTGGCCTTGCTGGGGGCCACACTCCTGCTGGGGGCTCCCCCATGTTCTGGGACAGCCACTCCGACCCCTTCCCTGCCGCCTCCCCCGGCCAATGACAGCGACGCCAACACAGGGGGCTGCCAGGGCTCCTACCGCTGCCAACCCGGGGTGCTGCTGCCTGTGTGGGAGCCGGACGACCCATCGCTGGGCGACAAGGCCGCACGTGCTGTGGTGTACTTCGTGGCCATGGTCTACATGTTCCTGGGCGTGTCCATCATCGCTGACCGCTTCATGGCATCCATCGAGGTCATCACATCCAAGGAGAAGGAGATCACCATCACCAAGGCCAACGGCGAGACCAGTGTGGGCACCGTGCGCATCTGGAACGAGACCGTGTCCAACCTCACGCTTATGGCCCTGGGCTCCTCTGCGCCTGAGATCCTGCTGTCTGTCATCGAGGTCTGTGGCCACAACTTCCAGGCGGGCGAGCTGGGCCCGGGCACCATCGTGGGCAGCGCCGCCTTCAACATGTTCGTGGTCATCGCCGTTTGTGTCTACGTCATCCCCGCTGGCGAGAGCCGCAAGATCAAGCACCTGAGGGTCTTCTTTGTCACCGCCTCTTGGAGTATCTTTGCCTACGTCTGGCTTTATCTCATCCTGGCTGTGTTTTCCCCAGGCGTGGTCCAGGTGAGCTGGGAGGCACCTTTTGGGTGCTTGTGCAAAGTCCAGAGGGCCATCGATCTCTGTAGATGAGAGTGGATGCTCACATCTAAGAGGGCTACCAGGAGTGGTTGTGCAGGTCACACACTGCACAAGGGGATTGGATCAGAGAGGGCAAAGTGGGGCTGGAGACCCGTTGGTGCTTGCAAACCCTGCCTGTGGAAGGTGCAAGAAGCACCTGGGGACAGACAAGAGGGTGTTACGCTGTACTCATGCAGAGGGGGGCTTTTTAACACTCACAAGGGCCGCCTGTGTTTAACAGCACCCCTGGGATCTGTGTAGTGCCTACAGGAGTGATCACATATTTACCTGTATTTGATGGCTTTTGCATAATTTATTTCTATCCTTGCAATAAGACATCCCCACTTGCATAATTCATGTGGTATTAGCATAAACCAGCCCCATGTTTTCTGACAGTGCTAATTGGTTGGTTAACTTGGTACAATTTACATAATACATCCTCGGGCTCCCACAGATGCGTGGCCACATCTGCATTCTTCAGCTCTGTGGTTGCCAGCTATGTGGCGGTGGCTTGCATAATTCATTCATTATTCATCCTGGGTTTCTGGTGTCGAGATAATTTATGCCGCTGCGGTGTAATTTATACTCCCATCCAATCCAACGTAGATATAAACTGTGTCCATTTTGCATAATTTATTCCAACAGCAAGACAGCCTTTAGACCACAGCTGATGGCTTACACCTTTATTCCCAGGATCCTTTGCCTCTCCCTCGGCTTTACCTGGATCCCTACACCAGTCTTTCCTGGGAGACACTGCTTCATGTATTCCCCACAGCTCCTCGCTGCAACTTACATTTGCATAATTTATTTATGGGCCTGGCCTAATCCCACACATGCATAATTGATCTGCAGCACCCTGGCTTCATTGACACTGTGTGTAATCTGTTCTCAGCTGCAGAGTTTTCAGTGTATCGCTGCTTCCCGGAAAGGCTCTAACACTACAGATAAAAAAGTGCTTTGCAGGTGATGTGTAAGGCAGGACTGTGGCCAGGGAAGAGAGGTCGAGGCCCAGGAGATGGGGGTGGGTCAGGCAGGGAGAAAGTTATACCACTGACTCAAGACTGGGAGGCTGAGTTTTTGGCTGCCATGGCAAAAAGTACAGAAGAGGCATTGTGTGGTTTTGGGGTGTCTTGACATAGGTTTCTAAAACCTGTGACAAGGATCTACACCAAAACTGTGCAAAAAGAAGTGTTAATCCCATGAATGAGAGGCTGGGTGGGGCAGGGAAGGAGTTGTTTCCCCTGAGAAGGAGCAGCTGAGACCCAGAGGACAAGTGACCACATGGGGTCCCCCCAGCAGTACCATGGGGAACCAGAATTCCAGGACATTTTCCTTAGGGACCTGGGAGTGGGAGGCCTCTGGATGGCCTCCTCGATTGCTGTGTGACTTCAGGCAAAGCCCACACCCACTCTGGGCCAAACCAAGAAAGGGTTTAGGATAAACTCCCAGGCCCTGGCTCTGCATACCCAAGGACCCCTTTGGACAACAAATGTTTCCCTCTGTCCCCTTCATTCTGCTCCTAGGACCGTAAGGGAATAGGAGCCTGAAGCCAGGGGCCTGGGCCAAATCCCATCTCTGCTGCTCCCTAGCTATGTAACCCTGGGCTTCACCGTCCCCACCTATAGAATGGGGGTCACTATGGTTGTCATGAGGGTCAACAGGATGACCCCGTGCAGGGTGAGGAACCAATGCCTGGAACCAAGAACACGGCTGTGCTTCCTGTGAGCTCTGCCCAACCTCCCAGCCATGACGCAGCCATGTGACTGTTCTTGGAACCAGGGGCCCTCGTGCCAACTCACACTCGTATTGAAGAAGCTGAGTGTGTGAGAAGGAAAAATCCTAACTGGATAAAGGCGGTCTAGGCAGCAAGCGGGATGGTAGCACAGGGTTAGGGTTAGCAATGTGTGCATCTGGCCTATGGGAAGCCATGCAGCGAGACTGTGGATATACAGACGCAGGCGGGGTTCAGGACTCATAAACAGGGTTTTGCAGACACAGTTGTCCAGCAGGGAGTCCTTCCTTTTTCCTTTTTTTTTTTTTTTTTTTTTTTTTGTATGTGTGTGTGTGTTTTGAGACAGGGTCTTGCTATGTAGTTCAGGCTGGCCTTGAACCCACTATGTAGCCAGGGCTGGCCTCAGACTTTCAGCAGTGCTCCTGCTTCAGCCTCCCAGGTCCTAGGATGACGGGCGTGCACCACCACACCACACACAAAACAAGAAATGTTTTATTTCTCTTTTTTGTTTTCTTTTTCTTTTTTCCTGCAGGACTGTAGATTGAGTCCCCGGCCTTTACACTGGGCCACATCCTCAGCCCCCACCTCAGTCTAGCTAAAGCACTACGTTGCCCAGGCAGGGCTTAAATTTACCATCCTCCTGGCTCAGATCACAGGCTTGTGCCTCCACGCACGGCTTATCAGGGGAACATTCTGCAGGGAGGCGGGACATGGGACAATTCTGTCTTGTGTGGGGCTGTCCTAAGGATCACCGGGTGTCACCAGCCACTAATGGCCAGGAGACACCACCTCCCCACTCTGAGGACAAATCAGTAGCACCCTGCATTTCAGCACCCCCACCCAACGAGGACCTCAGGGAGCCCCAGTCCTCTGGGCTGGGCAGGACAGCTCCAGCCAGCTGGGACCACTGTTTCTTTACCTGCAGGGAGAAAATTCTGGCCAGGAGGTGGAGGGTTTCATCTGATCAAGAGTGCTCTCTGCCGTACACGGGGTTGGTTAAGGGCTCACCTTACAGCGGGTGCTGGAAATTCCACCTCCCATCACAAACTGGCCCGGTGGCTTTGCAGGGCTCTGCGAGTTCCAAGTCTTGACTTTGCTCAGAGCTGTCAGTAAACACAGTGACCATGGATATGGTGATTGGATCTTCAAAGATAATTTTCCCTACCAGGCCTGTGTACAAGGAACTTCCGGGGCCTTGTGCCCAAATACTCTTCAGTCTTCTGTTCTTTATCTTCAGAGATAAAGATAGCATTCAGTCTGCACAAGGTGAGCAGGGAGTCTTGGTGGATGGCTCCTGGCCACAGACGGGTGACTCTGAAAACTCAGATAGCCTAAGACAGTTGGACTTGTGGTAATCATGATGATCCTGTTCATGTCACCTCTTTCTTTCTTTCCTTTCTTCTTCTTCTTCTTCTTCTTCTTCTTCTTCTTCTTCTTCTTCTTCTTCTTTTTCTTCTTCTTCTTCTTTTTCATCTTCATCTTCATCTTCTGTCTCAATACGTAGTTCAGCCTGGCCTCAAACTCACTGTATATAGCCCAGGCTGGCCTCAAAATGGAGGGGATCCTCCTGCCTCAGCCTCACAAATGCCGGGATTATAGGCATGCACCACCTCACCCGCCATTGTTAGAGTCACAGTCCAGCCCCTAAGTACCACGTAAATCAAAGGAGGGAGACTAGCCAGGGATTTAGCTCAGCGGCATAAGGGCTTGCCTGCCAAGCGTGAGGTCATGAGTTTGATCCCTGGGACCAAAAAAAAAAAAAAAAAAAAAAGGAAGGAAAGTCTGGCAAGGCCGTAGACACTGGTGGCTGCGAGTTGGAGGGAATTTTGGTGAGCAGAGAAGGCCTCTGAGGAAGGACGGAGAGAGCTGGGCAGGAAGAGACACAAGCTCTGCATCCTGAGATGGCCTGGGGCTACAGGGTAGGGACCTTTGTCACTTGCTGAGTACGTCTGAGTTCCTGGCCCCGGGAGGTGTGGTTCTCAGTGTGTAAAAGGTGGGTGGAGGTATGGTGCCACACGGTTGTAATCCCAGTACTTTGGGAGGCTGAGGCAGGAGAAGGATTGCAGGTTCCAGCTCAAGCTGAGCAATTCAGTGACATAGCAAGTCCCTGTCTCAAAATCCAAAAATAGGGCTGTGAGTGTAGCTTAGTGCAGAAGGCAGCCCTGGGTTCAATCCCCATTCCTGCCCTCCCAACACACACACACACACACACACACACTCTCTCAGCTCTGTCTGAAGAGACACACACTCATTAAGAAAGCGAACGACTTTGAAGACTTACAGGGAGGGAGACGAATGTCTTCAAAAAGAGTTTTAAAAAAGGACACGAAGATGCAGAGAGAAAGAGGATTAGGAATGGTCAAAAGCGCCAAGTGAGACAGTGCGCCACACACGGTGATGCGGAGAGGCGGAGATGAACAGACAGAAAAGAGGAGGGCGGCTGAGCGATGCACAGGGACGAAAGGAGCGGTGGCTGGATGGTGACCGAGGCAGAAAGGGCCACAGTGAGCGGGTCAACGGGGCCCCAGGCGGCCGCGGGGGGGGGGGGGGGGCAGGGCGGGCCGGAGCGCGCGCCCCCTGGCGGCCGGAGGCTGACGCGCGCCCCGGCCCGCAGGTGTGGGAGGCGCTGCTGACGCTCGTCTTCTTCCCGGTGTGCGTGGTGTTCGCCTGGATGGCCGACAAGCGGCTGCTCTTCTACAAGTACGTGTACAAGCGCTACCGCACCGACCCGCGCAGCGGCATCATCATCGGCGCCGAGGGCGACCCGCCCAAGAGCATCGAGCTGGACGGCACCTTCGTGGGCGCCGAGGCGCCGGGCGAGCTGGGCGCGCTGGGCCCGGGCCCCGCCGAGGCGCGCGAGCTGGACGCCAGCCGCCGCGAGGTCATCCAGATCCTCAAGGACCTCAAGCAGAAGCACCCGGACAAGGACCTGGAGCAGCTGGTGGGCATCGCCAACTACTATGCGCTGCTGCACCAGCAGAAGAGCCGCGCCTTCTACCGCATCCAGGCCACGCGGCTGATGACCGGCGCCGGCAACGTGCTGCGGCGCCACGCGGCGGACGCGTCGCGCAGGGCGGCGCCGCCAGAGGGCGCCGGCGAGGACGAGGACGACGGCGCCAGCCGCATCTTCTTCGAGCCCAGCCTGTACCACTGCCTGGAGAACTGCGGCTCCGTGCTGCTGTCCGTCACCTGCCAGGGCGGCGAGGGCAACAGTACCTTCTACGTGGACTACCGCACGGAGGACGGCTCGGCCAAGGCGGGCTCCGACTACGAGTACAGGTGGGTGCCCCGCGCCGCCGTTCATTCGCAATGTCCACCCCCCAAGACCCGAGCTGGAACGCAGGCCTTCGCCCTGAGCTACGCTCCTGAGCCACTTACGTTACTTATTTTGAGATAGTTTGTACAAGCTGGCTCAAAGTGGGGATCCTCCTGCCTCAGCCTCCCGAATGCTGGGATTGCAGGCGTGCACCACCGCGCCCAGCTAACTCTTCATTTTATATTTTCATTTAGAGTCTCATCATATTGATAACTTGCCCAGGCAGGGCTTGAACTCCTGCCTCAGTCTCCCAGGGTGCTGGATGACAAGTGTGTTTTGAAACAGGTCTCACTAAGTCACCAATTTGCCCAGGCTGGGCTCCTGCAGACATGGGGGGTGGCACCACACCCGCCCATCCAGCCTTGCTTGAGCACCTACTGTGTGCCTACCGCTTCTCTGGGTGCCTCCCTGTGGGTTTGCTCACAGCAAGAGGGGATCTTTCCCCGAGGGGAGCAATAGCCGAGTCATCTCTGTTGCTTCCGGTCAGGGCCTTCTCGGCAGCCCTGGCCTGGTCCATGTCCCCATGGCCCCTCAGCAATGCCCGGATCCCTCTCCTGCTGTCGAGTGGCAGCCCCTGTCCTGTCACACACTTCCGGTCCCACCTCAGACAAGACCTCTCTCCATTGCTTGGGTATCTATGGCTTCAGCCCTCTGCCTTAGTCTGTCCAGCAGCCTTCCCCCCTGAGGTGCCCCTGCCATCACCGGCACCTCAGCCCCACGCCTCCTTGTGGAACAAGCTGCATTCCCTTGTACTGGGATTGTGGTTCTACCATCTCATCCGCATTCAAGCTGTGGCATCACTTATCAAGGAGCCAAGACCAGCACTGGAAGGAAGAAGAGACAGGCTATTGCTGAAGCTCAGCCTTAACTTCTGTTCCTAGGGCAACTCTACCTCAATCCAGGCAGTTAAGGTTGCTAAGTACAGTTGCTGAGGTTGTGCACTGCACAAAGGTACCACATTTGAGGTCCCTGTCTGTGTATTGCTTCCTTGAAATTAGACTCAAGTCATCCCCTTTTGGCAGGAACCCCTGGAAGGGATACTGTGTCCTCCTGGGGATAGCATATCAGGTGTGCTCATCTCCAAAAATTCCTGGCTCATGGAAATAGGTGCCTAGGAGGAAAGTACTTTTCTCATTTGTACTAGGATAGCCCTGTGGCTCTCAGTTTCTCCAAATTAAACACAGGCTCTGGGGCCCCCAAACGGGAATTCTGAAAGTCAAGCCCTAGGGCCCTAATGCACCGAGCAGTTCTTGAACTTTGGGATTCTGGGACATTTTGCAGTTGTAACCCTCACAAAGCCAGTCCCCCATCCCATGGTTCTAAGAGCTCCAGTTTTGGAACAGGAACCCTATAGATCGAGCCTTCTGTGACCTGCTGCCAGGCCCGTCCCCACCCCCGCCCAGCTTTTTATTTTTAAAAGCCTCACAGCCACAGAGGGGCTGCAGGGACAGGTGGCCCAACTCTGATTAGAAGCATCAGCTGTTCACACCCTGTCCTGTGTTTTCACTGTCTGTTGTTTGGTTTTGGGTACTGAGGATTGAAGTTGGGTCTTTGCACTCAGCTGCATCCCCAGCCTTTTTTGTGTTCTAAATCAGAGTCTTGCTAAGTTGCTTAAATTTATGATCCTCCTGCTTCAGCCTCCCAGAGTGCTGGGATTTCAGGCATGTGCCACCGTGCCCCACTTTCACATTTTTAACATAATAAAAGCATATTGGCATGCCTGTAATTCCAGCACTGTAGGAGGCTGAGGCAGGAAGATTGCAGAAAGTTTGAGGCCAGCCTGGACTACATAGTGAGATCCCGTTTCAATAATAAATAAATAAAGAATTTTAATAATGTGGCCCTCAATGAAGTGAGTCACAGGCCCCCCCAAACACTTGCACATGTGGCCTGAGAATGACAAGGCCCTGCGGGGACACAGCAATGACATACAGGCACCAAAGCACTCCATAGAGGTCATGTGGTCTACAGCCCATCTGTGTCCCCGCCTCTGTGGCTTCCTACAGCCTTGCACCTCCCTCCCTTCCTGCAAGACCCAGGACCACACGCTGTTACATTTGGTTGTCCCATCTCCTTGGTCACCTTCTGTTGTGACACCCCTCGGCCTTCCTGTGACCCTTGTGTCCTGAGCTTTTGAAAGTGAAGAGCAGTTCCCCTGGGTGCCAGTCTGTCGGATGTCCCCTCACCCCCAAAAGTACTTTCTCAGTGCAGTCCTGGCAGGGACCCTCCATGGAAGGGGTGCTGTGCCCTCCCGCATGCACACAGGGAGGTGAGAGCTGTCAGCCTGCCCATGACAGCGGTACCAGGTTAACCGTGTGCTACACTTGGAGCTCAGTCTTTGGTACAGGCAATGCTGAATCGCTGCATCCTGCTGCCCTTGAAGTTGCCTTGAGGGGCACAGTGGCACACATCTGCAATCCGGGACTCTAGGAGGCTGAGGCAGGGGGTGGATGGCAAGTTTGAACCCAGCCTGGATAACTTAGAGATCTAGTGAGAAGTGAGGCCATGTCTCAAAATGAAAAAAAGGGCTGGGGATGTAGCTCAGTGCAAGGGCCCCAGTGCAAACTGTACCCCTAGTATCACATACACCAAAGTAGTTTCTAACATTGGGGGTTGTTGGGGGGGTGTGGTACTGGGGATTGAACCCAGGGCCTTCCCCGAGCTGCAGCCCAGCCCTTTTTTTCATGAGACAGGACCTCCCCAAATCACTAAGCTGCCCCAGCTGGGCTCAAAGTTTTGATCCTCCTGCCTCAGCCTCCTGAAATACTGGCATTACAGGTGTGCCTCTTCCCGCCAGTCGAGGCTTTAGGTTCCAAACTTCCAGCATTAACGTGCGAGTGTCACTTGCTCACTGTCACTGTCACTTGTCTTCACACAAGGCCAGGAAGCCGGGGCTGTGGTCAGGTGCTCAAGAAGGCACAGGGCCTCACATGCAGACTGTGAGACGGGAAATGATGGAGTCTGCAGAGTCTGTGACACCTCCGAGGTCCCCTCAGCATGTCACCCTAATTCTGTGCCACTGGACAGCCTCTAGGTGTTAGGGAGACCCTAGGCTGGCACTCCTCCCTCTTCTGCTCCAGTGCCTCCCATGGCTCCCACCTCCTCAGAGTAAGGTCCTGTGGACTCTCATTGAGGCCCTGTCTCGCTGTCCCCTCTGTCCCTTTGCTGCTGCTGTGCCCACGAACACACTGACCCAGCTCCTGCCCGGTGGATGGGCACTGCTTCCCCTCACAGGTCAGCTCCTGCTGGGATCCGCTTGGGCCTCCCTTGTCTCAAAGACCGCCCCTGACCTAGTGTCACTTGCCATGTCCTGGACACTTACACCCATGCCTGCAGGACAGCCGGTGGTTAGTGTTTGTTGAATGAGTGAATGAACAAACTATAATTAAACCATTAAATGTGTCACTATTAGTTACATGATACAGCTCTCCAGTGAGGCTATGGGCCCCAAGAGGAAAGGAACTTGATCATCACTGGGTCCCCAGCATCCTTCAGTTTAGAGCCCATGTGCTTGGTGAGTGTTTGTTGAATGAATGAATGAATGCCCATGTAGAGTGCAGGCTTTCTCCGAGGGCACCTGGGAGCACAGAAGGGTTTTTATCAGTGACAAGAGCAGTTCCAAGGTCTCGGCTACAGAAGGTGGCCTGGGCGCCAGATTACACACACACCTAGAATGACTGAGAAATGCACTGGAAAGCCAGGTGTTTCTGAACTAGACTGCAGGCACAGACGCCAGTGCATGCTTGGGCCTCTGCCGAGCAGCCTGCCCACTGGCGCCAGTCCCCCTTCTGCCCCGCACCGGCCTGATGCCCTCTCTTCTCGCCTTCCCCAGCGAGGGGACGCTGGTGTTCAAGCCGGGCGAGACACAGAAGGAGCTGCGCATCGGCATCATCGACGACGACATCTTCGAGGAGGACGAGCACTTCTTCGTGCGGCTGCTCAACCTGCGCGTGGGCGACGCACAGGGCATGTTCGAGCCCGACGGCGGCGGGCGGCCCAAGGGGCGGTTGGTGGCGCCGCACCTGGCCACCGTCACCATCCTGGACGACGACCACGCGGGCATCTTCTCCTTCCAGGACCGCCTGCTGCACGTGAGCGAGTGCATGGGCACCGTGGACGTACGCGTCGTGCGCAGCTCGGGCGCGCGCGGCACCGTGCGCCTCCCGTACCGCACGGTGGACGGCACGGCCCGCGGCGGCGGCGTGCACTACGAGGACGCGTGCGGCGAGCTGGAGTTCGGCGACGACGAGACCATGTGAGCGGTCTGCGCACCCGCAGCGGGGCGGAGCTGTGGGCGGCTCCCTGGGGTGGGCGGGGCCAGGCTATTGACTGGGAGAAGGGGACTGTGGGGATAGAAGTGGGCGGGGCCAAGGAGGTCCTGTGAGGGCGCTTGAATGGGAGGGGCGTGGCTGTGAAATGGGTGGGGCCAAGGTGGGCTGTACTTGAGTAATACGGTGATGGGAAGCTTGAATGGGAGGAGGGCGGGGCCTGGGGCTGTCTAGACAGGGCTGGCCCAGGGATGGGTATGGCCACAATGGGCCAAGCCTGAGAAACGGAGCTTGCAAGGGAGAGGGGACGCGGGCCTTGTAAATGGGAAGGGCCTGGAAGCTGTGGAGACAAGGAGCGCCCAGGAGTGGGCGTGGCCAGGGTGGGCCAAGCCGGAGAAACCGGGCTTGACTAGGAGAAGAGCGGGGCGTGGGGGCGCTGGGATCCCGAATCAGAGGCAAGGCTAGGTTGAGAGGAGTCAGACCAGTGACAAGAAAGGCCTGGGTGGAAAAAAAAAAAAAGGCCTGGGTAGACAGGCAAGGAGGGAGCAGAGAGAAGATGGGCTCGGGGTTGAGGAGAGTGAGGTGTAGCCCTAAATACAGCCTCAGATAGCTGGAGGAGTTGGCGTGCAGCCCGAGGAGGGGGACCCCGGGGCCAGCAGGGCAGGTGGGGCCGCCTGCGAAAGTGGAGGGGGCAGGCCTGGAGGCGATGGATGCTGCCTGGCAGAGCCGCAGAAATAGACCTGGGCTGCTGAATAAGGGGCGCTAGGGTGGGCAGGCCCGGAGAGTGGGAGGCCAGGATAGGCAGGACCTAAAGAAGACCCTGGGTACCCCGGGAGATCGTGGGAAGGTGGTGGAGGCTAGGGGAAAGACGGTGCAGAGCGTGGGGGCACCAGGGGACGGAGGGGCTGGGTCTGGGGTCAGGGTGGGCGGATGCACAGATGCACGGGTGCAGATGCGCACAGGTGGATGCACAGACGCCGCTTCCCCGGGTGCAGCAGCCTCGAAGCCTCGCTCCCCCACCGTCTGCCCGGATGCTGGTGACGCCTCCTGCTTGCTTGCCCGCTGCCTGCCGCCCCCGCACGGCCGTCTGCTCCCTTCTCCCGCCGCCCACGCGCCTCCCACCTTCGGCCCCGCGCGCCCCTCCCTGCTACGTGCCCACACCGGGCGCACTCTGTCTCTCCCGCGCCGCTTCTCCGTCTCGCCCTTGGTCTCTGCCGCTCTGGTTCCCAGGCGGTCTCTCCCGGGGTCTCTGGATTTTATTCTCTGCCTGCCTGCCCTCAGTGCTTAACGCTCCCACTCCCGTTATATTTCTGCCCTGGACTTCGCTTACACCTCCATTTCTGTCCCTACCTTGGTTCCTGTTTTAGGGTTACTGAGAACTGGAGGGGAACCATCCTAGCCCCTCCACTGGCACCCCAGGTCTTTCCTGGGGTCCAACTCACTTCCCTCGGCCGGCGCAGCCTCAAGACGCCGTCGTCCCCCACCCCACGAGGCCTCCCGGGGCTGGGACATCCTCCGCCCCGCCCCCGCCCAGCTCCCAGCTGTGGCTGAGGAGACGGAGAACAGGAGGCTAATTAACGTCTAGGGAAACACATCCTTCCTGGAACCGGCGAGCAGGCGCTAATTACAAGCGCTTTGAAGCAGCCCAGCCTAAGGGGAGGCCCGGGCAGGATCAACACAGAGATGAGTAGAGAGAGACAGGCAGACAGACAGATCGACAGAGAGGAGAGAGCCAGACGGTGAGGATGGGAGACAGCGTAACAAGGACAAGCAGAGATAGAGCCGAAAAGAGCGAGAGACCCAGGATGCTTACTTAAGACACAGGGGGAGTCTCTAGGAAGGGAGCAACGGGGAGGAGGCCCCAGGAAGTTCTTCCCTCCTCTGGCTCCAGTCTGCCTTGCTGTTCCCTGCCTGCTGGGTTTCTCCTCCTGGGTCTCCCAGGCGATGCGCCTGTCAGGTGCTCTATCAGCGAGCGAGTGCGCGGCGGGGCCGTATGCGTCCCCATGCCATCACGTCACTGTGCCAGCAGCTGCCCGAGGTGTCTGTGACGAGGGAAACCCTGGCTCTGCGAGGTTTCAGCACCGAGGACAGCGCCGGTCCTCCCGGCAGTGGGGGCGCCGCCCAGGAGGGTAGGGGCTTGGCACCCCACATCCTGTGCGACCCTTCCTTACATGGTTGTCGTCGTTAGAATGTCGAGATGCCACTGTGAATGACATCCTCGTGTGGACTGTGATCATTGCGGCGATTTCACTCTGTGGGTGCTGAGGGGCTGAGATATAGGGCAGAACAGATAAAGAAGGGCAGAGAGGAGAGGAGAGACTGACGCAGAGAGGGTGGGAGACAGAGAGAGGTGCAGGCCCAGGAAGCTGAGAAAAGCAGAGAGGGACAGGAAGATGCAAATAGAGACCAAGATGCAGGCTGAGGCACTGAAGGGAATAAGCAGACCCTGAGACGCAAGGAAGGAGAGTGGCCACGATGGATGTTATCGGGTGGCCTGTGGGCTGGCGATCCCCACGGCTACGGTGGGGATGTTGTGCTAACAGGCATCTGGGCTGTGCAAGGGATTTTTTTTTTTTTTTGTCCTTGTGATTTGCCACTGCATAGGGAATGGCTGCGGGCGTGTGGTGTGGGCGGTGTGGCTGGCTGCGCTTCCTCTCCCGCTGACTGCGTGGGCTGGTGTTTGTGTTGCTGGGTTCTAGGGCCAAGCCTCGTGGGGCTACGTGACTTCTACAGCTGAAAGAGTTGCTAGTGGCAGAGTTATGGGTGTCTGGGCGTGGGGTCTTTGCCCTCGCAGGCTGTGTGCCCGATGGGATAGGGAATGTCTGGCTGTTCCCTGACACACCCTGGTTGCCATGGGAGCAGAGATGCTGGGAAAAGTCTTCCCAGTGTGGTCAGACTGGAGGGCAGGAAAGAGAGGATTGTCTCTGTTGATGGATTTGAGTTGACAAAATATTTAGGGAGGGCACACTAAGCCCCAGACTCCATTCAGGGTATGGGACATACTGCAAAGAATGTCACTGAACTTATCTGGTGGAGTTTACATTTTAAAGTGAAGATGTAAGTGGCAAATAATAAAATAACTAAGTGTAGGGGCTGGGGATTTAGCTCAACGGCATAAACACCTGCCTTGCAAGCAGGCAGTCGTGAGTTCGATCCCCGGTATCGATAAAAAGGAAAAAGACAAAAAAAAAAAAAAAAAAAAAAACCTAAGTGTATTACATGGCACATTAGAAGGGGGAGTGAAAAAAAGAAAGAAAAAAAAACAAGCAGGGTAGGGGAGCTAGGAATGGGGTGCTGATGAGGGGCAATGGATTTCAGCACTCAGGAAGGGGATGGAAGCGGACCTCATGGAGAAGGTGAAGAGTGGACAGAGAATGGGCCGAGGAAGTGAGTCCAAGGAGGAGTGGTTAGAGAGAGGTCACAGCCACAGCCAGTGCAGAGGCCCTGGGGCACAAGCAGCCCTGCTGTGCTGAGAAGAGAGCGGAACAGGGCTTCTGCGCCCAGGGGCTGGGGACTGTCCTCAGATGTGAGCTTTTATTCCGAGTGAAATGGGAGCCGCCCACGTGTCTGGAGCAGGGCAGGGAGCAGTCCAACCCAGCCGCTATGGGGCACTTCAGCGGTGGGTGGTGAGGCTGCAGCGAGGTTGGGAAGAGATGGGAAGTGGCAGTGGCCGGCTGGCTGGACTAGGGGTTTCACAGGTAGAGACATCAGGTCCTGCAGCTTCCGAGAGCTCGGACTGGCTCCCTGTCATAACCCTCCCTTCCTCCTCGAGGTGTCTGGGTCTGTTCTGACAAGCAGGGGCAGCAGCAGAGCCCTCGTGCGGGTGCTGGTGAGGACCCCATGTGACGGTGGGGCTGGGGCCTGCCCAGGCTCTGGAGGGCTTCACACCACACCTCCGCCTCCCCGCCCAGGAAAACTCTGCAGGTGAAGATCGTGGATGACGAGGAGTACGAGAAAAAGGATAACTTCTTCATCGAGCTGGGCCAGCCCCAGTGGCTTAAGCGAGGGATTTCAGGTGAGGTGGGAGAAAAAGGGCCCAGGGTTGGGGGGCCCTGGGGCTGAGCGGCGGACACCTGAACTGCTCTTGCTGGCTCGCTCGCAGGGAAGTGATCTCACTGTGCTCCTGTCTCTGTCTCTCCCCAGCTCTGCTACTCAATCAAGGTGAGTAGGGTCACAGGGGGAGGAGCCCCTGGAGGGGCGTTGGGGAAGGCAGAGTGCCAAGGTGGGGTGTGAGGCAGGTTGGAGGTGAGGTGGAGGTAGACTTGGGGTGGGGCAAGGGCTCTGCCTGCCCTAGAGGGGGTGCACTGTGAGTTGGGGTCATAGTTAGGGTTGTGGAGGTAAAGAATGTGTTGTGGCCAAGGCTGGGGGAAGTGAGTGCCACAGAATCAAACCTGGGTTTGTGGGGTATCAGAGGGAATTGGGGTTGGGTGCGATCTGGACTATGGTAGGGTTGGGATTTGAGATCAGTGTTCCCTTGGGTTAAGGTAGACATGGTTTCCTGGGACCATGGTGAGATCAAAGCAGAATTTGGACCCAGTTTCTGTCAAAGATGAAGCTAGAGTTTGGCATTACAGATTTTTAGGGGACTGGGTTAGAGATTAGAATGGCCAGGGATTTAGCTCAGTGGCTCAATGCCTACCTGGCAAGCATGAAGTCCTGAGTTCAATTCCTGGTACCAAAAAAAAAAAAATTGATTAGATTGTTATGGAGACACGTTGCTTTGGAGCTAAGACCAGCAGTAGAACTCATGGTTAGGGTTAGCATTAGACTGTGTTCATTAGGATAAGTGATTCAAGCTGTTGTAACTCATCGGTCTGTAAGTCCACAGAGCTTAATACATCAAAAGTTGTTTCTTGCTCAGTTTTCTGAGTGTTCCCTGTTGTTGGGTAGCTTTCCTCTGCTTTCCAGTGTGGCTCCATGGTGCCATGGAGCTTTGGCACTGTTGCTGGACCCCCTGCTTCCATCTGACAAACAGGGCAAGGATGTCTGGAGGAACACATGGGAGGTTTTTGAGGACCAACTGCCCATCCCTTCTGCTCTCACTCTATTGGCTGTCACTCAATCACATGGCTGAGTCCAGCTGCAAGGATGGCTGGGAAATGTAGTTCAGCTGTTTCCCCAGGAGGGATAGGAAAGAGGTCTGGGTGAACAGGTAGCCTGCTCTGCCATACCATCAAGCTCTTTGTTAACAGTGATACTTGGGTTGGGAATTGAAACTGAGGTTTTGGGTCGTGTATGACTGCAGAGAGGTCTGGAGTTGGAGTTTGGAACTGGGCTTGGGGTTACTGAGGAGCTAGATCATGGGTGTTAGAATTGGGGTGGGAATTTAGGGTTAGGATTAACAGTTGAAATTTGGAGTCAGGGTAGTGATGAAGTTAGGGCCACAGGTAGAATCAGGCTTGAAGTTGGGCACTAAAGCTGGGTTTGGGCTTAAAAAGCCAAAATCTTTTGTGGAGAAATGTGATCTTAGGGCAAAGATGTAGGTTGGGGTTCAAGATTTGTGCCCAAATTGGGGACCCCCCACTCTTCTGACCACCTCAGACACACTTTAGGGTCTCTCCAGAGCTTGGATGTAGAGACCAAGAGTCCTCCCCCAAGGATGGTGATGATGATGTCAGTGTTGGTGACAATAACAAGAAAGTGACATTTACTGAATATTTATGTGTGCCAGGCCCTGTGCTAAGCACTTCATACAAATTAGATTACTTAACTCTCACATTATTGTATGAGGTAAGAATTATTGTGCCCATCTTACAGATATGAAAACTGAGGCACAGAGAGGCTGACACACTGCCCGAGGTCACAGAGCCTTCCCCGTGTGAATCCAGGCCCCACAACTAAGCTTCAAGGGGCTAAGGAGAGGGTTGTCAGATGGAGCTGGGAGGGGTCACCCAGGAGGCTTCCTAGAGGACAGACAGGTTTTTATTTAAGCGACAGGTAGGAAAAGCATCGCAGGCCCAGTGTGTAGGCTTCCTTGGAGTCTAACCCCGCCCTCGTGCTGCAGGGGATGGGGACAGGAAACTGACGGCTGAGGAGGAGGAGGCTCGCAGGATAGCAGAGATGGGCAAGCCGGTTCTTGGGGAGAACTGCCGGCTGGAGGTCATCATCGAGGAGTCCTATGACTTCAAGGTGACTCGCTGGTGCCTAGGCATGTCCTTGGGGAGGGGCCGGAAAGTTGGGGGCCCCAAAGACCTCAGGCGCTGCCGACCTGAGGCCCAGGCCTCGGTCCATCGCCGGCGTCAGCACCACGGACAGCGCACGCCCTCCCTGTCCCTTGTTTGAGCTGCCGGCCGGCGCAAGCGCCCTGCATGGGACGCGAGCGCCCAACCCCGTGCCCCACCCAGAGCCTCCCTGGGTGCTGATGGGCTGTGACCGCGTCTTGTCCGCTCTCCCCCAGAACACGGTGGACAAACTCATCAAGAAAACGAACTTGGCCTTGGTAATTGGAACCCATTCGTGGAGGGAGCAATTTCTAGAAGCAGTGACCGTGAGTGCAGGTAAGTGGAGAGGGAGGGAGGAGAAGGGAGGAGGGCGGGGGACAGAGGCAGAACCGGGTGTAGGGGCGCGCCTGAAATCCCAGCATTCCAGGAGGCTGAGGCAGGAGGATCAAAAGGCTGAGCCCAGCGTGGGCAACTTGGTGATTATCAATCCCTGTCTCCGAGTAAAAAAGGGCTGAGGGTGCAACTCAGTGCAGAAGCCCTGGGTTCAATCAAAAGAGAACAGAAAGACAAAGGGAAAGATAGAGGGGAGAGACAGACACAGAGGGGCATACAGGACACCAGAGGCAGGACAGAGACAGCGCGAATATTCCTGCACACTGACTGACAAGGGACAGTGAGCCACAGAGGCGGGGACACAGACACGAGGAGGCCCTGACAGGTGGAGGCAGAGACGGAGGAGAGGGTATTGCAGGCCTCGGTCTTGGCTTTTGGTTGAGGGGTCCCGGCTTGGGTTTTCTCCAGGCATCAGGCAGGGGTGAGTGGGGTGAGAACGGGAATGACTCGGCCTCCCCAGACAGAGCTGGGCTCCTCTGTTACCATGGAGACAGTCACTAGAGCACCCGGCTTGTCTCCCACCTGCACGGTCCGCACCCTGCTCAGCCTCCTACGGACCTACAGCGCCCCCGTGTGGCCAGAGGTACAATGACCCTTGAAACCGCAGTTTTGATCTTTGAGACCAACTCTGGTTCCTTGTGATACAGATTGGAGAAACTGAATCTCCAAGGCAGAGGAAGGATGGACCCAAAATCCCACAGGGAGTCCAGGAAGAGACCAATGCTAGAGCTCAGGGAATCTGTATGTCACACAGCGACTTTCCTTCATGGAGGCCCCAGCTGGGGGGACAAACTGGGGGGACACCCCGCCTTGGGGTGGGAGAGAAGCAGCTGGAGATGGCAGAGCTTTGGGGCCTTCTCAAGCTGGGTGGCATCGCCCCTGGGAGTCACAACATATTTCTGAGTGATTCTCTGGGCCCAGTTCTGTTCCGGGACATTGGCGGGGACATAGAAGTGACTGAGACAACACTGGCCCTGTCCTGTGGTATAGGCAGGTATGTTACAGCACAGCAGCAAACTGGGCTGGGCTGGGGGACCCCACAGCGATCCCAGACGGGGGTGCCTGACTCAACCTGAGTGTGGATGCAGGCACTTTGTGGGAGGGTGTCCAGAGAGGTACAGGATGAGGCCGGAGGTCAGTTTGGGTTGCGAGTAGTTGGGAGCCAGTGCAGCACTTGGAGTGGGACAGAGAAAAGCCCCCAGTGAGGTAGTGGCAGGTCCCCAGAGAGCTCAGTCTCCCTGCTTTGACCTGGGCCCAATCATTGTGAATTCATCAGAGATGAGTTCAGAGCAGACAACAGAAAACTGCAAGTGACCCAAACACACTGAAGTTTCTTTTTCTCATGGAAAAATCTGTAGTAATGAGTTGGTGTAGTGGCTCAGTAGTGTCATTAAAAGCTGCCTCTCTAGCCGGGCGTGGTGGCTCATGCCTGTAATCCCAGCACTCAGGAGGCTGAGGTGGGAGGATCATTGCTAGTTCAAGACCAGCCTGAGCTACAAAGTGAGCTCAAGGCCAGCCTGAACTGCATGGTGAGACCCTGTCTCAAAAAAGACAAAAAAAGCTGCCTCTCTTCTTCATTTTGCCTTCCCACTCTCAGCTTTTGTCCTTGTGGTTGCAAAGTGGCTGCTATAGTTCCTGATGTCAAGTCCACATTCCAAGTATAAGGAAGGGGCAGTGCCTGCTGGGCTGAAGTCCCCAACTTTAGCTGTTAACTTCATTTACTTGATGTTGAAGGGGATACATGATCTGAGTCCCTGAATCCATCAGCCTCTCCCTGCCTCTATGCCACAGCTGTCCTCCGCTCACTGACACCCTGGGATTTCTCGGAGAGAGCACATCAAGGAGCACCTCAGATGGACTTGGGAAGTGGGTCTGTGATCTGGTGGCTGTCTTGGCATTTTATCCCTGGCTGCTCCGTGTGACTGGTCAGGGCCTGGGATTCTTATCAGTGTCCATGACGTGACACTGGGCACTCACCTGCATGCTGCTTCTCATGCCCCACCCTATGTGTATCAGCTTAGGCAAGATGGCCAGGGCATTTCATTTGTGCTTTCCCATGGCACAACTCCCTCCAGGGCAAAAGCAGGCTGAACTGAGCCACACCAGGGAACACTGTGCTATACAAAGTGCAGAAGTCACAGCCCTGTTCAGTGCCACAGTAGGGAAGCTACAGCCTCCACCACCAGCTGTTTAAGTCTCACTGCCAGCCTGAGTGATGTGGCCACTGTTGCAAGGCACTGTGGGAAAGCGTATATTTAGCACTGAAGCCTGCAAAGAATTCTGGGAAAGTGACTAATTTTTAGCTGGGTTTATATTTCTCTCTTGTGCAAGACATCCTGGGAAAGCAAATATATTGGGCTGAGTGTGGCCACAGTTGGCAGCAGCGAATCTGAGAAATGACTCTTTATAGCTATGGATATGGCTTTCAGTGGCAATAAAGGCTTCTGGGAAAAGAAATAGTTTTAGTTAGGGAAACAACCATCCCTAACAGCCAGAGGTTCTGAGAAGCTGATATTGTTAGCAAGTCACCTATGGCCTCCTCCGAATTCAAGGGATTCTGGGGAAGTCTTTTTACCTGGCCTATACACTTTGCCAACTGCAAGGGATTCTGGGAAAGTAAGTATTTATAGCTGCTGACATGGTCACACCTAGGGGCAAAGAACTCTGGGAAAACAGTTTTGTGGGACTCCCTGTCTGGAAATGAAATAAAGCGGGGCCTCTGTAGCTGAGGAAGGAAGCATGAGTTTGTGCTCCGCTGGGTCGTGTTCCCACAGGGGACGAGGAGGAGGAGGAGGACGGGTCCCGGGAAGAGCGGCTGCCATCGTGCTTTGACTACGTGATGCACTTCCTGACGGTGTTCTGGAAGGTGCTGTTTGCCTGTGTGCCCCCCACTGAGTACTGCCACGGCTGGGCCTGCTTTGGGGTCTGCATCCTGGTCATCGGCCTGCTCACTGCCCTCATTGGGGACCTCGCCTCCCACTTTGGATGCACTGTGGGCCTCAAGGACTCTGTCAATGCCGTCGTCTTCGTGGCCCTGGGCACCTCCATACCGGGTAACTCCCCAAAGCCTGCTTCTTGGATCAGGACTCAGGGAAGGGGCAGCATTGAGAAAGGGTCGCTGAGAAACACGTTGAGATGCATAAAAGCTAGGAGGGGACAACTGAAATGAATCCTGCCAGAGACCAAGTGGGTGGAATGTCCCAAAGCGATGAAGTGGGAGGGACGGTAGAAGCCAGGTGTGCGGCAGGACATGATGGCCCTCACCTGTAATTGCAGCTCATGAGAGGCTGAGGCAGGACGATGGCGGGTTCTAGTTCTGCCTGGGCAGCTTAGTGAGAGCCTGGCTCAAAGGGGACGGGGGATTGTAGTTCAGTGTGAAGGCCCTGGGTTGCGTGTCCAGAGCCACAAGGAGAAAAAACAGAGGGAGCCAGCTGAGTGCAATCAAGAAAGAGGTGGGGGTCCCAGAGATACCAGGCAGAGGGGTGGATGAAAGTGAGACAGTGCCCCAAGAAAGAAACTGCGACTCATGGAGCCATACTAGTCTGCTTGAAAGAGGCACTAGCGGGGCACAGAGGGGCAGGCCCATAAAACCCACAACTGGAGAAGCTGAGGCAAGAGGATTGCTGAGAGTTTGAGGCCAGCCCAGGCTACAAAGTTCAAACCAGCCTCTCAAGTATGCAGCAAGACCCAGACCCCCCCTGGCCCCCCAACAGTGCTGGAGGTGGAGCGCACGCTAGGCAGACCCACCCGAGTTAGGAACACTAGTCACCGCCGAGCTTTGACGGTGATGTGCCATGTCCCCACAGACACATTCGCCAGCAAGGTGGCGGCGCTGCAGGACCAGTGCGCGGACGCGTCCATTGGCAACGTGACGGGCTCCAACGCGGTGAATGTGTTCCTGGGCCTGGGGGTGGCCTGGTCGGTGGCCGCCGTGTACTGGGCGGTGCAGGGCCGCCCGTTCGAGGTGCGCACCGGCACGCTGGCCTTCTCGGTCACTCTGTTCACCGTCTTCGCCTTCGTGGGCATCGCGGTGCTGCTCTACCGGCGCCGGCCGCACATCGGCGGGGAGCTGGGCGGCCCGCGCGGACCCAAGCTCGCCACCACCGCGCTCTTCCTGGGCCTCTGGTTCCTCTACATCCTCTTTGCCAGCCTCGAGGCATACTGCCACATCCGTGGCTTCTAGGCGCCACGCGGACTCAGCCTCGCCGGGACACAGCTCCAGGACTGGCCGCCGCCTCCTGAGACCCGGCCCGCCCTTCCCGGAGCCTTCGCCCCGAGCTCCGCCCCCAGGCTCTCAGCCCTGCCCCCTGTTCCTCGCTCCTGGAGAAAGATCCACCTCCAGACTTCTCCCCATCCTCCGGAACACAATTTCTCTCTCCCCGGACATCCAGAAGTCTCCCTTCTCCTGGTGACATCCCAGGGCCTCTGGAGTCACCTTCCCCGGGGACCCTAGACCCCCAGGACGCACAGATCTCGGTCCTTCCTCCACCCTGAGGGAGCTCCGCCCGCGCCCGGGGGGAGGGGGACGCACATCTCTCTCCTGCTGTTTGCACTCCAGATGGGGGGACCGAGGCTCGGAGGAATCGGGGATCCGTCCCGAAGCTCGCTGGAGGAGGCACGTTTGGCACCTGCAACTTCTCACATTCCAGCGCCCCAATTGCCCTCCACTACCTCTGCGTGCCCGCGCCTGGAGGGAGGGGTTGCGTGCGCGCGTGTGTACATAGTGTGCGCGGGGAGGGGACGCGGGTGGGTGCATGTCGTGGGAAAGGGTGACAGACTTTGCTTTGGAGAGAGGGCAGTAGACTCCCTCAACCTTGCCGGGAGTCTCCCCGGACAGCCTCGGAGGTTCATTTCGCCCTCAGTGCCAGCCAGTCCGGGCAGGACCCTCGAGGAGCAGCCCGAGGGTCCCCGAGGACTAACACTACAAGCCAGCAAATGCTGCCACATCTCTGCCTGTCGGGGGGGCGGGCGGGCCTGGGTCTGGGGAGCATTTTAAACTTTGGAGGCCGCCGTCTACCTGGTAGGCCGTCTGCATTTTCTTACTGTTGATGTTTCCTGCCTAAAGGACACACTTGGGGAGCGGGGAGTGCTCGTACTCCTTGTCACCCAAGGATGACCCTTGCCATCCCCATAACCACCTGCTTCTTATGGGTTTTTTTTGTTGTTGTTGTTATTGTTGTTTTGCATTCTATTGTCCAGTTGTGCATCCACTCGGGCACCCGGCCTCGTTACCACGCCCCTTCTCCCCAGCCATCCGCATCAGCCACCGTCTCTGTGATTTCTGTAAAAGTTGCCATAAAACTTTGAAATTCTGCCTGAAAAAGTCTTCCCGCGGGAAGTGGGGGTTTCAGGAAAGGAAGGCTGACGAAGTCATCTGACTCAGATTTGGGCGACTGCGAAACAAACCGGATTAATCTGTGTATTTAGGGGCTGGGGGTTTAGCTCAGCGGCGTAAGCGCCTGCCTTGCAAGCAGGCAGTCGTGAGTTCAATCCCCGGTACCAATAAAAAGGAAAAAGACAAAAAAAAAAAAAATCTGTGTATTTAAAGTGTCCCTTGGAGGGCACGCCCACTTGAATCAAGGGCTCCATTGGCCAGCCTCTCCTGCAGCCGGGCTCCGTTGGCCACGCCCCCATCGATCAGCGCAAACCGTGTCTTTTCTGGGGCATTTTGGGAATAAAACGAACCGGAAAGAGTCAGGGTCGGTCGAGTTTCCTAAATACAGCAGGAGCCTACTCTGAACCCTGAAGCTGGACGAGGTGCATGGGGGCAGCGCTCGCGTGCAGAAGCGCGAGCTCGACCCTGCAACCTAACGAGCTCACGGCTTTTGCAGAATTCTGCGAGAACTTAACAGAAGCTCAGGAGTGGGTTAGGAGTGGAGAGTGCGTAGAAAGATCGACTCTTAAGAGACCATACCAGCCATGCTAAGGAGTTTGTCATTTATTTAAAAACAAAGTGAAGAGTTTGAATGGGATGATGGGGGCGTGGGTAAAGTTGATTATTTAATTTCTTTTTGAGATGGTGTCTCGCTATGCAGTTCAGGACGACCTTGAACTCATGGCGATCCTCCTGCCTCAGCCTCCTGAGTACTGGGATTACAGGCGTGCACCACCACGCCCAGCTGAATTTATCTTATTTATATTTCGTGCCTTTGCCTCCCTGTGGTCCTCCAAGATTTGAGAGCAGCGGAGAGGCTGGGGCAGGCACTCAGTTGCTGGAGGACAAGGGGAGAAGAGAGGTGGAGAGCAGGTGAGGAGGTCAGGAAAAGCATCCGGCAGGAAAGCGGTAGTGCACTCAAAAGAAGGAGCCAGGGCCAGGTGCAGTGGCGCATGCCTGGAATTCCAGCACTCTGGGAGACTGAGACAGAGGGTCCCAATTTCAAGTCCAGTCGGGGCAGTTTGGCAATTTAGTGAGACTTTTAAAAAATAAAGAAGAGCTAGGTCTGGCAAGCACGAAGTTGTGAGTTCGGTTTCCAGTACAAAAAAAAGCAAAAAAGGAAGTGACCAGTGCAAGGCCTATGAAGGAAGGAAAGAGCAGGGATGGGGATGAGCGAGACGCAGTGCGCAGGAGGAGCAGCAGGGGGCGCAGGAGCCACGGGTCGCGGGGTGAGAAGAGGCTCCGGCTGCCCGGAAACGTCGGACCAGGCGGGCACCCCGTGAGTAGGCGGCGCGTGGAAAACCGCAGAGTTAAAACCGGAGGAGGAAGCAAGGACGTGATATTCGGGAAGACGGACGACAGGAATGAACGGAGAAGCCAAGAGAAGAGGGCGCAAGACAGGGTCCGTCAGGAACGGGGAGCTGGGGAAGCCACGTGGGGGAGGGAGTGGGGCAGAATCAAGCTGACCTGAAGTGAGGAGAAGGTGGGTGGGGAACTGAGCTAGCGTGCACGGACCACTGTGCAAAAGCCGATGTGGACGAGAGGGCGGGAGGGGGCTTTGTCCCTGGGTGCAGAGTGCTGTAGTCCAGGAGGCCCTGACCACAAGGGTGAAAGCAGCAGTTGAGGTGCGGAAGTCACGGGATGGTGACCACAGGCTGACCGCCACAACATCCGGTGACCCAACCAGAACACGGCTCATTCCACTGCCAGCCCTGTGTCACCTGCTCCTCAGGCTAGGAAGCAGCTCAGAGAGGTGACTAGACTACCCAGGGTCCACAGCAGGAAGGGCATGGATGGGAGGGAACAAGGCCACCACAGAGGAGGGACAAGGGACAACCTTGCATCTGAACAGATGCGGACCGGAAGGTGGGCACAGTCACTGTGGTCTGGCCAGCGTGCTGCGCCGAGCTCCAGAAAAGCCAGGCTGAGGCCAGGACACACGGGAGGGGTGACGGGAGTGGGGGGCGGCCTACAAAGCGCAGAGGCCAAGGAAGTCCTGCCAGGTGTGCTGACTCCAGTCTGGTGGCAGTCAGGCTCCTGCCAGGGGTCCTCAAGCGGTGACAGATGCTGCTGCGGAGGGTGATTTCTGCCTCCAGCTTCTGGTGGAAGGGTGTGTGGCACTGGTCACTTCCTTCCACCTCCTCCATACCTGGGTCCCCTCCAGGGATTGAACGGGACTTGGAAGATTTTTTTCTTTCCTTCTGGCACTGAGGATTGAACCTGGGGACTTTGGACTGAGCTACACCTCCAGTCCGTTTTATTTTTAGACTTAGAATCACTGAGCCACAAAGTTGCCCAGGCTGGGCTTGACTTTGGCTGCTCCTGCCTCAGTCTTCCAGAGTGCTCAGATTGCAGACATCCACCCCACGGAAAGGTTTTTGAGCGTATGGAGCTGGGGGAGTCCTCAGCGCCTCCCCAGATAGCTTGAACACCCTGAGTCTGATCCTTGCCACGCTTCCCTCAGTCCTCTCCCTGTGTGAACCCTGAGGGGGGCAGCAGGGAGAGAGGCAGAGCCAGGCCACGGAACAAAAGCCAAGGGCCCCACATCGGAGACAGGGACACAAGACAGATGTCGCAGATGTCGCAGATGCTGAGGGAGGGAGGCGGCAGGAAGTCAGAGCTGTGGCAACAGCAGCAGTGTGGAGAGCAAGGAGGGACACAAGCCGCAGGGGTCAGGAAGAGATGGGGACAGAGGAGGGGGCACAGCAACAGGGAGAGACATGGGCGAGGGAAAAGGGCAAGCTGGGGAGACCCCAAGGCCAGAGAGCAGAGGCAGAGAAAAGCAGACCAGACAGAAAGGACAGGAGCAGGAGACAGCCAAGAGAGAGGGTGGCGGGTCCTGGTGGCTTGTCCCTGCCCGCCCGGCCTGGTGCTCTGGCCTCCGTGGCTAATGCTATGATTGCTTGGCAGGCAGAGGGGAGGGGGCGGCGGTGACAAATGAACCCAGTGATGGATGGCTCAGCAGCCCGGTGGCGGGTGGGGGGGGGGGACCGAGATAAATGTTTCCTTCTCCTGGAGCCAGGCCAGGCGGGGAGGGACAGGGACATGGGCCATGTCTCTGCTGAAGGCCTGGGCAGTGGGGTGTGGGGACACTCAGGGCTGGGGGAGTGGGCAGAGAGTCTGAGATGGAAAGCAGAGAAAACAAAGGCAGAGATAAGGAAGGAGGAGGCGCAGACACTTGGCCTGGGCAGTCAGAGGCTGAGCAGGCGGCCCTTTCCCCACAGCCTGGACCTAGGAGCAAGGGCAAGGGACAGAGACCTGCAGCGCTGCGGATGAAGGGGAAACTGAGGCAGAGAACGGCAGGAGGGAGGGAGGAGACCCAGGGGCCCTGAGCAGCATCCATCCCCACAGCCTTGGAGAGCAGATCCTGGGGCTGCTAGGAACCCCAGGGGACAGTGGCTGCTAGAGGGGCCTAAGCTCAGGTGGGGGCCAGGGGAACAGGAAGATCCTGCCCAGGGGGCGGCCTGGGATCCTCCAGCTACTCCCAGTGGCCTCAGGGCCTTCATGGCCTGAGACCTTCCTGTCCCTTCAGTGGGGGTGACAGAGTGGCCCTGGTCCTGGCCCATTGCACACCCACCCCTGCTGAGGGCAACAAGGCCACTTCGTGAGCCACACAGTGACCCCCAGCCAGCCAGCACCCATGGAGAACACCACTCCAGAGTCCCCTGGAGACAAAGGTCTGAGGACCGAGTAAGGAAGCAGGCTCAGGAGGAGAGTGGCCGCGGGGCATGTGGGCACGTGTGTGTGTGTGTGTGTGTGTGTGTGTGTGTGTGTGTGTGTGAAGGCCGCCTCTCCATCCCTCCAGGTCGCCCCCAGCCTCTCCTATTCTCCCCTGCCCAGCCACCTGCTCCTCTCCTGTGTGGGGCTGCAGGGTGCTTTGAGCTCTGAGCCAGGGCAGAAGCAGCCCCCACCCCCACTCCTCACTAGCCACTCCCTGACACCCAGAAGGTGCTGCCCCAGAGGCCACAGTGGCCAGAGTCAGCCAGGCCAAGGCAAGGAGCCTCAGCACCCTCATGCACACCTGAGAGGCAAATCAGGGTCGGCACCCCACCCCACCCCTGAATCTCAACTGAGGGCGGCGGGGCAGGACAGGCAGAAGAGCTGTACATTTTTAATTAAAAAGTGACTTAAATTAATTTTCTGCTGCAAAATCCCAATCTGGGGAATAGTGCACCCCAGGGATCAGCACCCTCCCACTGCAGACCCTGTCTTAAAGGGCCAGCATCTCCAAAAGAACACTGGGTGGGGCCCCACATCACCAAGCCTGCCTTCCATTTTCTGCCCTTCAGGAGGGAGATGGGGCTGAACAGGTCAGGGCCTGGCTGAGGGATGCCAAGCGGACTCCCATGGAGAGGATGGCTTGGCTGCTTGTGCCCTGGAGAGCCTTGGGGAGACAGAGAGAAGGAGATGGAAGGACAGATACCAGGAGGGAACATCTAAGAGCCTGGGGTGGGCTGGGGGCCTTGAGGGGTACTGGACTCCTGTCCCTTTCTGTCCCACCCCCCACAACCTTCCCGCTGCCACCCCCAGGGAAGTTCTGCTGCCACCACTCCCCAACCCCTGTGTCACCCCTGCCCGCTCCGGGGCTTGCTTGCATGGGCAGGTGAAGGGTGACCCCAACCCCCTCAGCTCCCCTCTGAGACTCTTTTCCTCCCTGCGGTTCTGCCCCCCCGCAGCTTGGGTCTGTGTCCCCCCTTTCCAGGTCACTCACAAGTCCCAGGCTGCAGAGGCTGAGGACTGTCCTGTCCAGCCCCCAACCATTTTAATCTGCCCCATCTCAGAGCGTTTGCCACTTCTGGGAGCAGCTTACACTCACACGTCTGGGCACCGGCTTCACCCCCACACTCCTCCCAGCCCCGGTACGGCCTGAGCACCATGGGACCCAGAAGTTAGCCCTTTGCTCCCTGCGATGGCCCAGAACACCACCGGCAGTAGTAGGTGCTCAGAAAACTGCGCGGCACAAACCCTAGACTTTATCTAGCCGTAATGCCCGCTTCCAAGCTGTCTTGGGGTTCGATGAGCGCGGCGGCAGCCTCCTCAGCGCGCACCTAAGCGCACGCACGATTTCCGTGACGCCGCGGCCTCCCAGACAGCAGCTGCGGGAACTTTAGGCTGTGACCCTCTAAAGGCAGGGGTGAAGGCGGGCAGAGGGACGCGTGCGCTGTGCCCTTAGGGAGGGGAAGGGAGCCAGGGCAAGAGGAGAAACTAAAATATAGGAGATCGTGTTCTTTCTTGCCTCCCATTCTCTCTGATCCTGTCTTACAGAGAGGGAAACCATGGAGACTGGGCGAGAAGACAGAAAGGGTGGTGCGAGGGCAGGGAGGGAGAAGCCAGCGGAGACCGGTGCCGCGAGGGGAACGGGGTTAGCAGTATCCTGGGAGCCTCGAATACAAAGGCCACGGCTGTGTGGCTGCGGGCGGGAGGCAGGGGGGGGTGGGGGTAGGGGAGGGCGGGGGCGGGGCGAAGCGGGGAGGGAGGAGACGGGAGAGGGGCCAGGGAGGGGCGGGGACTGAGACAGGGGCGTGTCCTGTGGCCGGGGCGTGGGCGGAGGCGTGGTCTGAGGGCGCCCCGCCCCGTGCCGGCGGACAGTGGGTTAAGCATCTCGGCTCCTCCGCGGTGGAACTTCCGGATGTGACCACAGAGGAGCGAGCGGGGAGCGGAGCGGAGCGCAGGAGACGGGAGGGAGGGAGCCGCCCTTCGAGGCTGGGAGCCGCCCCCGCCCGGCTCCGACCCGCGCGTCGCGGCCGCCTGGGTCCCGCAGCCCGGGGCGGGACGGGGCCCGGGCGGGGCCTGGCGACCCCTGCGTCCCGCGCCCAGCGCCCTGTGCCCCGCCATGAGCCCCCGGCCGTGACCCCGCGCCCAGGCCCATGCTCTGAGCCGCCGCCCCGCCCGGCGCGCGCCGCTGAGGCCGTGGGGGGCCGGGGACCCCGCCTCCGCCGCCGTGGGCCTGGGGCTGCAGCCGGCCGCGCCCTCCCCGCCCATGGCCCGGAGGGTAGGTGTGAGGGGCCCTCTGCGGCCTTCTGCCCTGCCCCCTCCTCCGTCCGTCTGTCTGTCCGTCTGTCCGTCCGTCCCTCTGTCTCCCCGGCTCGCTCTCTGCCCCCGTCCCTGTCCCTGCGTCCTCTCCATCTCAGCCCTTTATCCTAGTACCTCCACCCCGCCGTCCCCCTTCTCCTGCCTCGGATCTACTTTTGTTTGTGACCCGACCACCCCAGGTCAGGGGCCGGGACGGTGTGGGAGAGGTGAGTCCCCCAGGCCGCCGCCGGGCCAGGGACCCGCGCTATCTTTGGGTGCTGGGCGACAGCAGGAGGGGAGAGGGGTGGGAGCACCGCAGCCACCTTGCACGGTGGGGGTCGGGATCGTGGCAGGAGGTGAGGACCCCGTGTCGCGGGAGTGAGGAGCAGCGGGGAGCAGTTGAATTCAACTTCGGAGCTCCGGAGAAGTTCGGAGAGGAGCGGAAGGCGGGGAGAGGAAGGAGCGCGCAGGGCCCGCCTGGGGCCAGGTCTGCCGAGGGTCGGGGCGGGGGCAGGCGAGACCCTTGGCTCCACCTTGCTGTCCTTTGGCCCCTTGAAGGCCCCAGTATCTTCATGGCCAAAGTCGGGGTTCGCCCCGTGACAGGAAGGACCCTGTGTCCTCCGGTGAGCCGTTCTGGTATCCCGGGACTGGGAAATGTCACCCGGGATGCTCCTGTTCCGTGGGCCGGGTCTGTCCTGTCTTTCCGCAGGCGGGCACTGCTGTGTGCTAGGCCAGTGCTAGTGTCCTGTTTGAGTTGTCCTCACACTTCCCTCTGCCTGGCTGTGGGCTGTGTGTGTGGCTTTGCTGGTGTCTCCAGAGGTGTGGCACTCAGCCTCCCTGTCCTGATGTGCACCCGTGTGTGTGTATGTGTGTGTGAGACACACGTGTGATTCCATGTGCGGTGGAGTCCATGGTGAACAGGTGTGATGTGCGTAAAGACACACTCAGGCGTGCTTACCTGACATCTGTGAAATGCGAAGGGCTAGGGAGACAGTTGTACAAACCCTGTCCCGTTCATTCCCCCAGGATGTGTCCTGGTGACCACATCTCTCACTGTCTAAATCTCTGTGCCTTTCTTGACCCTGGCAGCGGCCAGCCAGCCCACCCTGACCCCCATCCTAACCTCGATGGGTCCCTTCCTCCTGGTCCTTCCGCCACAGTCAGGAATCCTCATAGCATATATTTTCGAATCCCAGGGCACAGGAAAGGCCCTGGGGTGGCACTTGGTCCGCCCCTCCCCCTGCTCCTTGACACTACGGGTTAAGGAGTAGGGGCTAGGTAGTGGGTGACACAGAGTGCATTCCCTGGCCTGGCTACCTGGCTGGGTCTTGAGGCACTGACCTGCTGGGGCCCCCTCTTGCCTCCCTCAGTACGATGAGCTGCCCCACTACCCAGGCCTCGTGGACGGTACACCTGCCCTGGCTAGCTTCTCAGAGGCAGCGCCCCTAGCACCCAGAGTCCCTGGGCCCTACGGCCCGCCCCGGCCACCTCCAGCCCCAGGCCTGGACAGCGATGGCCTGAAGAGGGAAAAGGATGAGATCTACGGGTGAGTGTGACTCACAGAAAGGCTCCCAGGCCTTCCAGAGTCCCTGTAACCACTGCCTGCCAGGCTCCCTCCCAGTCTGTTCCTCTCTGTGTCCGGCCTTTCTGTGTCACCCGAGTCTCATTTCCTCCCAGTCCCCCCAGCACCTCTCTTCATTTTTTCTTTTTCTTTCTTGTCCCTTTTTTTTTTTTTTTTTTTTTTGTAAGAAAAGATCTCACTCTACAGTCCAGACTGACCTTAAACACACTATGTAGCCCAGACTGGCCTCATGCTTTTAATCCTCCTGCCTCAGCTCCCCAAGTACTGGGACGACAGATGTCTGCCTCCACACCTGATCATATCTCACCTCACGAGCCGATGTTCTCCCTCCTCCCCCAGACACCCACTGTTCCCACTGCTGGCCCTGGTCTTTGAGAAATGTGAGCTGGCCACATGCTCTCCCCGAGACGGGGTGGGGGCTGGGCTGGGTGCACCCTCTGGGAGTGACGTCTGCTCCTCCGACTCCTTCAATGAGGACATCGCTGCCTTTGCCAAGCAGGTGAGCAGGGCCATCCAAACACAGGCCCGGGAGAGCTGCAGGGACAGGCAGGACACAGTGGTGACCTTGCTGGTGTCTCCCCCTACTAGGTTCACTCCGAGAGGCCACTCTTCTCCTCCAACTCAGAGCTAGACAATCTGGTGAGCCCAGGGCCTCCCCAGAGTGCATGGGAGGGCTGCCAGAGCAGAGGGGAGACCCTGATCCTCACCTCACACTACGACATGGTTGCCCATTTCACAACCAGCAGTGCCTAGAGTTTGAGAACAGGACTCTGGCCTGAGTTCAAATCCTAGCTCTGCCACTCTGGCTCTGGGAGCCTGGGTAGGTGATGCCACCTCCCTAGGCCTCAGTCCTCCTCTTCAAAGAGGAAAGGAAGGGGAGGTGGAGTGGAAGGTGAGGAGGGAGGGAAAAATTCTGGGGCTGTTCTCCCTCTGGCCCCAAATCCCCTCCAGGGCTCCCTGTTGGCCAGAACCTTTGGCAAAGGACTCTGGGAAATGTGATTTTCAGGGAGACGGGGAGGCAGGCATGCGAGATCCCATGTGAGATGGGCATGCGCCCTGTGTCCCAGCCCACTCCCAGGCTGGACTTCTCTGTCTCTTCTTTGTCTCCACCCCTCTCTCTCTGTCACCCTCTTGACTCTGGGTTTGTATCTGTCTTCCTCCCCTTGCTTGTGTTCCCTCTTGCTCTGTCTCTGTCACTCTGAGATGCCCTTCTCTGCCCTTCTCTGCCCTTGCAGATGATCCAGGCCATCCAGGTGCTGCGCTTCCACCTGCTGGAGCTGGAGAAGGTGAGTGCTTCTCATCTGCCCCAGCCCCCCTGCTCAGCTCCCTTCACCCCAAGTGTCCCCCATGTCACCCCCATCCCCAGCACCCAGCCTTGGCCCCTGGGTTGCCCGCCCCAGTACCCGGTGCCCCCTCCCAGGTCCACGACCTATGCGACAACTTCTGTCACCGCTACATCACCTGCCTCAAGGGAAAGATGCCCATTGACCTGGTCATCGAGGATCGGGACAGTGGCTGCAGGGAGGATCTCGAGGACTATCCAGCCTCCTGCCCCAGCCTCCCAGACCAGGTGGGTCCAGGACAGGGCATCGTGTCACCAAGCCACTAGATCCAGGATTGGACACGGCAAGGGGCTGCACATCAAGTCAAGGCACCTCGAATGCAGCCCGGCCGTGGGGCATGCACAGCACAAGGTCACACACCTGCGATGCAACAGCTGCAGAAGTACACACAAAGACACACAGACACACAGACATACAGACTCACACCAGCAGCTGCAGGTGCCACCCGCAGGCTTGGCTGCACCCATGCAGGTTCCTACACAGCTACCCAATCCCACACACACAGCACAGTAGTATCCGTGGTACCCTGAGACACAGCCACAGGACAGCAGTGCAGACCTGGTAGCTGATTCAGCAGTGGAGTTCTGGAGTGAGTGCCAGTGAACCGCAGCCTCCCGCCGCCAAGAGCAAACACAACCACTGGTGCAGTTCCCCCCCTGCTCACTCATGTGCTCGAGCGCCCAGCAGTCAGATCTCACACAAGGCTGAGGCACAGCCTCATCGAGGAGTTACCCACAGGACAGCTGTGAGGGTCCCAGCTCGCCACAGACTCACATGGAGCTAGAAAAGTGACACCTGAGGCTGGCCATGGCAGCACACACCTGCAATCCAGCACTTGGGAGGCTGAAGCAGGGGGATCACTGTGAGTTTGAGGCCAGCCTGTACTGCACAGAGAGGAGACCTTATCTCAAAAAATGAATTGACACCTGGGGAGAAAGTCCCCTGAGGCCCACACCTGGTCAGAGTGTCACCCTAGGCAGCTGTGGTGCAACACAGCATGAAGTCAGATGCAGGAAGAGAATAGCTCAGGCTGGGGCAGTGCACACAGGTCAGAGTAGCCTCATGCTCATCGAGAACCTTTGCATGTGACAACTGGGGACAAGTTTCTGGCACCTCCTATTTGAACCTCGGGTACACTTGTGTGACAGTCCCTGGTGGCTACACCCACCCAATGTCCTGGCAGTCATAAATTGCCTTGTGCGGAGTCACGGTAGCCACGTGGTGCATGGTCCCATTCCCAGGCTGCCACCCTCAAACCCAAGTCACACACCACCCCTGGGTCAAGGACAGCCACACACACACATCAGAGCATGCCTCGGCCACCAGCATGTGACAGCTGCTCTGCAGCCACTTGCTCTCTGGAGTTGCTGTGCCATGCCCACCAACATCACATTCAGGAAGTGTTACACTCAGCTCCATGCCACATGAAAGTCCAGGAGCTTCAGGCTGTGACAGTTTCAGGTGACAGCCACAGCCATGCTCACAGGACTTCAGACCTGAGTCACCTCAGTGTGCACAGCCCAGCCCACGATCCCACACAGACCCTCTGACCCAGGAGAGAGCTCCATGAGCCCTAGCAGGAAGACACGGTGTCCCCACGAGGAATGAGAGGTCATAGCAGCCAGGGGGGCAGGTAGGCACCAGGGGTGGCAACTGCAGGCCACTCTTTGTCCCCACGTTGCCAGGGTGAGAAATGGGCCAGTCGGCAGTACCATAGCACAGAGAGGAGAGGGTATGCGGCTGCCTGGCGGTGGTCCAGGCTTTTGATAAAAGGACACAGTGAATCTACCATCACCTGGCAGAGATCAAACTCCATCTTTTTTATTTATTTATTTTTTTTGTGTGTGTGGTACCTGGCACTGAGCCCAGGGCGTTGACACTGAGCTAGGCTACACCCCCAGACCTCCTTTGTTTTATTTTGACACGACAACTTGCTAAGTCACTAAATTGCCCAAGCTGGATTCCAACTTGCAGTCCTCCTGCTTCAGCCTCAGGAGTGCTGGAATTAGAGGTGTGCACTGTCATGCCCAGCTATGAATCCCATCTTAAACCAAAGGCCAAAGTGATCCAAATACAGGAGCAGTGGATGGTGGGCTTTCTGGAGCACAGAACCAGGCCAGAGCACAAATCCAGCACATTGCCAAGTTCCTCAAAGTGCGTCCCTGTTTGGGCACAGAAAATACAGCCCTGGGCTCCTTTCTCTGCAGTTTTGAGATCCTGAAATCTGAAAACTCCTGTTTGGACTCCTTTCTCCCAATAAGTTCAGTGCAAAATCACTTGGCAGCAAAATCTGACCTGAACTAATGAGAGGCTATTTATAGCCTTTATTTATTCCACTTAGTTAAGTATTCATTCACTTTGCTGCAGAAATGTTAATGAGTCTGATGATGGGGGTTATGCCCAGACCCTGCAGAGTGGTCAGGAGATGAGAGGGTGTGGGCTCATTTAGTGTTGGCCATGGTTGCAGCGTCCAGCTCCTGGCCTCCAGGGTCTCGGTGAAGGGGTGCAGGCTGCATGACCTCCATGCACCTCTTCCTAAATTAGCTTGCTGAGTTTTTACCACAGCATGGTGGGCACTGCTATCATCTTGTACTTTCCAGTTGAGGAAACTGAGGCACAGAGAGGTAAGGGACTTCTCCAAAATCACATAGCCAGGAAAGACCAGAAGCAGAAGCCAGCTTCCCCTGCAGGGTTCCCAGCTCCCCACGGTCACTGCTGTGTGGTGTCCCCAGCCTGGGCACTGACTCCCAACTCTTTGTTCTCTAGAATAATGCATGGATCAGAGACGAGGACAGTGGGTCTGCACATTTGGGGACCCCGGGCCCATCCAGTGTGAGCCTGGCTTCCCAGAGTGGAGACAACTCTAGTGACCAAGGTGAGAACACTGGGAGGCAGTGGAGGGAGGCGGTGAGGTCTGCAGTGAGGCCTTGAGTGGGATTGGCAGACACGTGGACTGTGAGGGCAGGGCCTCGGGTGGGGGTCCTGGGCCCGCGGTCCCTGCTCTTAGCTGTCCACCAGTGCAGTGTGCCTGTGCCCCCACCAGGAGACGGGCTGGACACAAGTGTGGCCTCACCCAGTTCTGGCGGGGAGGATGAGGAGCTGGACCAGGAGCGGCGGCGAAACAAGAAGCGAGGGATCTTCCCCAAAGTGGCCACCAACATCATGCGGGCCTGGCTGTTCCAGCACCTGTCGGTGAGTCCGGTTAGGGGATCCATGTGTGTGCCATGCTTCCCACAGCCCAGCGGCCGCAGCACACACCACCCCCTCACACATGGGGGAGGAGGGAGAGTGCGTTAGTGTCTGCCCAGAGAGGTTAGGGGACTTGCTGCAGGACACACAGGCAGATGAGGGCAAACATAGGCAGTCTGGCCTTAACCACTACACACTGCCTCAGAGAGAGGCAGGAAAACAGGCCTCAAAAGAGAAAAGACAGAGATGGAGAGGGGCGGGTCAGTGCAAGACTAAGACATAGCTAGATGCGCGTTGGTAACCCTACCACTTTGGGAGGCTAAGGCACGAGGACTGCAATTTGAGCTCAGCCTAGGTGACTTAGGAGATCCTATCTCAAAATAGAAAAAAAAAGTGCCATGTAGCGGGTTTGAAAGCCGTGGGTTCAGTGTCTAGGATAAGTGGGGACTTCGGGCTGCCCTCCCCGTTCCCTCCCGAGCGGCTCGAGCAGTCGCTGGAAGAGACGCGGTGGAGTCACTGCCTTGCGGACCAGGCTGGTGACTCCTGTGGGGGCCGCAGCACCCCTACCCCTCTGAGGAACAGAAAAAGCAGCTGGCGCAGGACACAGGGCTCACCATCCTGCAAGTGAACAACTGGTGAGTGGCGGGCGGGGGCGCTGTCCGCGGTGCTGACGCCTAGCCGCGCTCTCCGCACCGCTCCGACTTCGCCGCCTCCCCAGGTTCATCAACGCGCGGAGACGCATCGTGCAGCCCATGATCGACCAGTCCAACCGCACAGGTAGGTGGCGGGCGAGGAGGCCCCTGCGCCAAGCAAGGCCGGGAGGACCGAGGCCGGGGGCTCAGCTGCGCCCCACGCCTTTGCAGGGCAGGGTGCAGCCTTCAGTTCCGACGGCCAGCCGGTGGCGGGCTACAGTGAGACGCAGCCGAATGTGACTGTCCGGCCACCGGGTAAGCCCCGCCCCTCCACTGGCCCCGCCCCGCCTCTCACGGAGCTGTCCGGTCTTCAGGTGCCATTCGTGAAGAATAAACATCTCATTTGTATATGGGGAACAAACTGAAGATGTCCAGACCACTGTCCTGGTCCCCAACTTTCCTTATAAAACTCCCTACTGGGTTCTACGTACCAACTGGAAATCTCTATTTTGTCTTTTCCTTTTTCTTTTTTCCTTTTCTCTTTTTTGGTGCTGAAATGGAACCCAGGGCCTTAAGCATACTAAGCGCATGTGTTGCCACTCAGTTTACACCCTTGACCCAAGCTGCCTTTTTTTTTTTTTTTTTTTTTTTGGTTGGGAGGGAGACAGGATCTCTTCCTAAGGCTGGCCTTGAACTCCTGTATAGCCCAGGCTACTCCTAGAGATCCTCCTGCCTCAGCCTCACATGCGCTGGAATTACAGGCATGGGCTGCCACACCCAGCACCCTTCCTTCTTTTGAGACAGGGTCTCACTGTGTTGCCTAGGCCAGTCTCCAGCTCCTGGGCACAAGTGATCTTCCTGCCTCAGCCTTCCCCATAACTAGGACTGCAAGCATCACTGTACCCAGGTTTTCATTCTTCCTTAAAGGGCCAGCACCCTCTTAAAGTATAATTTGGTCTACCCCCGTGGTAGAGCCAAGGGGTGCGGGAAGGGGTGGAAGGGACACTGTGGTTGGGAGGATGCACTAACCCTCCTCTTTTGTCTCCAAGGCTCAGTGGGGATGAGTCTAAACTTGGAAGGAGAGTGGCATTATCTATAGAAAAACGTGAGTGTCCACAGCCGTCTTGTGCACCTCACACACCTTCCTAGGCCTCCCGCCTCCATGGTGGGGCTGAGTCTCTGAAAGGAGGGTTCTCCAAGACTTCTCATCCCTCTATCATCCACCTTCCATCCATCAATCCACCCATTCATCCATCTACTCACCTACCCATCTATCTTGCCTTTCATCTATCTTCCTAGCCATCCATCTATCCATTCATCTATCTACCCACCTACTCAATCATTTATTCTCCCATCCACTTATCCATCCATCCACCCTGGTGTCTGGAAGTGGACACCAGAAACCGGTGACAATCCAGGGCCACAGCTAAAAGCCTAGCCTTCCCATCACTACTACCTCTGGGGTAGCAGGAAGACCACTTAGATTAAGTGGTCTCCAAATGATTCACTGTAGGATGCATAGGAGTCTGCTGGACAGAAGCAGGGGTGAAGGTAGTGGATACAATGATTTGCTCTCCTATATCTGAGTTTCTCTGGTCTGGCATCATGGAAGTACTTCAGATAAGCCCAAGAGGGAGAGGTTATTGTTTTCAGTTTAACAGACAAGGAAACTGAAGCTCAGAGAAGTCACTTGTGCAGGCTCAGCCTGCTAGGAACAGCATGTGCAAAGGCAGGGCAGAAATGCCTTTCTCCAGCTCCAGCCCACCCAGAGTCTCTGTTAGCATATGTACTGCCGAAGGAAGCACAGCTGGGAGCTTCCAAGCACAGAACAGATCTTGACTCTCCCTAAATTAAACCTTCCATGGCTCCCGAGAGGCCAATTCTTTACCTTACCATGGCTCCAGTGCATAGCTGAGACCACCTCTCAGATATGCACTCTCAGATAGGGCTCTCAGACCAGCAGGAGACAGATCCATCCACTGACAGCGATGGTCCAGGGCAGACAGCACTGTGGAACAGTGCACAGGAGCCCACAGGGCCTGTGGGACCCTGGCCAGGAGAAGGGCTGGGGGGGCTTCCTGGTGGAGGAGGAGTCTCACCCAGACCATGGGATTCCAAGGGACATCCTGGGGGCACTGACTTCGGAGGATGGGGGTGTCTAGCAGCAGGTACAATATTTATAAAGGCCCAGGGCACTTAGGACCTCCTTGGCTGCAGACTCCCCAGAGGACCTGCGCTGGGTCAGGCAGGGGGTCCAGGTGGCCTGAGTGAGCTCAAGGGGTGTCTAGAAATGAGCACCGCTGAGCCCTTGGGTGCTGGGGCCTGAGCTGGGAGGAGACAAGCGCATCCAGGTGGGGACAGCAGTGGCAGGGGCTGAGTGGCAACTGGCCTCTGGAGTCCACAGCAATGGGGGGCTCCTCACCCTTGACCTCTTCCCTCTCCTCTGTCTCCATCACCCGTTGTCTCTGCTCTGTTTCCTCTCTTTAGGAGCTGGGGTTGACCTCGAAGCCCTGGCACTGAGCTGCACCCCAGCCTCTGCCACTTCCACTTATTATTTTATTGTGAGACAGGGTTTTACTAAGTTACTAAATTGCCCAGGCTGGACTGAACTTTCAGTCTTCCTGCCTCAGCCTCTTGAGTGCTGGGAAGACAGGCAAGCGCCCCATGCAGGCACCATCCGGGCTGTTGGTCTGTGTGGGCATCCTGTCTCCCTGCCTCTTGCCCGCTAATTCTCTCCCTTCTCCTCCTTCTGCAGCTCCTGGTAGCCTCTGCCCAGCTCTGTCCTGCTCCTCTGTCCTTCCGCCTCCCACAGCCCCTGCCGCCCGCTCCCTTCCCTAGTCCCCTCTCTGCATCCCTGTCACTTTGGGCTCGCCCCTCTGCTGACTGCCTCTCCTTCCTCATCACAGACTCTGCCTCTGGACTGTGACCACTGGCCTGGCACCTGCTCTGTCCCCACAGGCCCTGTGGCTCTGGGACTCTCCAGGTCTTTCTGCTCAACACCTACCTCCTCAGGGGGCCCCCCAGGACATGGGGACCTGAGTATCCACCTGGGGGCCTCTCAAGGACAGACACAGCCCCAGCCCTGACCCCCTGGCTGCCAGGGTGGGCCTGTCTGTGGATGCAGTGGCTGAGGCCTGGCTAAGGGACAGAGAAGGTGCTGGGGGCGGCAGGGGCTATTCGGAGGAGACTCACCCAGGTGGGACATCTGGGGGCACTCCCCCTCCCACCTTCCTTCTCTGATGTCTTCTACATTTTTTAATAATAAAATCATAAAAACACACACCCTCCAATTAAAGTTCTTGTGTCCCTCCCAAATTCAAATTCTCACTGATGCCCGAGACCCACAGGGTGACATCCCCATTGGCCTGCAGCCTCCCTTGTTGCACAGTCCTGTGTGTCATTTAGTTAGTGCTGTCACAAAAGCTACCCTAAAACTGTAAGACATCAGCTGTTTTGACCCTCAGGATGCTGGGAGCTGGTATCTTACAAGAGGCCGGGCTGGGCAGCATTGGTGGCTTTACAGGGCCACCTGTGAGTCTGCTGTCAGCTGGTGGTCAGCAGAGGCCCTGCTTCTGGGGTGACCTGGCTGATCACAAGGATAACCAGGGGAAGGACCCGGCAGGTCTCATCAGCAGGAGGCTGCGGTTTGTCCACGGGGATATGCTGGGTCTTCATGTCCTTCCTTCTTTTTGGTTTTTTGAGACAGGATCTTTGGCTGCCGTGAACTCGGTGCAGTCCTCCTGCCTCAGCCTCCTGAGTGCTGGGCTTACAGCCGAGCCCTCAAGCCTAGCTCCACTATCCCTCCTTGAAAGGCCATGTCCCTCTCTCAGTCTCACCTCAGCCCCTGGCCCATCCTAGCAACCTTCTTCTCCTCAGAGCTGGTCTCTTGTATAGAGCTCACACGCAGGCCAGCACACATTCACATTTGCACACACACTTGTACAAGTGTACTGTACTTTCACACTGATGCTAGCACACTCCTTCCAGTGCACACACACCCTGGTTTACACACTCACACCTGGACACCACAGGACTCGGGCAGGGTGACACCCACAGGCAGCACCTAACCTTACTGGTGCCCCAACAGTTTACTCGGTGCCACCCAAAATGTCCTGCCCTGGGCCCTGCTTTGTGAGCCTGGGCCATGGAGACAACTCTGGCAGCCCCGGACCTCATGATACAGCCAGGGACTCATCCCTGGCTCTGAGACCCGGTCCCTGCTCTGCTCGGTGACTTTTCTGTCCAGCCATGCTGGACGCAGGGCTGGCACTGATGGTCGTGGCTCTGGTCTGACTGCTGCTGATTCAGGGCCTCACCTGAGAGTACATGGGCTGTTGCCATGGGGAGGTGCTGGCTTGGTCCCTAGCTCTGCCTCAGTCCAGTTCCATCTCTGCAGAGGCAGGAGCCCCCGCCTGCACGCTGCGCTATCTCCACTGTCACCCTGCTCTGCCCCACTTCCTGCTATTATTACCTCAACCCCCAGAACCAGGTGCTCTTTCTCCTTCTGAGGCTTCTGTGAGGCCTGGTGTACAGCAGATGCCCAGGCGGCCATGGGGAGCAGGAAGGGAACCCACACTCTTAGCCCTACTTCTGATTTTACTTAGAGAAGGATCTTGTTAAGTTGCCCAGGCTGGCCTTGAACTTGTGAGCCTCCTGCTTCAGCTCCACAGTCACTGGGACTACAGGGGCACCCTCTGCTCCTTCACCCATGCAACAAGCACTCCCCAAGTGGGCCCGCCCTGGGACAGCACGTCAAGGACTCCTGTCCTTGGGGAACTGCTGTGTGTTCCGGAACTGGTTCCAGTGTCCCTGTGAGGACCAGATCCAGGGGTACATGTAGAAAGTGGTGTAGAAGAGGCCCGAGGATTTAGTTCAGTGGTCTAAGCCATTGCCTGGCAAGCACAAGGTTGTGAGTTTGATCCCCAGTACCAAAAAAAAGTGGTGTAGGATTCACACAGGTGTGGTGGTGCACACCTATAATCCCAGCACTCAGGAGGCTGAGGCAGGAGGATAGCCACAAATTCAAGGCCAGTCTGAGCCACACAGTGAGTTTGAGGGCAGGCTTGGTTACATAGCAAGAACCTGTGCACCTCCTCTTCCCTGTCACTGGCAACACTCCCGCTTAATCCTCTTTACTTACATGTATTTGGAGGCACCACCAGGAGATGGAAACTGGCAGATGTCACCGGAAGTATCTCCGACACTTTCTGGGGAAAGGAGCTCTCAATGGTGGGTGGCATCACTTGGGAAAGGGGGCCCTGTGGGGCAAGGGCAGCTACAGAAGCAGAGCAGTGATGGTGCAGCCACGGGGAGATCGGTGGTACCGGAGGCCCCATGCACATCCCCAGCGGTGTCTCTGTCACCACAAAAGACAGTGGCTCTGGCTGCCCTTCCATGCTGGGGCACAGGTTGGCTGAGTTCACATCAGCGACTATGAGAGTCTCCAGGTCACCTTGTGTCTGGCTGAGGGTGTTTCCAGGCCCCAGGTGTCTGAGACCTTGGGGGCCACTTCCTGTGCATCCATGGCTGTACTGGTCACAGGGAGGGGCCACCTTGCTTCCTGAAGCAGAGCAGCCCCTGCACAGCCTGACAGTAGCTCAGTCAACAACCACAATACGGAAGATTATGACTTAGCACCCAGGCACAGTGACAGACAACAGAAATCCCAGGACTCTGGGAGGCTGAGGCAAGAGGATCTCAAATTCAAGTCCAGCCAGAGCAATTTAGTGACTGAAAGACCCTATATCAAAATAGAAGATAAAAAGGGCAAGGATGTAGTTCTGTGGCCCAGGGTGAAGGCCCTGGGCTGTGAAGCACCACAGGACAGCACCCTGGGCCCCAGCCGTGAGGAGGGAGCCAGTCCCAGAGGACCTGGGGCTGCCAAGAGGTCACATCTTGGGCTTCCTCTGGCCTCTACAGAGGCAGCCAGGCCTCGCTGAGCCCATGCTGGGGAAAAGGAAAGACTCCAAGGCTGTGGGACTGCTGCGTGGGTATCTGAGCTGTAACTTGGGTCCCCATAGAGCAGGCAGTGGAGTCAGGGGACCTCGGATTCACCTGGCTGTCTCCTGTGCACCACCTCACACACCCACGACTATGCCTGGGACAGTGGCTGTGAGCCTAAGCTCGAGGCCACCGTGATGTGTCCAGGGCCCCCGGTGAAAGGCTCAGGAGCCTGCAGACCCCAGAACAGGGGGCCTGAGCTGCGTTGGGTCAGCAGTGGAATGCACAGCGCTGTGGGGGCAGGGAGCAGAAGAGGCAGGGAGGGACAGGCTGGGGCCTCAGGGGAAGCAGTGAGTCTGGTCGTCCTACCCAGGGAAAGTTACGGAGCTACGGTATCTCCCCGAGTAACCTAGCTATGGAGACGGAACCTGGTAAGGGCTGGGGATGCAGGCACAGGGCCTGCTGAGGTGTAATCTGCCTACTGCAAAATCCCCTCATTTTGAAGTGAATAATCACCAGGTGTGCACCATCACCCCCACAACCAACTCGAGAACACACTACCGCCTCACAGAGACCCTGTAACAGGGTGCCCCAGCCCTGGCAGGTGCTAGGCCACTTTCTGCACAGGTTTCCGTTTGGGAATTTTTCTCATTTCCTTCCTCTTCCTTACTTTCTCCTGTTTCTTTTCTTTACTCAGTACTTGGGACTGAATCCCAGGCTGCTTTTTTGAGACAGGGTCTTGCTAAATTACTCAGGCTTAGTTCCAACTTGTGACCTTCCTGCCTCAGCCTCCCAGAGCACTGGGATTATAGGCCTGGGCCTGACCAGACACAGGGATCCATGTGTGCTTCTGTCCTCAGCATCCTGTCCTCCCAGGCCATTGTGTCATGTGCATGTCCCCACTCCTGTTCACTGCTGGACACCTCGCTGCCGGGAGCCCCTGTGCAGAAGGCCAGAGTGGGATACAGTCTCTGCCCAGTGGGTCCAGGGAGCACTGCAGGTGCTGTGTCCCCAGCATACATGTCCCCCTCATTTCCTGAAGGGCCTGACTTGGAAACAGAACTGCAACTGCTCAAAGTTAAGGTGCAGTGGGCCGGAACTTGTCCCCATGCCCTCCCCTTAGGGACAGCCGACACCTCAACAGAAGGCTGGGAACAGGGCAGTGCCTGCAAGCCAAGGAGTGCAGAGACATCAGGAGAGGGAGGGAGGGGCAAGGAAGCCCCCAGCTGCCTAGGCCCCAGGGGGTGTGTGGCACTGTGGACACCTCGACCCTGGGCTTATGGCCTCCAGCGCTGTGAAGCTGGCACTGTCTGTGGTTCTGTCCCAGCAGCTTCGGGAAACCGTGTGGAGAGACGGCCTGGGGGGAGGGCAGGGGACACAGCCAGGCCAGGGTGGTGGGAAAGCAAGAGGATCTCTAGTTTGAGGCCAGCCAGGGCCAACAGCCTGGGTTCACTCCATGCTGAAACACCAGAACACCCCAAAACAGAAGCACTCTTTGGCATTTGTGGTAAGAGGTGGGGTTGGACCCAGGACACTGCTGAGACCAAGACCACAGGACTGTGGAAGTCACTACGCCCTGGGCAGGAGGGTCCTGGCAAGGACAGGTGAGAAGGGCAGGGCAGAACCCAGATGGAGGTCTGGGGATGTCCTTCTGTCCTTCCAGCTGGAGCTGGGAGCCACCACATCTCCTGACCAGCATACAACTTTGATCTTAAACATCAATGGCAGGTGTGCGTCTGCAGTCTTAGCTACTCAGGAGGCTGAAGCAGAAAGATTACTTGTGCCCAGGAGTTTCAGGCCAACCCGGGCAACAAAGTGAAGCCCTGTCTCAAAATAAATCACCAACAAAAATGAACAGCAGCCGCAGGGCCAGACAGCTGGCCCAACCTGGAGGCTTATGCTGATCCCAAGCCATGACCCAAGCCCAGATGAGGGACCCAAAGTGCAGCAGTGACATGTGCCTAGGATACAGTAGGCACAGTGGGTTCCACACTCAGGCCTGGGTCATGCCGTCCTCTCCTGAGCAGCCTGCCAGTCCAACTCCCCTGCCCACCAGGAACTGAGCCCACAACACGGGACTGAGCATGGGTACCAGGCAGAGACCGAATCCGGGGTGAGCTGTGGCCGAGCATCCAGTTCCAGGGCACAGGGAAGGAGCTGGCTATGAGGACGGAGTCACCCAGAGCCAGGACAGGCACTATAGCAGCAGGAGCTGCAGTGGCCAGGCGTGGAGAGGGGACATGAAAGAGACACTGCAGGCAGGGGCTCTTCCAGGCGGACAGGCAGGCAGGGAAGACGAGCTGGCATCAGTGCCAACTTTATTCCCCAGGCCACACCCTCCCTGAAGTCAGACCAGCACTGCTTGCTGGGGACAGGCAGGGACAGGTGAGGAGAGGGCGCGTGGCAACAGCTCACATGTGCTGTCTGCGGTGGCGCAGCGCCTCAGTGGGTGTGAACAGGAAGTCCTTCTGGCAGCTGTCACAGTGGTAGGGCCTCTGCAGGGCAGACGGCTTCCGGGACTGCTCTGTGGTAGCTTCCTCTGCGCCTGTGGGGAGAGGAAGGCTCAGGGGGCACCAGGCTCCTGCTGTCTCCCCGCCTTTGGAGAACCCAGGGCACCCCCTCTAGCGCCTTTCTTGATACCCCACAAGCCGGCTGATCTGCACTTTGTCACCACCAGGAAGAAAGACAGACAGCAGGAGACTGGTGGCCCTGCCGCTGTCTCCCTGTGGTGAGGGGGACACAGTGGCAGACACAGCACCCCTAGGGACAATCGGGGATGTGGCTGAGCAGAGACAGTAGAGGGACAGAGAAAGGAACAAGACAGGGGCACAGAGACATGGAGACCGAAGACCAAGAGACCAGAGGCAACAGAGCAGGCAGCGGGGTGTCCCTCCTGCGATCTGCTTGCCTGGGCCACCATGTAGGTCCGTGGCACAGGCACTCTCGTGGGCCATGCGCTCCAGCGGTGTGAGTGGCAGGTGCAGGTCGCAGCGTGGGCAAGTCCAGAAGGTGCGCAGACAGTCGCTGTACAGGTCTGTGTCACTCTGCAGGGGAGGGAGCGGCAGCCTCAGCCAGCCATGGCCCCTCTTATGGGCCCCAGAGATGCAAGACGTGGCTGCAGGGTCCGTGTGGGGCTCCTGACATCCCGCCTGCAGGGCAGAGGCTAATGGGGCGCCAGGGTCCACGCTCACCAAGAGGCAGTTGTAGGTGAGGAAGTTGGTGACACGGTAGCCACCCTTGGTAGGGTGTGGAGACAGGGCAGAGCTGCCAAAAAGGCCAGGGAGCTTGGGGGTGGCCGTAACGGTCTGGGGTCCCACGTAGAGATTCTGGGCTTCCAGCCCTGTGAGGCGCCGAAGGCTGTAGGGCACCTACATGGCGACAGGAGCAACCTGGAGCCAAAGCCAGGCACCTGGATGTGGCCGTGCCTACAGTCCCTAATGGCTCCCAGTGGCTTCCCTCTGGCTTCGGGGGCAACACACCTGCACAGATGGTACTTAACAGGCGTCGGCCCAGGAAGCGGCACGCATAGCACGTGCAGGGCCCTCCCCTGGGGCCTCTGGGGCCAGACTCCGCCCTCACGTGCTCTCAGCCCTTGCTCAGCCTCTCAGCCCCCATGTGCCCCAGTCCAGCATGCAGGGGTGCTGCCTGCCCCAGCTGCAGTGCTACCTTGGTGGCCATGAACTGCAGCAGCTCCCTGCTCAGGGCAGCCACCTCCGCACGGCTGACGGACTCGGCCTCTTCCTCGTCTTCATCCTCTTCCCCAAGCCGCTGCCGCCGCTGCTGCTGCTCCCGCCGCCGCCGCCGGGCCTGGTGTGACAGCTGCCGGTCCAGGGCACTCTCCCAGCAGGCACGGAGCCGCAGGGCAGCAGCCAGGAGCTGGACAGCGCCCTCGCTGTCCACCACCTGCAGCTCCAGCCAGCTGTCGGCCACCAGGCGGGAGCAGTCACCATTGGTGTCCAGGGAGCGGCTGAAGAGCAGGAGGGACTGCAGAGGGGACGGGACGGGAGCGGGACAGTGGGTCAGATACCATCACAGAGGGCCCACCTGGCTGGGCTGTCACCCAACTGCTGAGGTGGCTGCCTGACCACCCAGTCACCCACCTACCCGTCTACCCCATGTGACCATTGTCTTCCACCCACAGGACACATCAGGCAGAGAACTGACAATGTTTGCGCCACCTGACTCAGAAAGAAAAAGATGGAACTGAAAGGCAAGCCAGCAGGTGCGGCGGCACCCACTTGTGTCCAGCCCTCTGGGAGGCTGAGGCAGGAGGATCACAAGTTGAAGCCCACTCTGGGCAACTGAGCAAGACCCAGTCCCAAGATGAAAACTAAAAAGGGCCAGGCCTGTTCCACAGGGAATGTCCTAAGCACAGCCACGAGAGGGACAGGGGAGGTGACAGACGCAGGAGTATGGGGTAGCTGCGTCCTCACGTGGGGGCCAGCTGAAGACACTGGAGCCCAAAGGGAGGACAGCAGGATACAATCAGCCACTTGTTCAGGCAGTGTCTGGGGTGCGGTGGGGGCTGGGCCAGGACTGGGGATGACCTGGGGCATGGACTATGCTGCCCTCTTCCGCCAGCCAGCACGGGAGTGTGGACACTGCCCTCGGGCCAGTGCAATATCCCTGGCTGAGAGCCACAGCTGCCTCCCCTACCCCCAGCGCCTTTCCTGCCACGGCCCAGCCACCCTCCTGTGCAGGCCTTGTAGGGCTCTGGGTACACCAGCCTGGCCTGGCAGGGCCCGCATAGCACCACCCGTCCCGGTGAGTGTCCCTGCCCACCGATGCAGCCCAGGCCTGCCTTGAGTCACCCCCAGCCCACGCCTGGGCCACTCGTGCCACTCACCTGGAGGGCTGGGACGCGCACGCAGTTCACCAGGTACAGCTTGTTGGTCTCCAGCAGGGAGACGAAGGTGAGGAGCTGGTGCTTGCTGCTCATCTTATCCTTGTCATCTGCAAGGTGGGAGAAAGCTCAGGCCCAGCTCTGTGCATCCGGCCACCCCTGCCACTGGAAGGTCATACAGAACAATGCTGTGTGACTGCTGGGGTCAGACAGGGCCACTGTCACTTCATTAGGATGACAGCAGCACAACATCCCTTGGAACTGCTGTGCCAGGGTAACAGGGCATCTGGGATCTGTTTTAAATGCCTCAGGATAGGCGTGGTGGTGCACATCTATAATCCTAACACTCAGGAGGCTGAGGCAGCCTGGGCTACACAATGAATTCAAGGCCAGGCTGAACTATGTAGCAAGACCTTGTCCCCACTCTACCCCTACCCAAAAAAACCTCCAGAAAAGAGAGAATGAGAGAAAAAGAAAGAAAACTAGAAAGTAGACTCCAAAAGGAAGGAAAAAGAATAAACGGACAGAGGAAAGGAGGACGGCAAAACAGCAGCAGTCTTGGACACAGGGAGGGTGCAGAGGCTCATCAGGCAGGGCTCAAATGATGCCTGGAAATTTCCAAGACTGAAAGATGAGAGCGAGATAAACAGAAGGGATTTGCCACGGTCAGGGATTTCAGAGGAACAGTTCCCACTGTCTTGTCAGTGTGGTCAATGCCTTGTTTCTTCAAGTCAGTTCACATCACTCTGAGAAAGCACTGTCACTGCTTCCATGCGGGGACGGAGAGGGGAAGGGGGTAAGGTAGAGGGGGAGAAGGAGGGGAGAAGAGGTGGCCAGGGCCCCAGGCCCAGAGAGCCGCTCTACCCACAGGGCCACCTGGAGCACTGCACCAACTCAGGCCCAGCTACCCTGGGCACCCAGTAAGGGGCGCGTCAGCAGGTAGCCGGCCCAGCTGGGTATGGGGACCCTCAAATCCCACCTGGGCCACTGTACCTCGGCTCCCTCCACCACACGTGGCTTGTGGCTCCTGTACATGCAGCAACTCAGGGCTGCTGGCAAAGACGCTGGTGGGATGCAGCACAGCACCCTGCTTGGCCTGGGTGTGGAAGATCTGCAGAGCCAAGGTGGGCACCGGGGTCAAGGGACCCAGGCCAGCTCTACCAGATCCCCAGCACATTTCCTCCTCCCACTCTCCATCTCCTGCACCGGGAAGCCCATCTGGCTCCCCCCCAGCTAGGCCAGTGGCCTGCGCCCCTGGGGTTCCCTATTAGTCCCATCCACTGGGCTTGTCCAGGGCACAGATCCTCCTCCAACAGCACTGGGAGCCCCAGGAGGGCAGGGCCAGCACAGTCTTGGTCACTCAATCCCAGCACAGCGCTGAAGAACGAACAGAGAGAAGCGGGAGATGTACCTGGTCCGAGTCCCTGCGGCCACTGTTGAATGGATCAGGCACCGCCAGCTGTGGGTAGAGGCCACGGGCCAGCACCAGCTTGAGCAGGACCAGCTGCTCCCGGCTCAGCGCCTGGGCTGAGCTGGCGGCTGCCTGCAGTTGCTCCAGGTTGTGCCGGAGCTTGAACTTCACGTCCTGGGGGAACATGGTGGGAGGGCCTCCTGAGGAGCTGCCTGTGCTGTCCACAGTGTGGGGGGACACATGGGCCTGGGCAGACTGCTGGGCCAGGGCTGGTCCCTAGGACCTTGCTCTTGGAGGGGATGCCCTGGACAGGCTACATCCCCAAGACCCACAGAGTCAGGGCTGTGTCCCCCTTCAGCAAATCCCACTAGCCCTGCAAGCTCCACCTGGATGTCCACACTGTCCTCAGCATGCCGGGCAGCGGGGCCAGCGTGGTCCTCATCGCTGGAGCTGTCCTCAGCCTCTTCCTGCAGCCTCAGCACCTTGCGCCTGCGGCCTGCACCCTCCTCATGCTGCCGTTTGAGCTGGTGCAGGGCCCGGCGCTCGCGGCGCTGCTGCAGCCGGCTGTAGCTGTCCCCTGGTGTGGCTGCCTCAGCCCCTGCCAGCAGCCCGTGGTCCTCCAGCAGGTCCTGAGGATGGGGGGCATAGGCAGGGCAGGCTAAGTGGGTCCCCTCCAGGACCCCACTTCCCACCCAGAAACACCCTGCAGGGCAGAGGGGGGCAGAGGAGGGCAGATGGGACAGCTCACGAACTCCCCGTGCACCAGGCAGGGCTGACTCCTGTGAAGGGCGTTTGCATTGGGCGTTGGACTGGGAACACCCGAGAGACACGGGAAGAGGTCAGGGAGGCTGCTCTCCCTGAGACCCTTTTGAGAGCTCCCTTCTTCCCACAGCTGTCCCCAGCCCCAGGCTCCAGTCATAGTCCCTGCCACCCCTGAGCCCTGCAACCAGGACATCTGGCACCTGTTGAGCCCCCACCCCAGGGCTCTGCATTGAGCAGACTGCAAAGACTGAAGCACAGGAGACTGTGTCCCCTCCCCACCTCTCTGCCCACACCTGTCACAGTCCTCAAGTGACAGTCCATGGGCAGGTTGCAGGACACAGGGTGTGTGCGTGTGTGCGTGCGTGTGTGCATGCATACCAGCAGGTGTGTGTGTTGTGTGCAAAGTGGCCATGCTTTCTCCTAGACGCTCAAAGGGCCTGGAGCCCAACCCACACTGACCGGCCACCCTAGAAGTTATGGATATCAAGAGACGGCATGGTCAGGCGACTGTGCTCCCCGTCCAGAAACTGTGGGGGGTGTGAGCCAGGTGACACCGATCAGAACCTCATCTGCATACCACAGAGCAGGGCTTTCTCCTTGTGTGCTCTGCTACCTCAGAGAGGACCCCAAACCCTTCCAGTGGGCCCCAACTTGTGAAGCCTGGTCTCTGGTGTTAGTGCTGCTGGATAAGGGACAAAACATGCCTAGGCCTGGGTCAAGAGGGACCAGTGTTTCTAAAGTGTGAGGAAAGGCAGTCCCCCCTGGAGCAGGCCTGCCCCCTCGGGTGGCCTCTGTACACCTGACACTGCTCCTGTTTGGGCCAGAGTCGCCCTGGAGCATTCACCAACTGTGGGGCCACAGGAGGAGCCCCCATGACAGAAACCTCTGTCCTCACACTGATGAAGACACAGTGACAAGGGGAACCACACGCCCAGTGCTGCTCCAGTTTCCATCTCCTCCGCAGAACAGAAGCCCTGGCTGCCTCCCGACTATCCTCAGCCCTAGGCCTGCACGGAGGATGCGGCCCAGGTGGCCAGTAACAGCAAGGGGCCCTGGGTCACCTTGAACTGGCGCCGCAGGTTGGCCATCTCGTAGAGCCGGTGCTCCTCCACGCCCCGGCGGCGGCACCACTTGCGTGAGTTCTGGCTGCGCTCAGCCTTCACCTGGGGGGACAGGGACAGGTGTCAGGCCAGGCCAGTAGGTGACTACAGTGACCACGCCAGGCCACCCACAGCCCCCTGCTCCCCACCTTCCTGGTCCCAATCCCCTTCTCTGCCACTGACCAGGGAAAAATCTGTCTCTGCACTGGACCGAGCATCTGGGAGGGCAGGGACCACAGTGCCCAGCACCAAACAGGACCAGTGTCAAGTGTACAGAGGCCACCCAAGGGGGCAGGCCTGCTCGTGTGCCTTTCCTCACACTTTAGAAACACTGGTCCCTCTTGACCCAGGCCTAGGCATGTTTTGTCCCTCATCCAGCAGCACAAACACCAGAGACCAGGCTTCACAAGTTGGGGCCCACTGGAAGGGTTTGGGGTCCTCTCTGAGGGAGCAGAGCACACAAGGATCACCGGCAGCAGCATGGGACTCGGGAAGGGAACAGCAGACAGCCAGACAGACAGAGGGACCGCTGCCACCCTCACCTGTACCCAGGCATTGAAGACATTGAAGAGCGTGAAGGGGTCGCCCTGGTCACTGTCCAGGGGCTGACGTGCCGCAGCACACTCCAGGCTGCTCTGGGCGCTGCGTGGGAAGGGCGACTGCACACTGAGGGCAGCAGCAATGGTGAGCACGGGTTCCGCCAGGCTGAACATGGAGCCCAGGATCAGCATCTTTCCTGGGGGGTGGCACTGCCTCAGCCTCCAGGACCCCCGACCTCCCACCCTGCCCAGAGGCCCCAGAGTCCAGAGTCAGATTCAAACCCACAGTCCATGAGCTGTCTCTCCATCTGTGGGAGGCGACTCTAGCCCTGCCACCTGGGCTGTGGGGCCCTGCTGGCTGCTGGCCTTGATTGTCAGCTATGCTTCAATGATAGACACCCCGGCATGCCAACGCTCCGTGGCTTTTCTCCCCAATACCTTTTTCTTTCATTTTCAAGACTGGAGATTGAACCCAGGACCTTCCCACTGAGCTGTGACCACAGCCTTCCATTTGTTTAAATTTTGAGACTCAGTCTCTCTTGCTGACCACAATGAATTCAAATTTGTGATCTTCCTGCCTCAGCCTCCTAGAGTGCTGGGATTATAGGTATGGGTCACCACAAGCAATTCCAATACTCAAACCCAGCCCAGTGAGGGGAGGATACATTAGGAGCAAGGCAGGAGCCACAGGTGGCCACAAGGGAGCCTGGAGGAAGTGGTGTGGGCTCCTGTGGACAGGGAGTGGTGTCCCTGGGATCCAGGCTGGGGTCCTCACCAATTACCACGTCCACGGGCAGCTGGGCCAGCAGGCAGCCGATGGGTGTGAGGGCCTCGGAGGCATCCAGCGCACCCTGTTCCTGGAGGTACTGGATGGCAGTCTCTAGGCTGGCTGGGGGTGGTGGCTCGATGAAGGGGAAGGTACGTGGGTCCCCCACACTCATGCTCTTCATCTGCAAGCAACAAGCAGAGTCCCTTGGTGGGGATGCTCGAGCCAAGCCCCCCCTGCAGACGGGTCAGATAAAAGCAGGCCAAGCGTGGCCCACTACACAATGAGCACGAGCCAGACCCATCTGGAAACGTCCCCTGATAGTACTGGTCAGACAGGGGTAGACACAGGGCCCCCAGTTCTGCTGACAGGACAGGAGGGGGCCTGGCCAAGGCCTTAAAGTTTAGACCCACGAACGGCAGCACCCTGCCCCTGCCTCCACTTCTGGGGGTGTCCACAGCACTCCCCAGGCAGCTCCCAGTCCCTGACTGGCCTGTGGTGTGATCTGGAGCAGGGTCACACTGAGTGTCATCTTCCTGCCTACCATAGGATAAGATTATCCGCCTTGCCAGTTCGTTGCTGCTTTTTGTTTTTTGAGACAGGGTCTCACTAGGTAGCCTAGGCTGGCCTTGAACTCTTGGCAATTCTCTTGCCTCAGCCTCACAAGTGCTGGGACTACAGGCATACAACTGGTTATGAAGTTATACTGGAACAAAAGTTTTATATTCCTAAAACACACAGAACAGCGCTGGGCCGAAAAAGCACGAGATAATGTCTTTGTATCGTCATCATCTAAAGAGCTGCTTACTGAGTGAGGCCTCAGTGACTCTGCCCGTGACATCTTGCTCCACCTCCATAACTGAATCTAGGGCCGGGGGCTTCCCATTATGGGCAAACCTGTGTCGTTTTAACTGGCGGCTCAGTCCTGAGTGGCCAGAGAATCCACACAGCAGGCACAGGTGGAACGACTATCTACAGCCTGGCTAGGGCTGCACCCTGGTCCTGCATGGGCTCTATGTCCACCCTCAGCACCACAAAAGCAAAACAAAATGCAAGCCACTTCCTATGGGGTTTCTGGCTACAGCTGCAGTCATTCTCAGTCACAGCATCGCCCCACGATTCACCTCCTCTCAGTCAGGTTTCAACCTCGGGCAGGGATGACTTCCCCTCTGTGGCCTGGCCAGGCCTGAGCTCCTGCCCTGTGATGCAGCTGTTCCCACCCGCACCCCACCCACACCCCACCTGGCTCCTTCACCTGCAGCACCAATGCATCCAGGGCCACCCTCCGGATCTCGGGAACTGGATAGGGGGCGAAGGCATCGTAGTCAGACTCAGCATAGAGGCGATAGCAGACGCCAGGGCCTGTTCGGCCTGCCCGACCCTTGCGCTGCTCGGCGCTGGCTTGGCTGATCCAGAACTCCTGCAGCCGTTGCAGCTTGGCCTGTGGGTCATAGCTCATCTCCTTCACCTTCCCTGCGGGACGGGGAGGACGGGACAGTGGGATCCTACCTGCCCCTCTTTTTCTTCTGCTTCCCAGGCAGGAGGACAGCAATCTTCAGGGAAGGCTGCCTTTCACTCATTTTCTTCTCTACTACTTTAGGGGCTGGGTCACCTGATACACTAGGAGGAAGCACCGTGCGGCGGGGCAGCAGGTACCAGGGACGCAGCCAGGAACAAAGGAAAGGACAGAACCAACAGCATATTTCACCCACTGTAACACCAAGCTTTCTCAGATTTTATGATCTGTGAAAATGGGATGGGACCCAGAGCATGGCAGCATTTAATTGATGACTCTCTAAATACTTCATGAATGGGATTCTGGGACGTCCCACTGTCACCACTGCCCTAGCTCACATGGGTGGTCACTGCTCACAAAGAGGGCAGTTCATACCAGAATCCACGACAAAGCGGATCCCATCGATGGTGACCGAGGTCTCTGCGATGTTGGTAGAGAGGATACATTTCCGGACTCCAGGGGGTGCGACATCGAACACCTGGGGGAAGAAGAAGGAGGCACAGGGATGGATCGCCCTGGGTGCTGGTCCAATGGTCCCTGAATGTCCCACAGGCATTTCCCACCCGTGTGCTACAGCAGACTTGGCATCCTCTGCTGTTCTTTCTCTGCTGGAGTCCCCAAAGACTACCACCATCCGCCCTCCCTGGGCTGTCCAGGGCCCCCACCCCAGCCCAGGCCTCCTCTTCCCCACCAACCCTGCAGCAGCTTCCCTCTGGCCTCTGCTTGCACACTCTCGGCTTCATCCCTCCCATGGCTCCCCAGTGCTCTTGGGACAAAGCCCAGGCACCACCCTGGGTCTTCAGGCCCACATGGCAGCCATGAAACCCTGCACCTGGGAATCACCCTGATCCTACACTTAGCCATCCTTGACCTCCACCTCCCCGGCCTACACCCCCGCCTCCTCTACCAGCTTCTCGGATACCTTGTCCTGGTCAGCCACGGAGAGCGCGCTGTGCAGCGGCAGCACCACCCAGCGCTGCGTGTGGCTGGCGTAGGTCTGGGCCGCCTCCAGCACGGCCCCGATCTCTGCCATGCCGCTGAGGAAGACCAGGAGGTCCCCGCGCTCCTCGGCCGGGTATTTATTGTCGATGGCCTCTAGCACCCTTAGGAAGGGCCGTGGGTCCAGCCTCTCGGACTTGGAGGCTGTCTGCTCGGCCTCCTGTGGCTGGTAAATGACCTATAATGAGACGGCCCCAAGCGGGCCACCATGTGTCACTCCAACACAAAACGACAGCATGAGGACCACAGTATCGCATAGCAGATGCCACTCTCCAAGTGCAGGTGGCAGGAGACAGGACGAAGGGACACAGCAGCCAGGCTTCTGGAGCACTAGCTACTGCTGGCTTTTAAGAAGGTGGATGCCAGCTACGAAGATGAACTCTATGAAAATTAACTGGGCTGGGGATTTAGCTTAGTGGCATAAGTGCCTGTCTGGCAAGACTGAGGTCGTGAGTTTGATCCCTGGTGCCACAAAAAAAAAAAAAAAAAAAATTAACTGTGCACTCATGCTGCACACCCCCTTGGGTTTAGAGTACGGTCACTGCAAATGGAAAAAAGGATCTCTAAGTAGTGGAACACTGAAGAGGCCCTGAAGACCATCTCTTGGGAAGGGTCTCATTCTTTTCTCATGGCTGCCTCTAAAATCTGTCCATGGGCGCCCTGAACCAGAAGCCGGGGGATAAGGAAGCCCTTCCAGCAGGCTGCAATGACATGGCCAAGGACAACTCCCTGGGATGCTGCTTCTTAATGGGGCAGCTTTGCCAGCAGGGGAGACATGGCAGTACCTAGAGACACTCTGGGTAGTCATAAGTGGATAAGGACAATGCTAGTAGCACCTAACATTAGGGTCTGGGGATGCTGCTGAACATCCACACAGCAGTACAGCCTCCTCGCCAGGAAGGACCCAGCCTGCATGTCAGTACTGTGACTGAGAAACCCTGCCGGGTAGGTGATAAAAAAATGAAGGTGCTAGGGTTCCTGGGTGATCAGAAGAGCAGAGCTGCCTACCAGCCTGACACGGCAGATTCTGTTTCGGTTTTCTAGGCTTTTTTGAGACACAGTCTCGCTATATTGCCCAGACTGGCTTTGAACTCACAGCAATCTTCCTACCTCAGCCTCCTAAGTGCTGGGATTCCAGACAAGCACTACCATCCCTGGTCATCAGATTTTTATATTTTTATCTCATTTGGATCTTTGTATTTTGGGGTCTCTGTTTACAGCAGTTAGCAGCTGTTACAGGGCTTTTGCTATAACTTTAACTTAGTGCTGTGTGCTAATGTAAATGCTGAAAGCTCTTCAAGCAGCAGCCTTAAAAAGAGGGAAATGTCCTTAACTGAGGACACAAGAAGCAGCAGCTGAAAGCAGACCTCCCAGGGTGCTGGGGACCACATTGGAGACACTGACCGTGATGGGGAAGAGCCGCCCAGGCACCTGCACCACGGGTGCATTGCCGAAGTAACTGGAGAAGAGCATGATGTTGATGGTGGCTGACATGAGAATAACCTTGAGGTCGGGCCGAGTGGGCAGCAGGTGCTGTAGGACTCCTAGGAGGAAGTCATTGTGCAGCTGTCGCTCGTGGACCTCATCCACGATCAGGACCTTGTACTGCGGCAGGCTGGGCTCCCGCTGGATCTGCCGCAGGAGCAGCCCCACGGTCAGGAACACGATCTTGGTGGCTGCTGAGCGTGTGCTTTCGAAGCGAATCTGGTAGCCAACCTGGGTGGGAAGAAGGCGTTGGGTCAGGTCAGGTCCAAAGGGGACCTGAGCCAGGCCGCTGTGACACCCACCCAGCCGGACATGGAAATCTGAGCCTGTGCCAGGCTGACAAGTCAGACTCGAGCCCAGCTGGCATCAGTCTGAAATCTAGTGCTGCCACTTACTGATACTGCCCACGGGCAAACAATGCCACCCTTATAGATGTCTGTCCTCTCCAAGGGGCCATGAGAATTATGTGTGATAATGCACATAAAGTACGTGAGGCACTGCCTGCTGTGGAACGTTATTAACTGTAATCGTAGTAATTATCTTCCAGGCCATCTTTACTTAGTGACAAAAAAAAAACTCCTACATGCTTTATACTCGTTTCATTCTCATCACCTCCACTGTTCTCAAGTTATCCTTACTTTATAGATGGGGAAACTGAGGTCATCACTCAAGATAACACAGCTTAAAAAAAAGGTACTCAGAGGAAATGTATCATAACCCCTACTTCACATCATACACACACTTGCACGCTCAATTCCAGATGAACTGTAGTTGTAACTGTAAAAGTTCTCAGAAAAGAACAGGAGAGGGCTGGGGATTTAGCTCAGCGGCATAAGCGCCTGCCTTGCAAGCAGGCAGTCGTGAGTTCGATCCCCGGTACCGATAAAATAAAAAATAAAAAAAAATAAAAAAATAAAAAAAGAAAGAAAAGTACAGGAGAACTTCCTCAGGACTTTAAAGCAGGCAAAATTTCAGGCAAGTGTGGTGCCACATGCCTGTAATCCCAGCAGTTATGGGGCTGAGGCAGGCAAACTTCCACAACTTAAACTACTCAGTTAAGACACTGTCTCAAAAATAATTTGTAGCATCCTATCACTAAGAAGTGATAACCTAACATGAAAATAATTATCACTAAGGGGAGTGATGACCTTCAGGATAGCAGGGTAGGTTCAGGAGGGTTCACACATATGTTTAGGTTTTAAAGGGTACTGGTTACATAAACATATTCAATTGCTGACAGTTACTTAGCTATGTATTAGGATGTGTGCACTTTTTCTCGCTGCTGCCTAGGGATGGAACTCAGGGACTCGCGCGCGGTAGGCAAGCACTCTACCCCAGAGCAACAGCCTCTGCCCAGACGTGTGCACTCTGTTCGGTTACAGGATTATAACTTCAAGAGCAAGGGAACATATGTAAGTGGTAGAACCCTAGAGATCATTATTAAGGATTTGAAGCTCAGCAGCACAGCATTTGCTTAGTGTGTGGGTTTCATGCTCAGCACAGAAGGAAGGGAGGAAGGAGAGGGAAAGGGAAGAGAAAGGAAGAAAAGGGAAAGGGAAAGTGAGAGGGGAAGGGAAAGGAGAAGAGGAGACAGACAGAAAGAAAGGAAAAGGGACAGAGGGAAGGAAAGAGGAAATGTACTTACTAATAAATCTTTTTTGCCAGGCAGTACTCAGGAAGCTAAAGCAGGACTGCTGCAAGTTTGAGGCCACCTGGGCTACAAAGTGAGTTTGAGACCTGCTTGGACTACACAGTGAGGCCCTTTCTCAAAAAAGCCAAAAAATAATCAAGTAAAATGAATCTTTTAAAGGCCTGCTCAAAAAATTGACTGATGAGCATTTATGATGTGTCTTACTTTTTGCTGTTAAAGTGTTACACTAGGTAATTAGCACCTGCGTCACTCAGACCACATATGAGCCAGTGTATAGCTAAAGCTGGAGAATTATCACCTCCAAGTCAAAGGGCAGCAGTATAGTTTTACTGATGCTGCCATATGTACAACCAATTTACTCCCCAAGTCACCCGGAAACAATGGGGACCCTGGTACCTCCCCCTCACCTGGGATCCATATTGACTGAGGCTCTCGAATCCAACACGCTTGGCCAGTGAGATGCAGGCGATTCGCCGGGGCTGCGTGCAGGCCACATGGCTGAAGCCTGCGGCCAGCAAGTACTGGGGCACCTGGGTGGACTTGCCACAGCCTGTGTCCCCAGCCACCACCACCACCTGATGCTGCTTCAGTGTCTGCAGGATGCACTTCCTGTACTGGGCGATGGGCAGGGCTGCCCTATCCCGCTGCAGCTTGGCCAGCCTCGTGAATGCCTGCTTCTGGCTGAAGTCCAAGTAGTGCAGCAGGGCCCGGCGGAACTCAGATACTCGTTTTGGGGGCAGCTGACTGCCTGACCCACGTATGTCCCGCATGTCGGGGCCAAGAACAGAGAGGTTGATGCGGTAGCGGGAGTCATAGGGGCGAGGCAGGTCGGCCAGGGCCGGGACACAGTGTTTGGGATGTCCAGGGTCTGTCTCCTCCTTCTTGGAGGTTTTGAGAGTCTGGAACCGTTGCAGGCGTTCAAAGAAGGCCCAGAACTTGTGGCAGTCCTCGGAGCCCTGACGGATGTAATCCTCATCACGGAAGAAGGCGTCCTCGAAGCGGCGCCGTGTCTCGGGACAATCCCAGTCCCACTTCTCCAGGGCCTCCTCCTCACTGGGTGCCCAGCGGTGGTCTCGGTGACCTCTACCTTCCCTGGGCCTGGGAGGAGCCATGCTGTGACCTGAGAGGCTGTCACAAATGGGCCTCAGTTCTCACCACCTGGACCTGACTCTTTTGTCCACTCCCATGTTCCACAGTGATATAGCTCAACGACACAGCACTTAACTGGCAAGTGTGAGGTCCTGAGTTGGATTCCTGATACCACCCCCCCCCCCAAAAAAAAGCTGATTTTTCTTCTTTCCTGGTAGCAGTCACCATATATGACCTCAGGTGTCCGGGGGCCTGGCTCAGCTGGTGAGACTCAGGCACTCAGCAACCTCGGGGAGGGACACCCATTCATCTGGGCTTTCAGGCCCCAGATACTGGGGAAGAATACAGAAGTTATCCACTCCTTTTCAGGAACATTTAGCACACAGTCATTTCCCAAGCACTAGGCTGGGGAAAAGAGGTAATAAGACCACCTGCACACTTGTGGTCATTCAGCAGACACATGTCCCCACACTGCAGCCGTGCAGTGGCTGAGGCTATGATAAAGAAAGCCCAGGGCCTGCCTGTGCTTGGGAAGCAGAAAAGGATGCTCGAGGGGAAGATCCCTGAGCTGAGACCTAAAGGAAGAACAGGAGTCACATCTGGCCAAGTGAGAGCAAATGGAGCAGCCAGGGGGATACAGCCTCCTAGGATATGCCCCCAGCAGCCACCCCTAACCTGGCCATTCCTCCTAACAGCAAGGTAACCCTAGGGCCTCAGGATCCAGGGACCTTTCAAAAGCCCTATCTGTTGCCTGACAATTGTGAGGCACTGAGTTCCATTCATGAGACAAAAAAAAGCCCTACCTGTGAGCATATGAGCTTTAGGGGCCATCTAGATATAAACTGGAACAGGCAGCTAACACGAGCAGTGTGACACTATGAAGAGTGACAGAGGGTTTGTAACCTAGTATCCATGTTTTAGAATACTAGAAGCCCTTGCAATACATGGAAAACCTTATCAGTATGACATTTGTATTGTTTTTCTGGCCTAGTATATTCCCCAGGCCCTTCTTTTTAACAGTATCTACATTTCTTCAATTCCATATGGTCCTGTTGGCCTGAATCAGAGGACATGTACTGGTCGCACAGTGAGAAACCCCTGACCAATCACAATACTCCTACTTTTCCCTTAATGAGTCATTGGTCTAGGAAGTGGACACATGACCCAGTCAGGGCCAATCAGGAGTCATGTCTGAAATTCACACCTGGTTACCAGGGGGAAAGGTTCTATTGTAACTAGGCAAGTTTAATATAAAGCTGGTGTCCTTTGTAGTAGTAACTCTGAAGAGTTCTGGTCTTTGCCAGAAATGTGCCCTAGAGAAACCCTGTGTATGGGCACAATCAGGCATATGACACACACAAGGGTGGTCCTTGTGCAACTATGGAGCATGGCTGTGGGTGAGCTTGGCAACATCATTTAATGGTCACAGATTCAACTATTTTTGTCTTTTTGAAACAGGGTCTCGCTATACAGCTCAGACTGGCCTTGATCTTACTTCATGGCCCAGAATGGTCTCAAATTTGAAACAGGGTCCTCCTGCCTCAGCCTCCTGAGTGCTGGGATTACAGGTCTGTGCCACCACTCCTGGCTTAACTCTTTACTTCTGGGCTACACAGAAAAAAAAAAAAAACATCTTTTTGCTTAAAGCTGAGTTCTTGATGCTCAACTGAAAAGTTCCTATCTCATAAAGAACATAATGCCAGAACAGTGGCACACACTGTAATGCTAGCACTTGGGAGGCTGAGGTTGGGAAGTACTGCTGCCAGTTTGAGGTCAACCTGGCCTGCATAGTGAATTTAAGGCTGCCTGAACTATATACAGCAAAGGCCTGTCTCGAAAAAAAAAAAAAAAAATGAACAAAAAATGAACAACAAAAATTACATATGCAATTTTCTGGAGGTAAATTTATCACTCAGATTTTTGTTTTGAGATACTCTATTTAGTCCTGGCTGGCCTCAAACTCATGGCAATCCTCCTGCCTCAGCCTCCCAGGTGCTGGCATTTTAGGTATGTGGTATGTTCAACCACACCTGGCTAGAACTTTTTTTTTTTTTTTTTTTTTTTTTGGTGGTATTGGAGATTAACTCAGGGCTTCTCAACCCTTTTCTGTAGTTTTTTTTTTTTTTTTTGAGACATGGTTTCACTATGTAGTTCAGGCTGGCCTTGAATCATTTTGCAGTCCAAGCTGGCCTCACATACTCTTGGTGATCCTCCTGGTTCTGCCTCCCAAGGGCTGGGTTACAGGTGCGCACCATGACACCCAGCTCCAACCCTTTTTAAGACAGGTCCTCAATAAATTGCTCAGAGTGGTCTCAAGTTTTTGATCCTCCTGCCTCAGTCTAATTGGACTTTTAAAAGGGCCTATGCCCCTAAAGGGTCCATAACCTTCCTTTGTGTGCAGGGTTTGGACACAGGCAACTGATGGCTGGAATCTCTTCACTGACTGGGAAAGTATGTGACCATCAGCAAATCAACTTTCTTTGTGGTTTTTGAGACAGCTCACTGCATAGTTCAGGCTAGCCACAAATTTATGGTGAACCTCTTGTCTCAGCCGCCCAAGTGCTGGGATCACAGGCATGGGCGCCACCACACCCAACCTTGGTCTGATTTTTTTATATCTATCTCATCATATCTCCCTTCCCTGTCTCTACTCAGCCCCATCTCTTCATTTACCTCATTCTATTTTTCTGATATTCTCTGGAATCCAACTCTCTCTCCACCTTTCTCTTCAGAGCCCCTCCTATCCTCCCCATTCCTGTCAGCATCTTTCTCTGGCTGTTTCTGCTTCTTGGTCCTTTGTCTGACCTCCGTATCACTTTAATATTTTGTCCTCAAAGGTTTGCAGCTTTAACAATGGCTAACGCTGCTCATTTGTGTCACTACCTCTGAGTCCTAAACCATCTCTGGTCACACTTTCCGCACAGCACTGGGAGGTGCTGAGTCACAGAGGTTAAGTAAATCGAGGCAGGTGAAGAATCCATTCAATTCTAGAAGCCATTTCCTCTCTCCATTTTCCAGCATGATGCTCAATCACTTCCAGTTGGGATGGGGGGAAGGGTGCAGGTTTTCCTGCAATAGCCCAGGCTGACCTTGAACTCACAAAGTGCCTCAGGCTGGTCTCTAAATCTGTTCAACTCTCCTGCTTCAGCCTCCCGAGTGCTATGACAAGGCGCCATAACGCCTGCCTAATTTTCATCACGTTCCCCCAATTCCCCGTCTCTCCCCCAGACCTAGCCTCTCACCCACTGGCTTTCTACGTCTCCATCCTCCAAGTTCATGGTGGGGCCATGTGGTTCCCTGAGCCTCCCGCTGGGGCTCGCACAGACCTCACGCCCTAAGCGTCTCCAGACTTTGGTTTTGTATTTTGGGGCACGGGGGCTCAGCCCAGGGCCTCTGCAACCTCCCCAGGATGTTTTGGCACAGGCCGGACTCGAGCTTGGGATCCTCTTGCCTCGGTGCCCCCTGCTCCCCATCGCCCGCCTCTCCGCCCCTCGGCTTCCCGGAGTTCGGTTCAGGGTCCCAACTCGGACTCTCCCTCAGGCTCCTCTCCGTTGGCTCTCGCCGGCCCTCCGCTACCTCCCAGGACACCCGCTCGGCGGCCGCTCCTAGACCACCCCGGCCCGGTCCCGCGGTCCCCGGGACCCATTCCCGCAGCTGCTACCACAACACCGCGCGCCCCGCCCCTCACCTCACACACAGGCGCGGGCCCACCAACTTCCGGTCCCAAGCGCCCCCTCTGGCGCGCGATACCATACCTGCGCCTGCGCACACCACAAGATCCACTTTGCGCCTGCGCACAGCCCCTCCTGCCCCGCCTCACTTAGGGCGCAGCCTTGAGTAACTGTGCCCACTAGGGGGCGCAAGAGGCACTGCGGGAGGGACTCGCGAGTACTTGTAGCCATCCCTGTGCTCTTGTCCTCCAGCACGGCCACCAGGATCGCGCGACACGGAAATTTTAACCAAGAGAGGGAGCGCGGGCACTATTAAACTCAGAACCCCAGCCCCCAATGCTGGACCCGTTTCTGTATCAGTGGTGTTGGATTCCTCAGCGCCCACAGAGCCTGAGAAGGATGGTCAGCAAGTGTTTGTTAAATGACTACATGAATGAGAAAAGTGAGACCTGTGTAGTCTTACATGTTCCGGGCTTACACACCTGTAATCCCGGCACTCTGGGAGCCCGAGACAGAAGGATCCTAAGTTCGAGCACACCTTGGGCAACTTTTGAGACCCTGTCTCAAAATTCAAAAATTTTTAAGGGACACAGATGTAGTTCAGGACAGAGGGGACCAAGTTCAATCCCCGGTATGAGGTGGCAGCATTTGAGAAGAGAGCTGCAAAAAATGTGACCCCGGGGACACCTGGAGGGTAACATTGTAGGAAGAGGAAACTACAGGTGCACAAGGTGACATGGGATAAGATTTGGACTCAAGACGGCGCAGGCAGGAAGGCACCAGGGGCTGAAAGAGTGGGACAATCATCAGAGCAGGCCACACTGTCATCTGCATGGAGCAGGAGCTCTGAGTGGAGGCTGGCAGAGGAGCAGCAGGAAGGAAACAGAGCTGCCTGAAACTCCTCTAGCCTCAGCGTATCTGGAGGGAACCAAGAAGCAAAAGAAGGCCTCCACTGCGGACTTAGGAGGGCAGCTGACAGGTGATGCAGAGAGTGGTGAGCAGGAGCTTGGGAGACAGAACCCAAAGGTCAGCTGATGCCCTGGCCCAGCTCTGAGAGAAGCAGTGTAGGGGGAAACCTTGCATTTTTTCTTCTGAGAGAGGGTCTCGCTGTGTAGTGCAGGCTGCCCTTGAATCACTGTACAGCACAGGCCAGCCTCAAACTCACAATGATCCTCCTGCATCAGTCTGCCAAGTGCTGGGACTACAGGTGTGTATCACCACATCCAGCCAGGACTGTGTTTGGAGCCGGTGTCCCTTCGCTAAAATGTTTGAAGCAGAAGTGGTTTCAGTTTCAGATTTTTCAGTATTTAGATAGACATAAGGTGATATCTTGGGATGGGACTCAAATCTTAACACAAAATTCACTTACATCTATGTCACCTTCTATACCTAGCCAAGAGGTATTGACGCACATTTTTGTTTGGTTGAGTTTGTTTGGTTTTGTTTTGGTTTGGTTTTTGAGGTCTTACTGTACAGTTCAGGCTGGCCTTGTCTAGCCTTCAACTCACAGAGATCCTCCCGCCTCATCCTCTTTCTGAGTGCTGAGATTACAGGTGCACGCTGATAAGATTCTGGCACATCCAAAAGATGAGAAGTAAGAAATAAAAGAGGCCTTTATTCTGGAACGCAGAGAGAGAAAAACAAACCGCACCACTACCACTGAAGTCTGGCTTTCTCTCTGGCAGACGTGGTGTGGGGGTATACGTGTAGCTTAAGTTTGGGGTGGTGCCTAAGGGGCATTAGTGATGCACAGGTAGCCCATTGGTATTCATTTCGGGCCACAGGTAAGTTGCCTAGGGGTGGGAAAAGCTGACCTCAAGATAGAGCCCCCTGGTTCGGCCTCCCAGCCTCCTCCCAGCTAGGGCAAGATTCTTTCACACACACACACCCAGCTTACACCAGTGTTTTTTGCACGCCTACATCTCGGCTGTGACCCATCAGAAGAGGTGCGATGTGGAGTTTCCCACTTGTGCTGTTTTGTCAGCCCTCAAAACGTTTTGGATTTGGGGGCATTTCAGATTTGGATTTCCACATTGGGGATGCTCACCTTGTATTAAATTTGGGATATGCACTGGACATCAGGTGTGGGGGCGTAAATGGCGTCTTAGTCACTTCCTCAGCAGGCAGTGGGACACAAGACCCGACAATTTAAAAGCCCAGAAGATTATTCAGCACCACTTCTCAGTCGGCAGCATCCAGCACCAACCTGGAAGGCGCAGCGACACGGTGCAAGGGTCTGGCAGGTAAAAAACTGCTCACAGCGGCACCGGCCAGGCCAGGAAGTAGGGGGAGATGGGAGGAGCCAGGGCGGGCCAGCGTCTCTAACCAGCCTTGGAACCCAAATGCCGGTCTAGCGGCCCCCACACGGTCCAATCGGCCTACCCAGAGCCCATCTCTGAGCCCTTGCCTGGGGGTTTTGGAGCCATTGGAGCTGTAAATCCCACTAAATGACAAGCCGGGTATTACCAGCCATGGAAACAACTCAAATGCACAGAAGCCACTTGCCACGTTATCAAAAGAAGAGAATTTAAGCATTCTGCTTAAAATTTCCCAACAACAAATACAATTTTTAGGACTGGGTGGGGTCCCACACCGAGGAGGCTGAGGCTGGAAGGCCTCGAGAGTGTGAGGTCAGCCGGGGCTCCTGGGGAGTGCAAAGTCAGCCTGGCCTGCCTGCTGAGACCCTGTCTCAAACGAAAAAGAAAAAAACTACATTTTTTTAAAAAATGGAAAATGGGAGGAAACAAACAGCAAATATGAAATCGAGAAGTCCAGCTATCAAGAGCAGCATGAGTAGCATATTTGAGATCAGTTCTTAGAAAAATCATTGAGATGTGGTTCTTCGAAAATTTAAGGAAACCAAAGTCACTATGGTTAAAAAAGATAAAACTAGGTGTGTTGACACCACAGCAGTCTAGAAAGCTGAGGCAGAAAGGCTGCAAGTTCAAGCCCAACCTGGGCAATTTAGCAGGGAAACAAAACCTACTTTAAAATCTTAAAAGTATGAAACAGAAGAGGCGGATAGTGTAACTTCGCTCAGTGTAAAGGCCCTGGGTTCAGTCCCCAGTACAAAAAACAAGCAAACAAACAAATGTCATGAAGTTTACAAAGAAGGGAAAGTTACAATAAACAACAAAAAAAGATTTTTTTAATGATCAAGAGAATTGTACATGAAATTGCACAGAAATACATTTGGAAGCCCCCATGAAATTTACTTCTTTTTTTAAAAGACTAATGAAATCAACTAAAAATTGTCTAAGTCCACAAATAATGTTTTATCAAAGTTAACACAGTTCCCTCCTAATGGGTCCCTGATCTCAGTGGATTAGCATGAGGGTTTTTCAGACTTTTCAGGTGACTAAATAGATTATCCCAGAGGAAACAAGCATTGTACAAGACAGTCTTGGTGTTAGTAATTCATGGGTGACAATTCTGAGTTCCCAGTTAACCTACAAATTCCCCAAGTGACTGCTGGATCTTTTTTGTTGTTGTTGTTGTTCTTTTGCATTTTTATGGGTACCAGGGATCGAACTCACAACCACCTGCTTGCAAGGCAGGCACTTATGCCGCTGAGCTAAAGCTGGATCTTTTAAATTTCTGTCTTTCCTCCTCTCATCCCGTGAATTAGAACCAAATTTTTGTTTTTTCTGCACCCTGTTTTTCCACCTAGTACATGGGCTCTCGGAAGGTGGTGACCTCTTTTTGAACGTCTCTTACTTTATCTGGTATGGGAGTTCGTGAGAGGCTGAGGCAAGCGGATCGCTGTGGGCTATCGAGTGATTCCCAAACCACTCTGAACTGCATAGCTGGACTTTGTCTCAAGAGAATTTAAACCAAAACAAAACAAAAACCACAACGTCCTCTCCTGAAGTGTTCAAATGGCAAGTCCGAAGTCTAGGTACCAACAGCACTTGGTCCCTCAGGGAGGCTCCCGGGAGAATCAGCAGGTGGCCTCTTCGTGTCACTTGGACCACATCTGCCACTGCTGACCTCCTGCCCCTCTCTCTTAAGGACCACTGTGCTGACATCGGGCCCACCTGGACAATCCAGGACCACAGCCATCTCAAGACCTCTAACTAAGGGCCGAGGATTTAGCTCAGTGACACAAGCGCCTGCCTGGCAAGTACAAGGTCCTGAGTTCAATCCCTAGTACAAAAAAAATCCCTAACTAAGCCCCATCCGCAAAGCCCCATGGCCAGGTAAGGCCCCTTCACCACAGGCTCAGGGGACTATGATATAGACATTGTGGAGGCCACTGCCCTGCCTGCTGAAGGTCTGAGAGCTGGAGATGAATGTGTGGACTGGTGCAGGGGAGCCTTGAATGCCGAGCCCACGGCTTTGGATGTGCCTTTTCTTTCCATCAGCCTCCTGCCTCCTCCGCTCTGTCATCCTGAGTGTGCTGTCCTCCTGCTTGCACTTTCACAGTAGCCTCCTTGCATGGTTCTTCCCTCTCCCCCAACAAGCACAAGACCTTATTAAAATTTAAGGAAGATCAAGCAACATTCTTTACTCAAAATTGGGTTGCCTAAATAGGGAAAAAAACCCACAGAATACTCAGTGAATTTAAATTTCAGATAAACAACATAAAATGTTTGAGTATAGGTTTGTCTCCAGTGTTTCGGGGGAAACGATAGGCAACAGCTCCATGTCAGGGCTGTGTCCAACCTGCTCCAGGGCCTTTGCACATATGATTCTTGCTGCTTAGAACAACTTTCTTTGACTCAGATGTGAGCATGACTCCTCTCCCTCTTTTTCAGATGTTGACTCAACTTTTACTTCATTCAAGAGTCGTCACAGGGTTGACTTATTCTGCCACACCCATGCCTCTTTGTTCCCTTTAGATATTGTAGTGTCTATCACTCTGTGTTCCATCTACATTACTTTCTTTGCTTATTGGCCATTTTCTCCCAGCAGAATGTCAGCACCTGTTTCTGTTCTGCTCGCTGCTGTCTATCTCAGTGCCTCTTCTGTCAGGGCCTTGCATACAGCAAGCACATAATGAATGTTCGTTGATTGAATGAATGAATGAAATAAAAACGTCATTGAGCCCCTGGATCCAGCTCTACCTGAAGCCAGATGTGTGAGATGAGCTAGGAGACTACCAGCCAGTGTCCTCCTTGCCTACACCTCCATCTCCAACACCAGTTCCTGGCTGGTGGACACCTTGCTAATCACACTGTCCTCCTCCTCCTGGGACTCCCGCAGGGCCCAGTGACATGCAGCAGGCAGCGACTGGCGGAGTCGAGCCCGCCCGAAATACAGGAAGAGGAAGGGGTTTAGGCAACTGTGAGCAAAAGCCAGGCCCACTACCCAGGGCTCAGCATGCAGGGCCCGGGCCAGGAGTGCCGAGTGTGGGGCAGCTGAGGCCAGCACCAGCCCCAGCAGGTGGTAGGGAGCCCAGCACACAAAGAAGCCCACCACGACGGCTGTGCCTAGCGGCCAGTGACGTGGGGCCGCTCGGAGCAGCAGGACGATGTGGCAGCTGACCACGAGTGCCAGCGGCCCCAGGAAGCCACAGATGAACCTCATGGCGGCCACCGAGCCCTCCACGGTGGCTGAGCCACCGTAGTCCACAACACACTTGAGGCGGGCTGGGAAGTGCTCCTGGTGCAGGCGACGGTACAGGGCTGAGGGCACCGTGAGCAGCAAGGCCACTGTCCAGGCCGCCCCCCGGGCTAGCCATGCCCTGTGTGCCCATGGCGCCTCGGCCCAGCTGGCACAGCCAAGCGCCAGCAGACAGAAGTCTGCGCTGAGCACTGCCAGCAGCAGCACCCGGGCGAACATGGACAGCAGCACAGCTGCGGGCAGCAGGCGACAACCCAGCGCCCCGAACGGCCAGTGTCCCCGGTGCGCCAGGGGCACGGCCAGGAGCAGCCCAGACAGGCAGCACAGCAAGTCAGCCACCGCGAGGTGCAGGAACCAGGTGGCCCTGCGCCCGCGGCCGGCCCACTTCCCCGACACCCAGGCTACCATGACATTGCCCGGCACCCCCACCAGGAAGATGGCAGTGTAGAACAGCAGTGGGGCAACGTGGAAGGTGTCGATGGCCAGGCAGGCGCCACCTGAGCAGTCCACGGGGATATCCGGAAGAAGGTCCGTGTAATCCCCGTACTCGAACTCATAGCTGAGAGAGTTGTTCTCCATCTGAGCCCCAGATGCCTAGAAGGGAGAGGAACAGCGTGAAGAAACTCCATGAGCCTGCAAATGTGGCCCAGAGGAAGCCCAGTCTGCGTGCACTTCAGAATCTTAAATATTTACAAGGTGTGGTGGCATCAGTACTCCCAGCACTCAGGAGGCTGAGGCAGGAGGACTGCTGCAAGTTCCAGGCCAACTGGGGCTATGTAGTGAGTTCAAGCCAGCCTGAACTGCATAGCCAGAGCCTGTCTCAAAAAACAAAGTGAAACACTAAACTATTAGAACCCCAGCTAGTTATCACCTGGGTTCCGGAGTAACATGGCCCCTGGAACTTTCTATGTGAGGAGCTGTGCCCCGTGCCAGGGCTGTGAGCTACCAGCCACTCACAGGTGCTGAGCATTTGAAATGCAGCAAGTGCAGGTGAGAAACTGAGTTTCAATTTTATATGACATAAATAACCATTCATAAACCGAGTATGGTGGCACATGCCTATAATCCCATTTACTTGGAAGGCTGAGGTAGGAGAATCGCCAAGTCAATGTGGGCAACATAGTGGGTTCAAGTCCAGCTTGAGGGCCAGGAAGATAGCTCGGCATCACAGCGTCTGCCTGGCCGTGAGTCAGTTCCCAGTACCAAAAATAAAAGGTATGGAGGTTGAATGTACGTCAATGCAAAGGTCTTGCGTTCTGTCCCCAGTTCTAGAAAAGACAAAAAGCTGCCCATAGTTTGTGGCTATCTTATTGACAGTGATATTCTAAAGTGTTCTGAAATATAGAACATCCATCTGTTAGAACCTGAATTTCCAGAATTTAAAGTACTGGAGTCTGGCCAGGTGTAATAACACATAGCTGGTAGCCCTAATTAATCAGGAGGCTGAGGCAGGAGAATTGTTAGTGCCTGGGAGTTCAGAGCCAGCCTGGGCCTCATAGCAAGACCCTGTCTCAAAAATTATAATGTAGGGGCTGGAGGTTTAGCTCAGTGGCATAAGAGCCTGCCTTGCAAGCAGGCAGTCGTGAGTTCGATCCCCGGTACCGATAAAAAGTAAAAAGAAAAAAAAATTACAATGTAATACAATAAAATAAATAATAAAGCACATAAATATTAGAATCTGAATGTGCCCCAAGGGGAGAAAACATTAAGGTGTCTTCAAAGTATTTATCTTGGTTACTCTTCAACCCTAGATTCTTTGTTTGTGTTTATGTTTGCATTTGTTTCATTTTTGAGACAGAGTCTCATCATGTAGTTCAGGCTGGCCTTGAACTCCCAGTGCTCCTCCTGCCTCAGCTTCCTGAGTGCTGGGATTACAGCTGTGCACCACCACACCTGGCTTCCAAGCTGTTTTAAACACTGTACCATGACACGTGATTTGATGCTATTTTGTTAAATCCATTGTGCAAATGAACAAGCTGAGGCACTGAGGTTGGTAACTTACCTAAGATTCCTCAGAAGGCAGCTGCGTTTCCGGCCACGTGTGTTGGAGCACACCTGGAATCCCAGCCAGCTGGGAGGCTGAGGGAGGGGGAGAGTGAGAATTCAAGGTCAGTCTGGGCTACATATCATGAGCTTGTCTCCAAGGAAAAGAGAAAGGGTTGAGGGTGTAGCTCAGTGGCACAGCGTCCCTGGCTTCAGCCCCCAGCACCACAGAAACAAAACAGAAAAGAGCTGAGTTGTCAAACTACGAGCCCCACACCCTGTGATGTCCTTGTCCCCAGATCAGAGGCAGCAGGGCTGTGACTCTGCGCAGGCCTGGCCCTGTGACCCGAGTGGCAGTCAGGGCTGCCTTGGTCCACCCTGCACTGTGGCGAGGCTCCCACAGCAGAGCTGGCCGGGCAGCAGTGTGTGGCCCAGAGGAGCCCAGAACCAGGTGCAGCCCCAGTCCAGGCCTGCAGCTCAAGACTGTCACTCTCAGAGCTCTTGCAGGAGAGTGTGCAATAGGAAGGACCGGAGGAAGTTGGGACATTGTCCGCCCTGTAAGGTAGCAAGCAGAGGAGGCCAGGCCATGTCTCCATGCATTCATGCATTCAAGCCCGGGGTGGGGCCCTGCTGCTGGCCTTTCTCACCCCTGGAGTACAACATGCACCACTCTTAATAACTCAGCTCTCAGGAGCTTCGTGGCCTCTGGGAAATCATCTCTCTGTCCTTCTGGTTCCTGTCAAGGAGTCTCAAAGGATCTGCCATAGAGGGTGCTGTAAGATCAGCATGAAGCTGGGTGTAGTGGCACACACCTGTCATCCCAGCGCTCAGGAGGCTGAGGCAGGAGGATCACTGCAAGTTCAAGGCCAGCCTGGGCTACATAGTGAGTGCAAGGCCAACAGCACAGTGAGACTCTGTCTCAAAAAAATCAGAATAAAGCTAACTAAATAAATAATAGAAGACAATTGCTAAGCACTTATGCTGCGCCAGACAGGGCTCCAACCACCTAGGAGACAGGGATGGCTCCACCCCTGGTTCCCAGAAAATGAATAATGTCCCTATCACCCTCATTTCCTTTTCCGGAAGCTCAGCCTGCCTGCTTGGAGCCCCGCCCTGCTGAGCCCTTCGTATGCCCAGCATCCAGGACAGGACAGTCCTGGACACGAGCAGGTACTCAGTCTGCATCCGGGAGTGGAAGATGAAGGAGGAAACTGAGACCATGGACTGAGCTGTCACTCCGACACCACTGTGTTCTGCGAGCTCCTAGCCAGCATCTCTGAGCTTGGCCCTGGCTGGCCTCACTGGGACTCTTGCCCTGGGGGCTCTAGCTCAGGACCCCTTGCCTCTGACCAATGACTGCCATCTCCTGCTCAGGGAAGACACATGGGCCAGGGACAGGGACACCAAACATGCACCCCAGCACTGCACAAGGAGTCTACGCCTCAGAAATGAACAAACCACAGCAAGAACACAGATGGCTTCCATAGTCTGGTGTTGGGAAGGAACCCAAAAATCTGTGCTGACAACTGCACCTATAGAAAGCCCAAAAAAACAACCTAAGGAGCTGAGTACAGTGGCGAGCCTGTAGTCTTAGCTGCCCAGGAGACTGAGGCAAGAGAATGACTTGAACCCAGGAGTTCAGGGCCAGCCTGCAACATAGCAGGACTCTGTCTCTAAACAAAGTAAAGCAAAACAAAAAAGATTAAATCAGGGGCTGGGGATTTAGCTCAGTGGCATAAGTGCCTTCCTTGCAAATGTGCGGCCGTGAGTTCGATCCCTGGTACCAATAAAAACGAAAAAAACTAAATCAGTGGGGGCTGGGGATTTAGCTCAGTGGCATAAGCGCCTGCCTTGCAAGCACGCAGTCGTGAGTTCGATCCCTGGTACCGATAAAAAGGAAAAAGACAAAAGAAAAAAAAAAAGACTAAATCAGCAAAAGTACTCAATGGGGCAACAGAGGTGGGGGCAGAGCTCACACTAGCGCTGGATACACAGGAACATTCAGTTCCTGAGTCACAGGGATGGGTGTGCTCAGGGCTGGAGTGCTCACCTAGCATGCTTAGGGGCCCAGGTTCCATCTGCAGCAAAATAAAAAAGTCACAGGGCCACCAGTTGTGCACATGCTCTGCTCTCTGTGTTAGCTGAGGATCAGCTGAAGTCTCAGGAAGCCCCACTTTTGCAGTTGGGGGCTGCTCACGGAGCAGGCAGTCCTTTGACAGATTCCCAACCAGTTGCAAGGAGCTGGGCATGGTAGTACACACCCTCATCCCAGCACTCAGGAGGCTGAGGCAGGAGGATTGCTGAGAATTCGAGCTCAGTCTAGACTATGTAATGAGTCCAGGTCAGCCTGAACTGCACAGCAAAACCCCATCTCAAAAAACAAACAGAAGAAGCCAAGATCATGAAACCTCTTCTCCTCCTTTCTTCCCTCCTATCTCGTCCATTCTTACCGTGCTTTTCAGGAGGGTCCTTGGTTTGGCCAGATGTCCCTTGGGAGCACCATCCAGGCCTGCAGGCAGGACCCAGGACCTGGCGTCTCTTGGCCCAGCCCGGACTGGCGGATTTCAGGAAATGAGTGGTGTTCCCCTGGCTCTGGCACTCCACTGCCTGTAAACCTTCCTGACCAGGAAAATTTGGAAAGGCCTCTTCCCAGCCCTGGGATGTGCTTGTCCTGAGTTTTTCCTGTGACTCACACGTTCCCAAATCACAGGGTGACAGCAGGGCTGGAGAGGCTGAAGTGGGTGGAAAGGCGACCGTGTCCTCCTCCACCCTTGTTTTTGTCTCTGTCGTCTGCTTCTTGGAAGCCAGCATGAGTGTGTGGTTTGGCCTTAAGGCCAGAGGTCTTGACCTGGTCCAGTTTCCACAGGCACCCACTGCCCTGCCTGTGCTGGACCCAGCGCTGTGCAGAACCTGGCAGCCACCCAACACATGCAGTGCTATCTCCAAGCTGGGCCTTATCCCGCACACAGGAGGCTGAGGCAGGAAGATCTCCGAGTTTGAGGCCAGACTGGGCTACAATAGTGAATTCAAGACCAGCCTGAACTACCTTCTTTCAAGAAACAAAACAAAACAAAAAACCACCACAGAGACGGGAATATTCTTACAATAACCCAAATCACACCACCCAGGCTCCACTAGGGGAAGTGGCTTCAGCTCCAACTCCGGAACCTCCATGCTCAGCAGTTCTTTGTGCTGTGCTGTGCCGTGGGAGTTGAGGGCTGTAATTATGCACCTGCTGTCATTTAGGGAATAAAGTCCTGCAGTGAGAGGAAGTCATTTCTCAGTCAGGAAGCCAGGACCCATCCTGTGACCCAGATGTCTCTCATCACCTCTCTGGTTGACACTGTCTTGGCAGAGTGCAGCCCCTATGGAAACCAATGCCCTCCTCCCACCTCTGCCACCCCAGGTCCCCGGGGAATCCCTTTCGGGTCAGAGAAAGTGGAAGATGGAAGCTAGACTCTGGCAGCAGACCTTTTCTGGGGTCTTCCCTGGGGGTCCCTGTAGGCTGGGGGTGTCCTGGAGGCTCCAACTTGCCAGTCATTTCCTCCAGAGAGACACTCAGAATGAGACGATCCCAGGAGGGAACCCAGCTGACCCTATGACTCTGCCTGCCATTTCCCATTGCCAGCTTTGGAGATCAAAAGTAGGTTAAGTTTCAGCAAAATCCCCGGAGAGGAAAAACTGGATTCGTGACAGGAGGAGGAACCAAGGAAGGAGGAGCAAAGGCTAGAAATACAAGGTTGCTTTTCAGGGTGGGGAAAATGTTCTGGAACTAAAGACCAAATGGTTTCACAACAGGGTGAATGTACCAAAAGCCACTTGCAATAAATGTTACCACTTGTGTGGAGTGTGGTGGCACAGGTCTGTGAGCCCAGCGCTCTGGGAGGCTGAGGCAGGAAGATCCTGAGTTTGGGCCCAGCCTGGGCAAATCACCAACACAGTGAGTCCCTGTCACAAAATTCAGATTAAGGGGCTGGGGATTTAGCTCAGCGGCATAAGCGCTTGCCTTGCAAGTAGGCAGTCGTGAGTTCGATCCCTGGTACCGATAAAAATGAAAAAGACCAAAAAAAAAAAAAAAAAAAATTCAGATTAAAAAACGGCAAGGGATGTCGCTCAATGAGAAGACCCTGGGTTTGATCCTCAGTAGTGCAGAAAAATTCTGTGCATGTACTATAATTTTTCAAAAGCAAAAACTACATAACTGTTACATCTCTCAACCCCAAAGAGGCTGAATTTTTATTAAGGTTGAACCTCACAGAGTAAGAACCCGGCAAGGTGAGTAGCTAAGACATGGAGCCAGTCTCTTTCCTCTTCCGAACGATACAACACAGAACAATATACGTGCAGTGTTTAATGCATGGGGCTGGGCATGGCGGGGCACATCCGGAATCCCAGCACTTGAGAGGCAGAGGAAGGAGGGTCACCGAAAGTTTGAGGCCAGCTAGTGAGTTCAAGGCCAGCTTGGACTATAGAGTGAGACCCTGTCTCAAAGAGCATTGATGCATGGAAAATAATAAATAATAATAATAAAACATGTACAAGTCACAAAGTGGCACATCTCTGAAACCACAGTTTGGAATCTTCAAGTAACAAGGTTAATGCCTGTTTTTTGTTTTTTGTTTTGTCTTTTATACTTTTTATGGGTACCAGGGATCAAACTCACAACTGCCTGCTTGCAAGGCAGACGCTTATGCCGCTGAGCTAAATCCCCAGCCTAACGCCTGTCCTTTTAGGAGCAGGGGGTTCTGGGGATCGAACCCAGTCTTTGCATGAGCTATATCCCCAGTTCTTTTTTAGTTTTTATTTTGTGATAGGGTCTCACTAAGTTGCTAAATTGCCCAGGTTGGGCTCATTTTTTTTTTTTTTTTTTTTTTTTTTTTTTGGTACCAGGAATCAAACTTGGGACCTTGTGCTTGCCAGGCAGGCACTTATGCTGCTGAGCTATATCCTGGGTTCAAATTTGTGATCCTTCTGCCTCAGCCTCTCAGACTGTTGTGATTATAAGTGTGAGCCATTCTACCTGATTTTTTCAGTGGGTTTTCTACTGCTGTAACTAAATACCACAAACTGGGTGAGTTGTAAAGAATGAAGGTTTATTTATCCCATGGTTCTGGAGGCTGAGAGGTTCGAAGTTGGGGGGTCACATCTAGCCAGGGTCTTTGTTATGGTTTGATAACTAGTGGTCAACTTAATGCCAGCTGGATTACATCAGCATGCATTGAGAGAAGATGCTCCACCTGAGGAGGGTTGCCAGGATAAATAGGTGGAGAAGAAGGGAGGTGTTGAGAAGGATTGAGGCGTTATGGAGGCATTGTTGGTTCTCTTACGAGTTGCTGTCTGAGCTGCTGTCTGTTGGTTCTCCTGGAGAAGCTTTGGTCTTCACATCGAGCATTGCTTCCTGGCTCCGGAGGGGAAGACATGTGCTGCTTGGTCTCCAGGATGAACTTGTCACGCTGCTTCCTGTCACGTACCCGACTGTGCTTGTGGTCGGAAGAGCTCGGGGCCTCCGTGTCGCTGAGGACAGCTGTAGTGCCTTTCAGGACAGCCCGCTCTTTATTGTGTGACTTCTCGGCTCCAGCGTAGAGCCCTCATCCCACTAGCACAGCTCCTTCATCCTGCTGGCATAGACTTTCTGGCTTCCACCGCTGACCCTTGGGTCTTCCCGGCATGAATCCGTAAAAGAGACTGGCGTGAGTCCTTCTTGTGGGCTCTGGACTTCCAGTTGGACTCGTGGAGGCGTTGTCCTGAGCTCTGGGTTTTTATCTGGACTCATGTGGGACATTGCCATGGGGTTTAGACTCTTGACTAAATAATCTATGTCGTTGGTGTTGAGGATAGATTTCCTGCATTCTCCTGTGTTAACCTCCGGTGACCATTATAAAAATATTATAAACTCCATGTCATGACCTGAATTGTTCTCTGTGTACAACCCCTGACTACAACAGTTGTTTTGCTGGTGGCCAACCGAGGTATCCCACAGTGACAGCACAAGCTCAGGTCTGTGTGCTACTTGAGCAAGCCACAGCCCATTGCGTTAGGGCCCACCTTGATGGCCATATTGAGTCTTAATCACCCAGAAAATCCTCACTCTACACGCTAGGGTCACGTTAAGTTTCCACCCTCTTTGTAGTGCACAGTGAGATTAAATTTCATCATGAGATGGCAGGGTCTTTCAAACGATAACAACTTTTCAGAAAAAAAAAAAAAAAGATAAACATATTCGTCTTTGTGAGGCAAGAGGTCACGTGAGGTCTCAGCACAGCTCCTCACCCTGCTGAAGTAGCTTGAAAGCCCCTGGGGAGGGAATGGGTGTGGCCAGGTACCAATAAAATTTTATTTACAAAAACAAACCGGGGTCCAGATTTGCTAGCCCTGATCTCAATCAAAGACTCCGAAGGCTTGAATGTCAGAGACATAGCCTCTCAGACCTTGAGAGTCACACAGCATTTGGCATGAGGAATCCTACTTTGTGAGGTCAAGGCTATTTGCATCACAGGATTCTGGAATGTCACTCTGCAGCCTGAGAGGACAAGAAGCCAGAATTTAGAATTTGGTTGTAAATTCTAAATCACCCAAGCTGGGCTCAAATATGTAACCCTCCTGCCTCAGCCTCCCAGATTGTTGGGATTATAAGCATGAGCCCTCCTATCTGACTTTTTAGTGGATTTCTGTTACTGTAACTAAATACCACAAAAAGAACTTTGTAAATGCCCTGAACATTAAAACTCCTGAAGTATTCAAGTGAGGCAGATTCTGTGAAGCAAGGTCACACATGTGCACGTGCGTGGATGTGCTTGTGTCCAGGGACTGAACCCAGAGCCTCCATGCTGAGGTACACCTCGAGGCCTTTTTTAATTTTTATTTTGAGGCAGGATCTCACTAAGTTGCTAAGTTGCCCAGGCTGAGCTCAAATTTCCAATCCTCCTGCCTCAGCCTCCCTCAATGCTAGAACGACAGGTGTACACTGCCACACTCAAGCCAGAAGTGCTGTGGGTGCAAAATTAACGCCAGATTTCAGAGACTGAGCACAAAAACAAATATATATATAACCATTCAACATGTTTTTATTTATTTGTCTCAAAGTGCCAGACTGGACCCCAGGCCCTCACCCATGCTTTACCATGGTGACTCACCTAAGAATTTTTAAAATATTAATTATGTATTGACGATCAGATGCTGCCTTAAATTTCTGGGTTAAATAAAATATGGTCCCAAAATTAACTTTAAGCAAACTTTTTGTTCTTTTTTTTTTGTGCTAAGTGGCAGGAAAATGCACACTTCTGTTATCCAGGGTGACCCCAGTCCTGGGTGGAACACAGATGTGAGGCTGAGGGTCCAGCTGAGGTCTGAAGAGCAGATGCACAGGGCGTGGTGGTGGCAAATGCCTTTGATCTGGGCACCTGGGAGGCTGAGGCAGGAGTATCCCGAGTTCAGTCCAACCTGGACTACACAGTGAAACCCTCTCAAACAAATGAACAAAAACCAGCTGGCCAATGGGATGCAGGAGCTGGAGGTGGGGCAGAGCGCTCACTGGCCCCCCTCATCATCCATCCGCTTCCCTCCCTCCCACTTCCTCTTTTGACTCTGTTGACCCAGCAGATTCTCCAGACCACAGATTGGGCAATGACCTAACCTCTCTGGCAACTTCCGCCTAGGGCCGGGCTGCTCAAGCTGGGTGGAAGTCGCAGCGGTGCCAACTGGGATCCCACCAAGGGCACCTCTGGAGGACAAGGGTGGCTTTGAGGTCGCAGTGTTTCCTTGGTTTCCTCCTGACATGCGTAGGGGAGCCCCCTGGCTTCCCCTCACCCTTCAGACCTGCAAAACCAGGCGATGGTCAGTGACAGGGGCAGACTGGGCATACAGGGAATAGTGGTGCACATGGCTGACCCCAGCACTTGGCAGGCTGAGGCAGGAGGATCTCAAGGTTGACTCTAGCCTGGGTGACTCAGTGACTCAATGAGACCTGCCTCAAAAGAAATTTAAAAAGGCCTGGGAGGCAGCTCATCATGAGGGCTTCAGTTCACTGTACCCCCACAAACACAGCCAGGCTCACAGGGGAGCGTGGAGAGGCAGTGGGGAAGTCAGGGAGAACTTCCTGGAGGAAGTGGCACCTGGAGAAAGGCAGATGGGGAAGCAGCCGAGAGCACAAAGGAGAGAGGAGGCCAACCAGAGTACAAGCAGACAGAAGACTGGTGCCAGACAAAGATGGAGGAAACCGAGGACCCGGATGGGTCCCAGCCCTGTGCCACTGTGGGACAATCAGCTCGTTCTCTGGAGGAAGACACAGGAAAGGAAGAGATTAGGGAGGATGTGCGGGTCGGGTGGGCGTGGGAGAATGATCTGGAAGGTGGAGGGGGAGGTTATGAGATCAAGGGGGAGACAGAGGCAGGAGGATCGCAAGTTTGAAGCCAGCCTGGGTTAAGAAGTGGCCCTGTCTCAAGCTCATGTAAAAAACCTAAGATGCAGCCCAGAGGTAGTGCCTGCCCTGCACACGGAGGCTCTGTACTCAGTCCTCAGTACTGAGGAGGAGGGAGGGAAGGCGGAAGGAGGGGGGATTTTTTAAAAAATTGATTAAACATTTAAATCATATGTTGGATAAACTGAACCAAATAAAATAGGATTCACTTCATGACTGCTATTTTACATGTTAGCTGTCATTCAGAGTGACATAATGTAAATATATTCGTGTGAATGTAAATACTTCGTGTGAGTGTGTTAACACACACAGCTAATTCTCTGCTTACACTGGGGTTTCACCCAGATGAACCTACGTAAGCCGAAACCAACTCAAATCAGAAATTCATGTATTAGCGGAGCGTGGTGACACACACTTGTCATCATCCTAGCACCTGGGAGGCTGAGGCAGGAGGATTCCTGCAAATTCTAGGTCAGTCCAGGCTGTAGAGTGAGACCCTGCCTCAAAAAGAAACAAAAGCAAAGAAACAAACCCATGTTCCATCCCCAGCAATAAACCAACAAAAACTGAAAAACCAACAAACCTGCCCTCAGAGCACTCCTGCCTGGCCTCAGGAATCCCTGCCAAGCTCACCTGCCAAGCCTCCTCCGCCTCTGGCTGTGCAGCCCTGTGGATGGAGCGCCCTTCAGTCTCCAGGACCCTGACCCAGGGACCCCTGACCGCGCCACCGCGGAGGGCACCACTACTACTGTGCGCAGTGTTTCCTTCGCTTATGTTTATTTTTTTGGTGCTGGAGCTGAACTGAAGGCCCAGTGCACACCAGGCGAGCACTGCCTCGGAGCTGCCCAGCCCCTGCGCTTCTCCTCTTCACGGTGTCATCACTAAAAAGCTCAAAAGCACAGCCGGCCGTGATGGCGCACCCAGTAATCCCAGCCCTTGTGAGGCTGAGGCAGGAGGAGCTTTGCAAATTCAAGACCAGCCTGGACTACAAAGTGAGCCCAAGGCCAGCTCTGAACTGCATAGGGAGACCGGGTCTCAAAAAGAAAAACAAAATAGCACACCTGTGCTCACGCGGGTCCACACCCTTCTCTCACCCGTGCACGCACAGTGTAGGTGGAAATTAGGCATTACAGGCAACACGGCGTCCCCACGTACTTTTATTTCCATTTCACACCGTGCAGAGTCATTTCTAAAAAACGCAGATTAGTCGCTATAGGAGTCCACTGAGCAGCACTCTCGAAAAGACAAAATCGTCCAAACCTGGGTGCAGGGTCACCAGCACCCGACCAGGAGAGGAGTGGGCGTGGCTGCGTGATGGGAACGCGGGGGGGCGTGGCTACGCGAGGGCGGGGGTAAGGGCGGCGATGGGGACCTCTGCCCTGACCCGCTGGAGATGTGCGTGGCTAACATAGCTCATCCTCATCCGGCAGAGCGCATCCAGGCGCCCTTCCTGCGGTCACAACGGTGTCCAGGCTGCAACCACCTAGGGATAATGTCCCTCTTTTCAAAAGTACAAACAAAATAACAGTTTGCAAAGTAAAAATCTCAAATTCTCTTAAGCCACGCCTGGGAGGTGAGTATTGGGTGAATATCTGCCCAGGCAAGGTGACGGCACCTCAATCTTCCGTTTGCTTTTTGCTTAACATCAAAAAACACAAAACAAACGACAAAAGCAAGAGCCAGGCTTCTGACATCTGGAGGCTGAGGCAGGAGGACTCTTGAGTCCAGGAGGTGAAGGCTAGCTTACACAACATAGTGAGATCCTATTTCCAAAAAAATCAAGACAAAAAACTCAATGAAGTAACATTCTGACCTAATGTTTTTCTTTAAATGAACTCACCAAAGATAGGATTGGTCCTCCCATTTTGCCTTTATGGTGAAGAGGTAACTTTTGAGATACTAGTTATTTTTTTTTCCCCAGCTCTCCAAAAAATAAATATACAACTATGTTTGGAAGGCTAGAATGATGCCGCATGCCTGTAATCCTAGCTCTCCGGAGGCTGAGTCAGGACTATAACTGAGTCTGAGGCCAGCCTGAACTGCATAGTGAAACCCTGTCTCCAAAAAAATAAAAAAACAAAGTTAGAATGGTGTTATCTGCACGTGTCCTATGTATTCTATGTGCTCTACTTCCACTTGGCTGGCACACACACTGCTCTATGCAAAGCGTATGTACACCAAAGACATACCCAGAAAATCTGATTGAAAGAAAAAAAAGAAATAAAAAAGAGATGAGAATGTAGCTCAGTGAGAAGACCAAATTGGGGGGAGAAAAAGAAAAAAGAAAAGAAAGAAAAGCTGGTGTGGTGGTGTACACCTGTAATCCCAGCACTCGGGAGGCTGAGGCAGGAGGATCACTCCATGAGTTGGAAGGAGGCCTAGGCTACACAGCACAACCCTTTCTCCAGAAACAGACCCACAAGGAAGGGGGACTGTCCAGGGCACAATGGCCCGGGAGGCCTCCTCTCACACTGATTCACTCTTCTGGGGCATGGTGTCCACCGTGGAGCGCGTGAAAGACCTGGTGTCTCTGTTCAGCGACTCCTCGGTCAGCACGTTGCGCAGGACGCTGGGCAGGGACTTGAGCAGCCGGCCCTGGAAGCCGTGGCCGGCGACCACATAGATGATGGGGTTGATGCAGCAGTTGATGTAGGCGAAGGCAACACACACGGCATCCAGGGCCTTGGTGTTCCTGTAGGTGGCCGAGTTCGGAGAGTGCCAGGCCAGCAGGATGCCCGTCACCTGGTAGGGCAGCCAGAAGACAAAGAAGCTGCTCACCACGGCCACCACGACCTTGACGGTCTTGGCTGAGCGCGTGGCCTTGCGGCTCCAGGTCCGAAGCAGCAGGAAGGTGTAGCACGCAGTGAGCGTGATCAGCGGCACAATGAAGCCCACGACCAGCCGCACCAGGGCCACGGCCCTCTCCTTGGAGATGTCCCGGCCATAGTCAGTGACGCAGTACACCTTGAAGGAGAAGTGCTCGTTATGTGTTCTGCGGTACAGGAAGGATGGGCTGGACAGCAGCAGTGCCAGGACCCAGGCCACCCCACAGGCTGTCCAGGCCAGGCAGCCACCCCGGAAGCGCTGGCACCAGATGGGGCTGAGCACCAGCGCCAGGCGGTCAGCGCTGATGGTGGCCAGCAGCAGGATGCTGGTGTACATGTTGAGCAGGATGAGCGAGGGCAGCACTTTGCAGGCAGTGTCGCCGAAGTACCAGTGGTTGAGGTGAACGGTGGACACAAGCAGGATGGGCAGTGCCAGGCAAGACAGGAGGTCGGCCGCCGCCAGGTTGAGAAACCAGATGGCGTTGATGTGGCGCCGGGCCTCGCACGCCGTCACCCAGACCACCAGAGCGTTGCCCGGCACGCCCACCAGGAACACCACCACCATGATGACCACAGCGACGAGGTCCCCAAAGGACAGCCTCTCCACGTAGTTGTCCACGAAACCGTCGGGGAGAAAGGTAGAGTTGTAATCGTAATCGTAGCTCACCGTGACCATCTAAGCAGAGGAGAGAGGTGGCAGGGTCAGTGTGCCCCCTGTGCCCAGCAGCCCGTGCCCAGCAGCGTGCTTGATGCCCCACCACCTCTTGGGGTCTCAGCCTTCCCAGGCCTAGGGAAACTGAGGCCAGGAGTGCACTGGATGGTGTGGCATTTATTCAGACATTGACAGGCTTCCTTCCTCACGGTCTCCCTCTGCCACCTCCCCCGGAAGCCCCTGGGCTTGATCGCACCTCCCTCAGCAGCCAAAGGGTTAAGTTCAGCTCCTTTCTAGTGCGTGAGACAGCTGCCCCTTTTAAAGGGGCTTTGTTTTGTTTTGTTTTGTTTTGAGACATGGTCTGACTGTGTAGTCCAGGCTCTGCATGAACTCACTGTGTAGCCCAGGCTGGCCTTGAATTCCCAGCAGTCCTCCTGCCTCAGCCTCCCAAGTGCTGGAATGACAGGTGTGTGCCACCACGCCCAGCTTGTTTTGCTTTGCTTTGGAGTTTTGTTTGGTTTTGTGCACTACAGAGACGTTGACCCAAGGCCTCACACATGCAAGGCAAGCACTCTATCACTGAGCTACATCCCAGCACTAGATTTTTAGTGTCACCTGCCAATGGGTGTGACAGTAATGGGAGGCTTTCCAGGAATATGAGTCAGTATGTCATCCTGCTTTCCTGTCTTGTACCCACACAGGCACTTGGTCATCCTTGGGCTCCATCTTCCAGTGGCTACTCAAGAAGGCCAGGGCGCCCAGTGCTGCCCTGCTTACCCGCTTACCCGCTTACGTCTGCAATCACAGACGTAAATAATATTTTAATGCAAAGAACCAAAATGAGTGTAAAGAAAACTCATGGCGGGGGCCGGCTTTAGCCCAGCGGTTCCTTCCAGTCTGGCTTCCCAACCGCCCGGGCCGATTGGTCCGGTGGTTCGAGACCCGCGGGCGCTCTCCAGTCCTTTAAAAAAATAAAATAAAATAAAAAAAGAAAACTCATGGCGGAAAAAAATCCAGTTTGAATCAGCGCCTGTTGCTGCTGTTCGCTTTCGGAACCTGCATTTTTGTGCAAGAGGACCCTGGTTTGCAATTCGCCTGCGGTTTGCATTCTCAGACCTGGGGGTGGGGGTGGGGTGAGGGGTTGCACAGGAAGATGACTATGTGACACAGTGAGCACACACATTGAGCAACTCGAGTGGAGCCCCTCCTGGGCGCCCCTGCTCTGGGACTTGTTTGTCTATTTAGGGTCTTACTAATGTCCCCACTGCTAAGTGCACCAGGCAGGCCCAGTGCAGAGGGCTCCTTCTGCTGCCACAGCCTCAAGTGGCCCTGGGCCGGGAGCACTGATTCATCCATCCTCGTCCTCTGGGACCATCCCTACCCAAGCTCTGTCTTTGCTACTCACAGCCTCTTGTGAGCCGGGCAGGCCACCCGTCCTATCTGTCACCACCTGGAAAACTCCATGTTTCTGGAGGCCTCGTCAGAAGCAGAGTCAGAATGTTTGGGCACAGCCAAAGAAAGAGTGAGGAGCAGGACACCCAGGAGGCTGAGGCAGGAGGATCACTGCGCGTTAGAGGCCAACCTGGGCTGCATAGTGAGTTCAAGACCAGTCTATACTGGGCAGTAAAACACTGTCTCAAAAAACAAAACAGAAAGCCAAAACCAAACAGTCAGATAAACAAAAACCACTCAGCAAAAGAAAGGGCTATAGAGGGAGGGAGCTAAAGGGAGAGAGGGAGGGAAGGAGGCAGGGAAGCGGGGAGAGGAAGCCAGGGCTGGATGGCTCAGAACCCGGTGCCAGCCCTTGGGGCTCCGTAATATTCCTCCAATTTCCCATGCTTAAGATTCCCCATAATCAAATAAAGGACAGAAAGCCCCTGAGCTGAGCGCTTCTTCCCAGACTCGGCTGGGCGCCATCCTGACGGGAGAGGAAGGCTGCTGGGGACAGGAAGGCAGGTCTGGGTCACAGGTGCCAAGCACCGCAGCAGGCTACCAGCGACACCCACGGGCTGGGCCTTGGCACAGAGCGACACCCATTGCCAGCCCTTTGTGTTTTTTTACCCTGAGACAGGGAATCTCTAGGAGAGTAAGCTTCCCAGGCTGGGCTCAAACTCGGGATTCTCCTGCCTCAGCCTCCTGGAGCGCTGGGACTGCAGGCCTGTGCCACCAGGCTTGTCTTGAGCCACTCTCTCTTCATTTCTAGTTTCCACCTGTGGCCCAAAGTCAGCCAGGGCTGTCCAAGGGCGTGGTGACAGTGTGAGTCTGGACAAGGAAAAGCCCGGGTGGGCTGATGGGTTAGGTCACTGGAGCAGAGTGACTCAGCCACCCACTGGCACGAGCGACTGACAGATGCCCTGGTGGGGAGAACTATGAAAATGCAAAGCCAGTGACACAGCCTGGCACTTAGGTCATAGGATCGTACAGATATACGATGTCCAGGAGGGGCACTGTGAGAGAAAGGAAGCAGACTCGGGTGCCAGGGCCCAGGTGGGGCACACTGGGGTGGCTGCTTCAGGGGCCTGGGGCTCTTTCAGGAATGGTAGAGATAGAGATTTTATGAAGTCGATGTGGCCTGCCTGTAATCCCAGCACTCGGAAAGGAGGCTGAGGCAGGAGGCTCTCCAAAAGTTCAAGGCCAGTGGACTACACAGCCAGACCCTGTCTCAAATGAAAGAAAGAAAGAAAGAAACTAGTGAGACTGTGGTTATACAACACTGTAAATATAGGAAATGCCACTGAATTGTACATTTTTTTCATCTTTTTGAGACAGCATTTCACTACACAGTTCAGGCTACTGCCCTTGAACTCACAACAATCCTCCTGCCTCAGCCTCCTGAGAGCTGGGATTACAGGCGTGCACCAGCACGCTGTGCTAAGTAGTGAGTTTACTCAAAAGAGAAAGTCAATGTCTGCCACACACATGGGAGACCCCATACAGAACTAGAGCAAAAGGTCAGCCCCCTCTAGAAGGTGTCACCAGGGAGACAGGCCGGACAACAGTGTCACGTCACGTGGTGACTTCCCAACATCCATCACCGTTAGGCTTCTGGTGGTGACATCCTGGATTATAAGAAACAGACTCTGAAGGCTTGGGGGTAAAGGGACACAAGATCTACACTTCCCTCACAAAAACTGTGAGGAAATGATGGGGGGCAGACAGGTAGATGCATAGACAGTGGGTAAAGAGATGCTACAATCAGGGGCAGTGGGTGCCTGCATACAGATAGATGCGTGATAGAGCCACAGATGACAGCCCAGATGCAGGCCCAGCCTGGGCCAGCAGCCCCTCAGCTACCCACCCCACTGCCCAGCCCCCACCCTTCCTTCCCATCAGCCACCTAGGCCCAGCAGGTCCTTAGGCTCTTGAATGTCCCTTCGGAGGTGACCCAGGGTTGCAGGATGACTCAGAACCCAAAAGGCAAAGTGGGAACCCCAGCCCTGCTCTCATTCCAACCAGCTGACAAACGCCCCTCCGGTAGTGACCTCACCCTGTCTCTCCAGCCTGCTGACTTTGTAAAGCCAGAAAAGAACATAGTGAAGCCAGCACATTGCCGTTACCAGGCTCTTCCCAACTCAAAATACTCTCCCTATGTGGGTTGCCACAGGGTACCAAAAAAAGTTGGGACTGGTTGAGTTCAAGATGGTCCAACTTGGCAGTGGAATACTACACAGCCATCAAAAAGAATGAGGAGCCAGGTGTGGTGGTGCACATCTGTCAGCCCAGTACTCTGGGAGGCTGAACCAAGAGGATCTCAAGTTTGAGCAAGTTGGGCAATTTAGTAACTCAGTCATATCTATCTTTAAAAAAAATTCTAAGGGATGGGGATGCCAGGCATGGCAGTGCACACCCATAATCTCAGCACTTGGAAGGCTGAGGCAGGAAGATTGCTGTGAGTTCAAGGTCAGTTTGGGCTACGAAGTGAATTCAAGGCCAGCCTGAACTGCACAGTGAAAACTTGTCTCAAAAAGATACAAAGGAAAAAGAGGGGATGGAAAGGGATGGGGCTATAGCTTAGTGCAATGCACCTGATTTAATCCCAAATATCACACACACACACACACACACACACACACACACACACACACACACATGCGTGCGCGTGCACAGAGGAAGTTAATTTACTGGTGTTAAAGGAGACCTCCAAAGAAAAACCCCCCAGATCCTGGGGTAAAGGAGAAAATCTAGGACAGAGTGTGGGCAAACATGGTGTCTAGAAAAGGGGAAACTGCTGTCCCAGGGTGTGTGTGTGTTTGTGTGTGTGTACAGCAGCACAGGAAGTTGTATCAGTGGCTCTCCCTGGGGAGGCAGGGAAGAGAGTTCGGGGGAACTGGATTAAAAGGCTGCTTGTTAGGAGATTGAGCCCAGGGCCTCGGCAACGAGCTACACCCCCAGCCCTTTCTATCATTTTTTATTTTGAGATAGGTTCTAGCTAAGTCACTAAGTTAGCCACATTAGACTCAAACTTGCGACCCTTCTGCTTCAGCCTCCTGAACAATGGAATTACGGGTATGCACCACAACACCTGGATAGTCACGCTCATTTTAATAGGAGGCCCTGCCAGGCATAGTGGCACATGCTCGTAATCTCTCAGCTAGGTGGGAGGCTGAGGCAGGAGGATCGCCGGGACACAGGGCCTGCACACACAGGCAAGTGCCCGGATGCAGAGCCACACCTCAGCCCTATCTGTGGAGACCCAGCTGCAGGGTTTCCTGCCAGGGGAAACTTCTGGGGTCCCAGCCCTGTGGGGTGACTTTGCAGCTTTTTTCTTTCTGTTTGGTACTGGGGATTGAACCTACTCTGACCTACAGCTACAGCCCTTTTATTTATTCATTAATTTTTTTTGAGACGGGACTCTCACTAGGTAGCCCAGACTGGCCTCAAATTTGGCCTCAGATTCCTGCCTCAGCCTCTCAAGTGCTGGGATTACAGGCGTGCACCACCACACCTGGCTTTTAATTTTTTTATTCTGAGACAAGGTTGGGCTAAATTGCTCAACTGCCCAGCTGGGCTCCAATTTGTAACCCTCCTGCCACAGCCTCCTAGAGTACCAGGATTACAGACCGCAGCACCATACCTGGCCGCATCGCATTGCATCCCTGGAGTGTAAGAGACTGGGATGAGGACAAGGGGACGGAGGGGACATGGAGGACCGGGTGAGGGAGGAAGGAAAGGAGAGACACGCAAGGAGGTGGTGGGGACAGAGAAAGGGGCCCACTCACCATGTCCTGGGCACCTAGGGTCCTGGGCTCTGTAGCAGCTGGAGGCTCAGTGGCTGTGGTTTTAAAGCCCCATGGGCAGAAGCAGATAGGAGGAAATGACCGCTCTTTCGTCCCCTGGCGTCACTGGTACTCACAGGACACCCAGGATGGGGCGTTGCATGGGGCCCACACCCAGTCACAGAGAGTGGATGGCTTGGCCAGCAGAGAAAGCCCTGACCCAAGAACAGAGGAAGCCAGTGGACGGCCAGGGCTCAACTCCCCCAGCCCCAGTCTCCTCATGGGAGGACATCTCTCTCTGCTGGTGCTCGGTTCTGGGGAAGAAAGCTCAAGGGCCCAGTGAGCCCGGCTTGGGGCCATAGAGACAGAGCCTGTGACCCTTGTTCGCCCCAGGTTGCTGTGGGGAACAGAAAGGTTAGGCAAGGTTGAGGTAGTGGCCGATCTGTGGCTTTGCTGTTAAATCCTCCCAGAGTCTTGTGATAAGAAGGGGCCTCCACCAGCCGCAGCCACCGGCTTAGAAATGGCTCCATCTCTCTCTCTCTTTCTCTCTCTCTCTGTCTCTCTCTCTGTCTCTCTCTCTCTCTCTCTCTCTCTCTCTCTCTCTCTCTCTCTCTCTGTCTCGCTCTCTCTCTCTCATCTCCATCTCTATCATCTCTAACTCTGTCTCCTTCCCTGTCTCTCTCTCTCTCTCTCTATGCCTCTCTAGTAGCAGGCATCAAACTCACAGCCTGGCACCGGCTCAGCCACATCCTTATTACCAAAGTCGCACCCCAGGTGCCCGCTGTGCCTCTGGACCCACATTTGGACAATGTCTCCGCGACGTCGGCAGACGTGGCGGTCTTGAGCTTTGCAGGGTGCAGGATGCGTTGCTTGGTCGGGCTTTCCAAGGTTCCGGGGATTCCAGCTCCGCAGGCGTGCTGTGTTGTTCTACCGTTGGCCTCAAGAGGGCGCCTGAGAACCAGACCGAATCACTAGGATTTTGGTGGTGGTGTGTGTGCGCATGTGTATGCGTGTTTTTTGTTTTATGCGTGTGTTTTGAGACAGGGTCTCACTATGTAGTTCAGGCTGACCTTGCACGCATTATGTAACTCAGGCTGGCCTCGAACTCACAGCAATCCTGCTGCCTCAGCCTCCTGAGGCAGATCTAAGTGAAAAATTTGCCCATACTGGATTCAAATTTGGGATCCTCCTCCCTCAGTCTCCCATGGAGTGCTGGGATTAGTCTTGCATCACCACGCCCAGTTTGTTTTGTGCTTTCAAATAGGGCTGCAGAACTTTAAATTTATACAAAGGAAGGTTAGTGGTGCATGCTTGTAATCCCAACACCCTAGGAGAACCACAAATTTGAGCCCAGTTTGGACAATTCAGTGAATTAGGAAGACAATGTCTATTTCTTTTTCTTTTTTTTTTTCTTTTTTTTTTTTTTTTTTTTTTTTTTGTCTTTTTGAGGTAGAGTCTCCTCTCTATACAGTTCAAGCTGGCCTTGAGCTCACTTTGTAGCCTAGGCTAGTCTCAAACTCGCAACGATCCTCCTGCCTCAGCCTCTCGAGTGCTGCGATTACAGGCGTGAGCCACCACACCCGGCTGACAGTGTCTATTTCAAAAGGCTGGGAAAGGTAGCTCAAGGTGAGGGCCCTGCTTTAATAGTACAAAAAACATTACACACACACACAAAAGAAGCCAAAAAGCCTGTGACCATGTGATAACCCTCATTTTGAACCCTCAGTCACCAATCCCAGGCAGAGACCACGCCAGGAGAAGGAGAAGAGCTGAGTGGTGACAGCCACCACCAGAAGCCCAGAGCCTGCTGAAGGGTGGACTCGAGACGTCAGGAGCAGCATGCTGTGGAGCAGCAGTGACAGCACTTGGCCCCTGCAGCCCTCCCTGGCCTGTCCAGCTTCCCAGGGCTCCAGTGGGCTGTGGAGAAACTGAGGCCCATCAGGCTGAAGGCCTCTCAGAAAATGTCACTGCCCACAAGGATGATCATAACTCAGGAAGCTGAGGCAGGAGGATCATTGTGAGTTTCCAGCCAGCCTCAAAGACCAAAGTAATAAAAGTAACAATAACATCAAATAACAAAGTAATCATGACAATAATGATGGTGACAGCTCCACCTACAGATGGCCCTGCACCAGGTGCCACTCCAAGCCCCCCATGGTGACCACAGCAGGCAGAGGTGACAGTCACCAACTAGGACAGAATGCAGGAAGGGAGCTTGCATTGGTCTGACTCTGACAATTCTAGAAGTTGCTAATACCAAAGTTGTAAGAGTGAGATTCTAAAATATCAATTCTAAGATTGTCTGGGTTTTTTTTTTCTTTTTTCTTTTTTCTTGTTGTTTTTTTTTCCCCCGGTACCGGGGATCGAACTCAAGACCACCTGCTTGCAAGGCAGGTGCTTATGCCACTGAGCTAAATCCCCAGCCCGGGTTTGTTTTTTGTTTTTTGTTTTTTGTTTTTTCTTTCCTTAATTTTAAAAATTTATTTAGAACACAAGAAAATTCACTCTTTTTAGTATATAGCTCTATGAGGTTTTTTGTTTTGTTTCTTAGGTTCAGGGTTGAACCCAGGGCTTTTGCACTGAACTATATTTCAGCCCTTTCTGTTTTTTATTTTGACAAGATTTCTCTCAATTGCTAAGTTGTTCATGTGGGGCTGGAACTTGCAATCTTCCTGCCTCAGTCTCCCAGAATGCTGACACTATAAGCCGGTGTCATCAGCCCTGGGTAATTTTATGAGTTTTGTTTTGCTTTGGCTTTTTTTTAGGGGGGAGGGGGCTTTGATTTTTTTGAGACACGGTCTCACTTGTAGCTCAGGGTGATCTTAAGCCCACTACAAAGGCCAAGATGACCTCAAACTTTTGGGAACCCTCTTGCCTCAGCTTCCCGAGTTCTGGCATGTGCAAACACACCCAACTTAGTTTGATGAGTTTTGACAAATCATAAGATTGTATAAGCGCCAATTATTAAGGTGCAGAATAGTTACATCACTCCAGAAAATTCTCTCAGGCTGCTTCTTTTTTAGTTAACCTTTGTCCACCTCAGAAATCTCTGGTAATCCTTGACTTATTCTCCACTGCTTTAGTTTTGCCATTTCTGGAAAGTCATTGGAATGAGATCACAATTATATAGCCTTTGGAATCTGACTTTTTTTTGTTTTTTGTTTTTTGTTTTGCGGAACCAGGGATCGAACTCACAACCCCATGCTTGCCAGGCAGGTGCTTATGCTGCTTAGCTAAATCCCCAGCCTGTAATCTGACTTCTTTCATACAGCATGATACACTTAAAATTCACCCATGCTTTAACATATGTCAAAGTCCTGACAGCTCTAATGCCAACTAATCAGGAGGCAGAAGGCTCGTATGTTCAAGTCCAGCCTAGAAAACCCAGTAAGGCCCTGTCTCTAAATTTTAAATCAAAAAAAAATTTTTTTTTGTCTGTTTGAGACAGAGTCTCACTAACCAGTCTCAGGCTGGTCTTGAGCTCACTTTGTAGCCCAGACTGGCCTCAAATTTGCAACAGTCCTCCTGCCTCAGCCTCCCAGGTGCTGCAATTACAGGCATGTGGCCAAAACTTTTGAGATTATGCAATCCAGGCTGGCCTTGGACTTACTGAGTAGCTGAGGCTGGCCTTAAATACATAACAACCCTCCTGCCTCAGCCTGCCGAGTCCTGGGATTGCAGGGGTGTGTCACCACAACCGGTTCAAAATTAAATGTTTAAAAGGGGCTGAGAAATAGCTCAGTGTGAAGGCCCTGGTTCAGTGACCAGCACTGGTTACGTGGGGGGATTCGGGCAGTGTCACTGAGGATGTAGCACATGTTTACTATCCCTTCTTGCTAGAATCTATACCTAGATTTGTTGTCCCCGTATGTTGACTCGCAGGCTTGGGCCTCTGCCCCTATTGCTTCTGGGAGGTGGTGTGGACACGAAGGAGAGAGGCCCGGAAGGGGCCAGAGTTAGGTCACTGAGGGCCTGCCCTGTCTCTCGGCTTGGCAGCCACCATGAAGCAGAAGCCTTCCCCAGCCACTTCCCTCACTGACTGAACCCTCTTCTCCTTATAAGGTGACTGCCTCAGGGATTTTGTCACAGTTTTGGAAAACAGGTGTCACGTGGCAGTGTGTGGCACTTGGACTGGCTGGAAGTTGGTGGAACCCAGGTGCCATCTTGGTCAGAGACGCAGGGAGGACAAGGAGCTGGGTGAGCCAGGGTCTCAGGCCATGGCCACCGAGCCACCATCCCAACTTCCACACAGATGGTACAGGGAGCTAAGCTCAGTGTCATTCCAGTTGCTACTACTCTAAGTCTCAGTGGTTCCTCTACCTCCCAAATAATTGCAAAGGGCACAGTCAACCCCTGCAGGGGAAGCCAAGCGAGTTATTATAATCCCAAATATTGAGTGCAGTTATCCAAGTATTATAATCCCTCTTCCAGTTTTCCCCACAATGTAAAAAGTTATATTTGTAATCCCATTGAGACATTATTGGAGTCTCAGCAAGTCAATTCCAATGCAACCCAGGGCGAGAATAAAGACACCAAGACATATTCCAAGTTAAGGATAGCCAAGGGGTCCTAAATCCAGTCCCCGTGAGGATGTGTGGACAAAGGCCTGATCCTAGGCCTCTCCCAGAATTTATTATCCTGTGAAGAAAGGGGGTGGCTCAGGGATGAGTGACAGTGAGGATGGAGGGAATTACATGAGTAATTTGAGCTGGCTGGCCAGGTAGGAGAAAGGCATCTCTGCAAAATGCAGAGATAAGGATATGCAGAAGGATCAATTTGCATAATTCAATTGAGGTAACAACTGGATAGTTTTAGGAGGTGATTGCTTCCGTTTCAGATAAGTAAACTTTTGTGCTCAGGGGAGTCATAGCTCTTTACCTTGAGGCTCACACCCAGTTGACCTTCCTGGAGCTGTTGGCTCTACCATCCCACTGTGCTCATATCTTTTACAGAGAACACTAAGCAGGTAAACAGGAGACTGTCTGATGGCTTTAGAGATTACATATGAGTACCTCAGCTAGCCTTATTTGCAATACTTAGAGCCAGTTGAAGAGAGAAGGAAATGCCATAGCCAGCTCTGT